TGACGTGACCGTTGCTGCAATCTCCAAATTGTTGCGCAGCCATCGCGAAGTATTCAATAACAAGATAATCTTACAAAAATACTGCTTATGGCGTAATTGCCATCCAACATTCACTACAACGATTATGACCTTAGGTGCTATTGTTGTTTTGTTATTGATGCTACTTACCAAACATGTATGGTCGGCCTGATTGATTGCCGCAAACACCCAAAGTAGACCTGAAAGATAGCGAGCGGAACCGCAACCACACCCCTGACACCGTACAGACGATAGCGATGGGTCAAAAGCTCCACTTGAAACTAGCTCCACATGAACGAGCCAAACAAAGCTAGGATTTCTCCTCGTGTGCGTGTCGTGCAAACTTTGTGTAGGAACAAGAGCCCATATTCCAACTTTCCTTGTCAAACACAAGTCCTCAACTCAACTCCAACGCCATTTCGCAGCTACCTTAGCAAGAATGAAGCTCCTGACCAACTTTGTGGTTGCCGCCACTATAGCCGTCCGCTCCATCAAAGCCGATCCCCGTTGCTCGGGCATCTATTACAGTTGGTGCGCCACGAAATTTTCACCTTACCGTTGGTGCGAGAAGACATGAAGCAAATATCATTGTACTTCAAAAAGATCATCACGGATTATATCGTGGGGGGGCAAAACAACGAAATCAATGCTACTGAGGTAGCAGGTGAGGCTGGTCTTCATATCGCGGCAAGTGTGTATTTTAACGCCTTAACAATCGACGAAATTGACAAGGAAATCCAGGGCGTGTGCGACGGCTACGCTCGATACCCCAACGCTCTCGAAATAGTCTTTGTTGGCAACGGTAATCTTTATAACGGAAAAAACGTCCAATTCACGGCTGAAAAGCTAGTGTGCTGCATTCAACGCATCCGGGATTGCGTGGGCGAAAAAATGCTGATCGGATCGACGCAGCATATCGAGGATTGGAATCTTGAAGCCGGTAAGACTTTGGCGGCTGCGTGCAACATTACAGGTGTCAAAATATATCCAGTAGCCATAAATGGCACGGCAAAGCCAATTGACAAGCTTAAGACAACTTATAGGGAGTACAGTGCCATACTAAGCAACTCAAGCAAGATCTGCCTCACGGGTACTGGCTATCCGAATGCCGCCCGGTATTCAACACCTTCACTCCATCGGTCGAAGTGATGCAAACATATCTGAATGATTACGTCAAATGGTCCACCAGCATCAATTGCAGTTACTTTAGGGGGATGTACGATAAAATGATCAACAACCCCATGGATCCGGACCGCGATCTTATGTACGGTCTCTTCGACGCAAATGCGAACCCGAATGTGGTGATACCGAGTGGTCCTTCTGGACAGAAGCAGTAAAGAGTGTGGTACACGCACCATTCCCTGCAAAAGTCACTTCAACGACGAGATCGAGACTATCATTCTAGACACGTCAAGTGGTTGAGTGGTTTTAGGCTTAGCAATGTGCAGGCAGATTTGTTGCAATAATTAGGAACGAGTTAATAGAATGTTTTGCTTAAAGTACCTCTTTTTCGTATCAACGAAAGAAATATAGGACCTTTTGTTTACTATTGCAAACATAGTTTTTAACCTAGTTACATTGTCGCAACATTGTCGCAACATCTCTCACTCCACACCTTGACTTGTCTTCACTAACGCTTTTATCTGGCAATATGAATGAAGGACGTTTACAGCACTTCCTACAGCCTATTCGGTCTATTTGCACGTCTTTATTTGATCATTTTCTTTATTATTGCTATTATCTTATCTTCCATTTCATTATTCTACTTGTATTGTTTCATATTCACGTAGGGACTTGAGTAAAAACTGGAATATTGATTTGGCTACTGAATTAGAAGATTATATGGACAAATTAGAGCATGTAAACATTACATTTGATCCAAATGATTGTGTAAAGATTACTGAAGAAGGACATCAAGTTGGTCGGATGAATTTTGCGGAGGCAGCACTTTTGATTCAGGGAACAAGCGTCATCTATAGCCGAAAAGTCGAGTATTTACATGCGCTTGTTTATCAGACACTGGCACATATGTCGAGACAAGAGGACGATAAAGGACCAAACAAACAAAATAGAGAGACAGGAGAAGAAGAGAAGGAGGGGAGTGATAGAGATAATGAAGGAGGAGGAAGGAGCGTCTTTAATAACCCCTTACCACTTTATGATGAGTTAGAAGAAGCCAAGACGTCGTCCATTAGCCTGAAAAAAGCAGAAGAGAACGAGGAAAACACGCAGATCGATAGAAATTGGAGGAGAACAGAGGCCAAAGCACTGAACAGAAGCAAAAACAATATTCAGGCATCGATTGCGTTGATGGGATTGTTGGTGCCGGACGAACGGGACCATGGAGAAACGTTCAAGTTGCTATCGTGCAATTTGCATGCAAGCGGTGCGTTGCTACTAGATGAAACAAGCAAGAAATATCTTAAGTTACAAGAGAGAGCAGTAGTGCATGCATTTGGTGAAACACCTGGAAGACATGAAGATATGTGGGTGGCTGTAAATGGAGACAATCCAGCGCCTACACTAACTTTTGACGATATGGATGCGAGCGATGATGACGACAGATGTGATAATGCTACTGATGATCACGCGGACTATGAGTATGATGCTGGTACAGCACTGCACAGCGCTCGTATGGATGATGCTGCTGCAGATAAGGCACAGCAGAAGGGAGCAGTTGCTGGTGAGCTGTCTTTCCTTACGGCGCAAGCGATAAACACACTGTCAGCGGGTCCGGAGGACTTGTGGGCGCCACTGGATGCGTATGATGCTAGCACATCAGTGGCGCTCCCATTCAAGAAGGGACGATCATATCCACGTGTACCGGTGTACAAGAAAAGGAAAGCAGACCTCGTGGCTTTAAACAACAAGGAAGGTGTCGTGGGCGTGGATGATGATGCAGTGCAGGATGGTCTGTCCGACCCAGCATTCCTAGACCGCTTCTTTATGGGATCGAACGGACTGCAATGGGCATCGTGGGTCTGGACAGAGACAACAGATGATTATTCTTTGGAGAAGGCATGCAAGCGCACATTCTGTCGAGCTCCAGTTTTGCTTAAAACGTGCGATGTGCTTTGGCAGCGTGAGGCGAAATGGCGTAGTATCATGCGTCGTTCCGACGCTCGCGAGAAACAGAGCGCCGAAGCCATGCTACTGCGTGAGCAGGCTACGGAGGAGGAGGCAAGTGGAAGCGATCACTTGCAGGCATTGACACTATCTACCGCTACAGCACGCTTAGACATGGTTTTTCGGAACGATGTAAATGGCAGAAACGATAAGAACGAGGAAAACGGGAGCGAAAGCGATTATGACGATGGATTTGATGATGGTGACTGGGAGCAAGGAAACGACACGAACGCTTTGACCGGGTTGAATGAGACTGTTGCTGCGGTTGCTAAAACTTCTGATGAACCGTTTACGTACGATGAGATCTGTAGACAGCACTTGGCGTCGTTCATGTCTGGTACTGAGAAATACGTCCGAGAGACAGACCTGAGCAAGCAAGTTAGCGAGTGGCAGGAGAAATTAACACCATTGCTGAAGCAGCAGGACGCTCGACTCCCTTTCGATATTCACCACTACGGTCGTGAAATTATTGAGCACTTGGAGGAGGAACACAAGAGCACGATCTTTCACAAGCACGGTAAATCCATCAAGCGCAAAACGAACAAACGCGCTAGGTTAAATCCAGGTTTAGAAGATGAAGAGGAGAAGGATATTAAAGTGCTTTTCGAGACTTTGGTGGATGGCAAGAGCCAATTTGAGGTGTGCCGCGTCTTTCTGGCTACACTACAGCTTGCAAACAGCGGTAATGTGTCACTTTTGCACGCACATACGGCTGTAGAGCACGAACAGGTACCATTCGAGATAAAGTTACTTACTAGTGCCAACACTTACGAAGCCTTGCAATCGTGATTGAGCAAGCGTGACGCGATATGTACCGAGAGCATTAGTATATTTCCCCCTTAGCTGTTCGGTTCCGTATGCTTTTGTCGCGATACATACATGTACTAGTCATAGATTTTTTTACTTGAGCGTTCATGCAGTCATTCGTTCAATAGAGATGTTCCGATGAACCGAAGCCTTGAATAAAAGAAAGCATCATTGTTACAACCATGATAATGTCCATCTCGCTCAAAGCCCTGCACCCTTTGAGCCATGCAAATACAAAGACCATTTTAACGTATAAAAAGCCGTTTAATGATAGGTACGTAATGCCGTAAATTATCCATAATTGAAGTGAATAGCCAATCGTGCTAATCTGAATAAGCGCTTGTGTCAATACAAGTTGCAAAAACGTTCTAGCAAAGTTTCTTGTCGTCGGTTTTAATGCTGCGCGATCGTCCTCATCTTTCGAGGCAAGCAATAATATTTTTGTTGGAATTTCGCATTGGTGAGTTCAGTCGTCTGAGACTGAATTGAAATTCCCGTTTAGCAAAATTACAGTGGTTTCTTATATGTTTTTTAGGCTAAGAAACTTTAAGGTTTTTTCATTTACGTTTTCTTTCTAACGGAGACACGTGGAACAACGCTTTGGGCTTGAGCGACTTTTTCGCGGTTGACACTAACACGTCAAGCCGCTGGTTGCAATCACACGCATTACCTTTTTGATATTTGCACTAACCGGCATAGATTAAGTCTATAACGCATTAGAACACTAACCGGTTTCGAGTGTGGGCAGATACAGCGGTTGTTTTTCCTACAATTTAGACCACTTCGTTTGTGCCGAAAACGTTTGCAAAGTGTGCGCTTGCCGTAGACATTAATAGATTGGTTTGTTTGTTAGTGTCCCCAACAGCATTATAAGATCATCCATAGCTACGAGCTTTAAGTAGTCGATCATTTTGCCGGCGTCCATCATTTTCAGGACAGCCTCATTACCACATTTAAAAGGCAACAAACCGACGATCATGCGCGAATTGCTAGCGCAAATGGCTGCTGAATCACAAGCAAAAATATCCATACAATGTCTATAGCTTTGCGTACATCGTGCATCTAAATGGCATGTGGGGTCAATCATCACATTAGGTGTGCAGTCAATCTACAGTGATCGTCAAACACTCTATATGATCCACAGAGCTGCTACGGATGACCTTATGTGCGATTGAGATTAGATCCGACGGATCGAGGCATTCATCCACTGTGTCGTACATGTAGTAATTTATAAGGTCGATACTCGAGCGCAGGAATGCATCCAATGTCAACGCGTCGCAACATGTCTTACGGTAAGAGAGCAACGCCATGTGACGGAAAGTTATATATGTTATTGTAGCAGCGTTGGCAACGTTTGCAATGTTCGTGCATCCCGTTCGACAGGTGAATTACTGCGAAACTGTGGTCTCGTACACCCATACGATTGTGAACAGCAGAGCTGATGCTGGTAGCTGAACAATGAGACCAAGCAGACGGTAAAGGTCAACAAATGGTACGGCGAGGATTTCTGTGACTCCCAAACTAGGTAGCACTTAAAATACCAGTATGGTTAATCACGTTAGCGCAATATTGGCAACATCACCATACAAAGGAGTCATTCTCTAAGAGAAACAATTGTCAGGAAGCATGGGATCAAAACAACGACACGCAGGTTACGAACATTACCGTGAAGGAAAATACTTGGAGACTAATTGCTAGTGAAGCACAGCGAGATCTAGTGAAAAGGATGCTGGTAGTGTTGTGTGCTTGCGTCCAATGTATTCTTTCATGATGTACTCATCTATTTATACTGCGAAAGCAAAAGGTAGTAAATTTGGATTAAGATATGCAACTGGGTTGATCGACAGAAATGCGTTGACCTCCAAGCGTATAGGTCCTTGACGAAGTACGCATTGACCTACGGTACTTCTTGAGACGGGGCTTGCGAATTCATTACTGCTTGCAGCAATAGATTGGAGGGATCGTCGTAGCTGTATTCATCAGACAACGAACAACACATCCATCGTATAAACCACATACTGGGGGAAGCGGTACAAAAGTGCATAGAGCGTCAAAGTTTGCCACAGATGCAGCTGTATATAGTACAGCCCGAAGTAAAGCATGGAAATCATGCCAATAGGTTTGTGCTTTGTTAGCGTCGTATAGGTTGAGTCACGATTTCAGTCTTGCGTCAGCATCGCACACATCCAAAAGTGTCGCCTTGTCACACCGTTGAGTTGATTGGGGTGCAGGGTGGCGTAAAATACTGGTGGATACCAAGACGCTTGCCTAATTAGGCCGACTTGTCTGACGTATATTCGGGAATGTTTGAATGCAATGACCGGTCTGAGGTTTAGCACATACAGCAAACTCGGCAAACTGATCGGCCATATCGTCTTTTGTCGCAGATCAATACACCACACAAAATGCGTGTTGTCACCAATGTATGTAACAAAGCAGCGTTCGTCACCGAACGTTGATGTTGACATGGGACCGCACACATCAGTGAAACGACTTCTAGCACTTGCTTTTTAGACTTGTTAAACGACTTTTGTTAGGTATCTTACGCACGTCAAAAGCACACCCGTCGCACAGTTTCCAGTGCTTCACAGACGTTATGTCTGCTCCGCGCATCGTAGCCACTTTTGACGATTGTGTCTAGTCCACTCGGCCAATGTGACTAAGGAAAGGTGGCATAGGTATGAAGTTGGTGTCTTTGAACAGGCTACATGGCTTATCAGACATGATGTGTACTATGCACACCTTGAAATCTGAGTGCGCGAAAAACTGAAACAACTGATTTACATAGATCCCATTCGACAGTCTGTCGTATACAATTATACTAGTCGTTAATTTATCGTGAAGAAATGATTAGCTAAATAGCTTTTAGTACAATTAATTAGCATGCTACTTATTTGCCGTTTTATGTTGCAGACAACAGCGCAACCAACTTAAGAATCATATGATTTAAACGTGAGACGAAAGAAATTGCTCTATCTCAGATTTGATATAATTTTCAATATATCACATTTCCTTCATTAAGATGAACGGTTTTCCACCCTATTAAATCTCTCTAATATCTTGCATTTATCTCTTTCCAAACCCTTAATTCCTTACATTTACGTTATTTGTGAAACATTTAGACATAAAAAAATGATCGACATGGTTTATCATGTGCTCGAGTACTTGGAGGAGTTTCCAGTTGAAGCAGGCGCGAGTGAACTCAAGAGTCAGCTAACGGTCTTCAAGCATGAAGATCTACGCGCTGCTTGTGTACATCTTAATCTACAAGTGTCCAGAAAACAGAACAAGAAGGGCGGCTTTATTTCGACCTTGGTTTCCTACTGGAAGGCTACTAAAGGTGTCGCATCGGTTCCAAACGTTGCACAAAGTGTCTATCACTCTCCTAATGGACCGTTGGAAAGTGTTATGAAGCTGCCACATGATGTGGTACAATTTGTCCAGCTTTTCCCGCCTCATGGTCACGTCGAAGAGTTGCAGGAACAACTCAATGCCAACCACTCTAAGACGTTGCGCTCCGCCTGCGTCTTGCTCAAGCTGCGCTTGAACAAAGCCTCGACAAAGAAAGAATTTATACGACTTTTAATCAGCTACTGGCAGAACCGTTTGGCAGTACCGTTAACATCGGAGAGTCTTGCGTTATCAACGGGGAGAGAAAAGGAAAATGAGGTAATGGACACCAAAAGACAAAGAAGTGAAGAAGAAGAAGAAGAAGAAGAAGTAGTAGAAGAAGACGCACAAAAGACTTTGGCGACGAAGAAAGCCAAGCATAAGGCACTCGAACGCAAAGGAGATCTTATCGAGGAGAGAAAGAAGATAATGGCTGAGTCCTTGGAGAAGGCAAAGGTGGTCAAAGAGTGGGCGTCTGCAATTGAAGTCCTATCTCATGTGGATGGAAGTGCAGAAAGCATTAATTCTATCAGAAAGCTCATTAACGGAGTTGTGGACAGCGCCATAAGCGCGTGGTGAAAGGGAGAGACAGTGCTTTTGGTCTTTTTTCGTCTTGAGGTTATACGAAGTCGGCTTGTCAAGAAAACAATACATGTTATTACTGGTGCTGATAGCCAGCAGTCGTAACATTAAAGAGCCTCCCTTGGCACTCTCTTTGTCTTGTGAGACGACAATATGTAGGCTTTAGGATTGGAAAAGAACGGCATTGAGATGATACTTGCTTTTGTGCAATGGTACCAATCATTCACGTAAATAATACCGCAAAAATCAGATATCAAAGTAACAAAATATTATTTTGAGTGTTTGATCTCTATTTTATTGGTTGAAGTTTTTGTATTTTTATAATATGAAGAACTACTTGTATTTGCCTAGAGTTACGTGTTCCACACAAAGCCATTCATTTAGCTTTTACCTATTTCTGTAATTTCATCAAACTTGTACTACCGACTAGGAGCCAATCATTCATAAACTCACGTCTTGTCCCTAAAGTGATCACTATATAATGAGTAGTAGTCAAAACAGTGTGATGGAAATTCCATCATTGTCCGATACTTGTGAATCAATTGCGTCGACAACAACTATTAGTAAAAATGAACTCAAACGTCGTCTCAAAGCAGAAAAAGCAGCGAAATTGAAAGCTGAAAAAGCTGCTAAAAAAGCTGCTGACACTGCTTGTAAAAAAAACTCAACAAAAGACTCGACCTTGAATGGAGACGAGGATGAACTGGATCCTACGGCTTATTTCTCAAACCGGGAGAAAATGTTACTTGAATTGGAAATGCAAGGAATTAACCCTTACCCTCATAAATTTCATGTCTCGATTTCGCTGCGTGAATTTCATGCAAAATATCATACTGTGGAAAAAGGAACCCATTTAGCTGATATGGTTTCAATTGCTGGTCGACTTCATAGTAAACGTTCATCTGGATCAAAATTAGTCTTTTATGATCTTCGTGCTGATGGAAAGAAATTGCAAATTATGTCTGACATTGGTTCCTATGAAAATGAAACAGCATTTAATAAGATTCATAGTGTCTTACGTCGTGGAGATATTGTTGGTGTTGAAGGATATCCGGGAAAATCAAAAAAAGGAGAATTATCGATTTTTCCACATCAATTGGTTTTGTTGTCACCTTGTATGCATATGCTACCAAAAAGTCATGCAGGACTTACGCTACAACAAGATACACGGTACCGTCAACGGTATTTAGATCTCATTATGAGCAATGACAGTCGTGAAATTTTTTACACTCGAGCCAAGATTATTAACTTTATTCGACGGTTTTTAGATGATCAACATTTCTTAGAAGTCGAAACTCCAATGATGAATATGATTGTCGGAGGTGCGACAGCGAAACCTTTTGTAACGTACCATAATGAGCTACATATGAACTTGTTCATGCGTGTCGCACCAGAGTTGTATTTGAAGCAATTAGTGATTGGTGGACTTGATAGAGTATACGAGATTGGACGTCAATTCCGTAATGAAGGCATTGACTTGACCCATAATCCAGAATTTACTAGTTGTGAGTTTTATATGGCTTATGCGGACTACAATGATCTGATGACAATGACGGAGAAATTGTTTTCTGAAATGGTTAAGGAGATTACAGGAAGCTACAGCATTACGATTCAGAAGGAACCGGGTGAAGAACCTGTCACGATCGACTTTACGCCGCCGTTTAAGCGCGTGAGCATGGTATCTGCTGTGGAAGAAGCTACTGGTATCACGATTCCGATTGATGATCCCGAAAAGTGTATGGCAGTTTTGGAGGAACAAGTTACCAAGTACGAGCTGGAGTGCGCTCGTCCCCGCTCAATCGCTCGTCTGCTAGACAAGCTAGTGGGCCACTTTATTGAGGACAACAAGGCAAACTGGACCAAGCCGTTTTTTATCATGGATCAGCCAGTGTACAACTCGCCGCTAGCCAAGTATCACCGCTCGAAGCCAGCACTAACGGAACGTTTTGAACTCTTCCTGGCAGGAGCAGAGATTTGCAACGCTTACACGGAGCTGAATAACCCTAAGGTTCAGCGTGAGCGTTTTATTGAGCAGATGGAGCAGGCTGCTGCTGGTGACGATGAGGCCCAGCCACACGACGAGTCTTTTTGCACGGCCATGGAGTACGGCTTGCCGCCTACTGCTGGATGGGGCTGTGGTATTGACCGTCTGACCATGTTTTTGTCCAACCGCTTCAACATCAAGGAGGTATTGCTCTTTCCTGCCATGAAGCCGGACGAACAGGTTGCTCCGGTTCCTTCGACCAGCGGCTCGGTCCCGCTGATCTCCACGACGGGATCAGTAGCTTTGGACGAGCTAGAGAAGCGTCTAGTTGGATCTACTTTTGTGAACGGCTCGTCACCCTCAAAGGACGATACGGCTGTGTTTGAGCGAGTGAAGGTTGTAGGTAAGGATATCTTGACAAAGTACCCAAACGTCGAGAAGTGGTTGGACTTTGTGACTGCGTTCCCAAATGAACTGCGTGCCAAGTGGTAGAGCTACAGCTGTCAAAGAATGGCGCAAGGAGGAGAGCAAACGCATTGTCGTCAGCATTGATCTTGTGGTTACCCGGTGGTTTCAACATGAAAGGTTTGGTTATGTATTGGAACAGCCTCATTGAACATGAATCCTTTACTTGTTTCGCATTGCTCTTCATTTGTGCCAAAGTGAACAAGGATTCTATCTCCCATTATGAAGTGCAGTGATTTCGTGTTGCAGACAATATTCGTATCAATGGTATGATGGAATGTAAAGAGCACGCAGAAATACTAGTACAGATATCTACTGAATACCATAATCAAAAGAATCTATCAAAACTTGGGTAAGGACAACGGCTGGAAGCATTGGCAAGAGCCATTGTCGCATTGACACATCAAAAGCGTTGGTAAACTAAAATTAGCCCAACTGACCACAGCGCGGCTGTTTGATGTCCTTTTAGCACCAAAACCCAAAAACCACGACAATTTCAGCTAGATCTCTCATACATCAATCACAGATTACTCGCAGCGCCAAAATCACTGTTGCGTCATTACAACGCACGTAGCCGTTGTTGCTACGCTACTCATTTACGCTATGTGTCGTTTCCAATACTTTGCAACCACTCCATTAAATAGATGTTGTCTCGGTTGGCAATAGCAACGACACGGTCACGATCAAATTGGTCCGGATAATGAATGTAAATCCATTGCAAAATTTCAAGGTGGCCTGAACGTGTCGCGTTCTCCGCAGCTAGCCGCGTGCAACCCTCATTGTAATTGGTATATAGGAACATCAACACGTCAAAATGACCTCCTCCAGCTGCCTCATCCATCGCATTAGTCGAACATCCCTCATTACGGTGCCAATGCAGCCAGCGGACAGTTTCCAGCCATCCACCAGCAGCAGCGTTGTCCATCGCTGCCGACGTGCAGCCTTCAAACCGGTTCAATTGAAGCCATTTGATCGTTTCCAAGTGACCCCCTCCAGCGGCACGATCCATTGCCCGCACGGTGCAGCCTTCTTTACGGTAAGTATGGAGCCACTTCACCACCTTCAAATGTCCATTGGCAGCTGCGCTGTCCATGGCGTTCGAAGTACATCCTTCATTCCGTTGCGCATGGAGCCACTTAACTACTTGCAAGTGGCCTGCGCCAGCAGCTTCATCCATTGCAGCCGTGCTACAGCCTTCTCGTCGATTTTGATGCAGCCAACACAAAGTAGACAGGTGATTATTAGCAGCCGCTGCAATCATTGCATCTTGCGTACAGCCTTCAGATCTGTTCTTGTGCAACCACTCAACAATATTCAAATGGCCGTTTGCTGCAGCGCTATCCATCGCCTTGGTCGTACAGCCTTCATGACGATGCTTGTGCAACCACTGCAGCACCTTTAAGTGACCATTCCGCGCAGCACCATTCATAGCTTCTCGAGTACAGGCTTTCCATGATTCCAAAAATCGATTCTGATGCAGCCATTTGACCATCTTCAAGTGTCCATTAGTAGCTGCCTTGTCCATTGCTACCGTTGTCCAGAGCACAAATTTTCCGTCAAACTTCTTGCCATGTAACCACTTGACTACCTGCATTTGTCCATTTTCTGCCGCTGCAGTGGTCGTCCGAGTCGTCACTAAGGTCGGTTGACGTCTTGCTATTTTTTTCACTGCTTCCAAATACCCTCTTCCTGCTGCTTCATTCAATGCACTTTCTCGCAAAACGGAATGTCCTTTCATCATGTATTTAAACACATCTAAATGTCCATGAGCTGCGGCTTCTCCTGCTCCATAACCAGACCATTGTCCTCTTACTTTATGTAGCCATTTCACAAGTTGTAAATTACCATTTCGAGCTGCTGATTCAATTGCATGAATTCCAACAAAAGGTGGTGCTGCATGAGCTTGTAACCATTTTACAACACTCACTTGATCATATTGTGCTGCTATACACATTTCACTAGCACCCCAAAATACTTTCGCATGGGCTTCATAGAGCCATTGTAGAATTCGTACATGTCCATTTTGTGCTGCTTTCTCAACTGCATTTGTCACTCGTCCTTGTGGAAAATACACTTGACATAGCCATTGAATAACACTTAGATCCCCTCGTTTTGCTGCATTTGCTGTCGCATGTGCAAAAATCCATTGCCGATACAATAAATTATCCACAAGATCATCCAATGGCGTCAACTCTTGTAAAATCCGTAATCGTTCCAATAAATGGAATTTTGCCAGTTGGAGATTTCGATGACATGCTTGAGGGATTGAAAAGTATGAAGAATAATCCAAATACATGGATATTTTCATTTCAATATGGACAAGTGAAGCAACCGTTGGAGAAGAATTGCGTAGAGCAACGACGACACATGTAAGAGGTGGTAAATGCCAATGAGGATTGAAATAATAATCTTGAAACGCTTTTTCTTCTTTTTCGTTTTCTTTATCTTTTTCTTGTGCAAACGTGACTCGTTTATGGTGAAATTCATTGAAACATAACGACATAGAGAGAGAGAAAGTTATGTTATACTAGTCTTAATTTCAATCAGTAGAATTTTAGAGATGTTGTTTAGACGGTGAATTGTCGACTGACTCACTCACTTGGATGAAAATGGGATGCACCAAAATAATAATCAGGTTTACTGGTGTTTGTCGAAATGAATCTTGAAACGTGGGTTTTTCAAGAAAAAACGTTTTTTTTTTTTAGATACGATTGTGGGTATTATATGGTTTAGTCAGTGTATTCAGTTACACAGGTTCAACTGTTAGAATTCTAAATTGAGACGTTTACGTGAGTTCAGTAGCATCATCATCTCACCGGATGTTGGCAGTCAAGAAGGAAATGGATTGGCTGAAATACTGCAGAAAAAAGAAGAACTGGTCAAAAGTAATGCACGTTGACCACAATGTAGCTCTGTATATGCGTGTCTGTTTACTTGCAGCTGCTACTGTAGTATAATGTAGCAAAACTTCCAGTTTGGTATATATCCGATGTTAGCAACGTCGTCCTAGATACAAACGAGTCATTATCTCAACTACATTTTACTAGTTAACGCAATATACTGATGCTTTGATATCAAGCAGACCTTGTTGGCATTTGCCTCGTCATGATCTCGTTAGCCAATTTAATGTGTGTCAAGGTAATGACATATACTGAACGAAAAAACAGCCACACAGAGAAAGATTAGAGCAATCTTGGAGGATTATCAGTGGTGACTGACGTTAATTTCAAGTTATTGAATCTACTTCCTTTCTGAACCGATACTTTTCTTTGCGATGAGTCAAATGGACTGAAAAAATGCAGTTGGCTCAGTATATTCAACAAAGTAGTTACCTTAACACTAAATATCATGTTACTATTTAGTCACCCACTTTGTAGTTAAAGCCTTGTTAGGTCAAAGGTCACATCACGAAAATTATGTCAACCATGTGACAGTCTATTTTAGGCTAGACAGCGCAAACTGCAATGGGAGACTTGTCCTAGGCTTGTAAAACTCATTTGCGACGGCCCGAAATTGTGCTGAACCATTCCGATAATAAGTTATGGATTGCGCCTTACAAACACCGCTAAGGATGACTTGAAACAGTCGGTCACACGGTACATGTTGAGTGAAGAATAAAACGGTAGCCCACGCAACACATTGATGCGCTAGCAGAGATATTGGACGCATGATACCTGGTGAGCAATGGTTGTCTATCATTCAATCAATTGCTTCTTCGAGCACAGTTGTAAAGCTTTACATCGTCATTATTCACTAGTCAATCATGGGACACCTCGAGGCCACGTTTCAAGTACTTACCGTTAGCTCATCCGTCTTCGTGAGACTTTCACCATGGCCAGACTTTCAGCGCATTTGCAAGACTAAAAACACTGGTGAAGTACAAATTCTTCCTGTGGTGATGCTATTCACTAATTGCGTCGTGCTCGCATGGTTTGGCTACTTGTCCGAGAACATTTTTCCGCTCTTCGTGACTGCTTTGCTTGGGCTTGTTACCTGCGGAGGATTTATTACAGTCTTTTATCGCTACACCGACGACAGACCATCCCTGCACAGAATCTGCGCTGTAGGTTTCGCTGTTATCGTACTTGTGTGTCTGTACGGCGCCATTGGCCTTGCAGGCGTTACGGGGCAGTCCAAGTTCTCTATGGCCACAGCAATGGGTGCTTTCTCTGTTGTCACGTCCATTGGGTTGTATAGCTCCCCTCTTGCTACAATCCAGCGAGTTATGCGCAGTAAATCGACGGCCTCGATGCCTTTCACGCTTTGTCTCGCAAACTTCTTTAGCAGCGTATGCTGGACGATCTATGCGATTATTATCGAGGACGTGTGGATTCTTCTTCCGAATGCTTTTGGCTGTGTTCTCACTACGATCCAATTGGCATTGTATGTCATCTACCCGACGTCAACGGCAACGGAAACACAGGTCATAGCCGACCACTCGGGTGTCACAATTGAGATTGAGGGTAAAACCTCACTGTCGATTGTGTTGAACACTACCACGCAAGAAGGAGGCCGTGTAGGAAGGAAGAGTAACATTGAGCAAAATGACTGCTTTATCGAGGTTCGATCGCCTGTAACGAAGTAATTGTCGCTAGCATGTTGCCAAGGGACGTTATCCGCTAGCGTGAATAGACTATCTTTCATTTACTTCGAGTATTCCTAATTGCTTCATGCACTTTCGTATCTGGACCTTACATTTGAACGTTTTTAGGTTAAGAAAACGTCAGAATTCAGAAAACAACATGCCACAATAAAGCGCCGTTTGCTAGTAGTGCCACCAACGGTTTACGTTGCCACTTGTTTGACCTTTATGCTACGCTAGTCAGCGCAAATCTTACTGCGATATCGTAAGCCGTCTTTGTTCCGAACAGAGCCAAACAAGATGGTCAACTTAAATCGTCATGACTTCCAGCAAAAAGATCGCAACGGTCTTTACCGCCAAGGATAATCTATATGTGCAGGTAAACGCAAGAGGTGTCTTCTTCTGGCTAGAGTTGTAAGGATTCTAGATTTTGCCGTGTAATGTAGTGCACTGGCTAAAGATCAAACGGACAATCGATTGGCTTACGACCGCTTTGCTCATATCTTCTTGTGGTACGTGATACCTGCAAAACGCTTGCACCAAAATGTGCAGTAGTCATCCAATCAGTTGTTTCCAACGGGTTGGAGAGATTTTCATGAATGTTCTACATGTATCGCGATCTGCTTTGACGAAAGCATTGGTCGCATGACCGACTACTTTTCAGTTAATCTTACAAGATTGCAGCTAAAGGCTATTACAAGAAAAATGAGCGGCTACGACACCGTTGTCACTGTGGCCAGAGTGCTAACTGTCATCACCACCATCGTGTTGCGAGCTTGCTAATACAGGACTTTAATCGGTGGCGGAAAAAGTGGAACAAAGGAGACATGTCAGTCATGCCGTGTGCTTTGCGTCACACTACTTGCTACGCCATACTTTACTACGCATACGCCACCGGCGACATGATCCCGTTATCTGCAGCAACAACGCTAGGTGTTGACGTAGGAGGGATCCTTTCCTACTATGTTAACGGTAGACAGCCTACAACGTACAGCCTTGCAAATCTTTTTTGGATCCTATGTGGTCTGTGTGAAATAGTGACAATGTGCGGTGCTCTTGCTCGTACTGGAAGAACGCGTCAATCTCGAGAGGCGGTCGAGATAACATCACTGTTGCGACAACTGTCGCAATGTACACGTCGCCATTGACTACACTATCGTAAAGGCAGCCCTGACTAAAGATAGCGTCGTCAATGCCATTCACTATAGGGGGTTGTCTTGGTGACGCGCATAGCTAGCTTTTGCTACATTGGTGTCGATGTGTTCATCCTGGCTTCCACTATTGCAGAATTTTCACTTAGCGTGAGTCCGCTGAGTCTCTCAACAAATGCCCTACCAGAGGATGTTCCAGTCGTCACATGTCGAAATAAACCAGCTCCATCTGTCGTGCTTTTGTCGCCAATTCAAGACGGTAAATGTGACAGACAGGTCAGCTCAGTGGATAGCCAGAGGAGTTCAAGTTTTGTCGCACTACGCTCTCCTGCTTGAATCGAGACACGAGTATAGCATAATGTAACGTGTGGTGATAGATAGCGAGTAGGCATTTATCTACCCTAATATACAAAAAGCAGATATTCGTTTAAGTAATGTCGTTTGCATGTACATGTCTTGTTTTAATGTCATCAGTAGATTCAAATAGTACCTGGCCAAAGTGATTGGCGACATGATCTCGTCCGTTGAAGGTTAGCAACCTGATAGATAACGCCAACGAATGAAGCACGAAACGATCGGTACCAAACCATTGCGATTTTTCGCCCCCCTCCGTCTAGAACTGGCATGTTGTTCACAAAGGTGAAGTTTGAAGGTTTCAAGAATTTTTGATTGTGTACCATGCATTGATGTGTTTAAGTAGAAGACTGGGACGATCAAGTCATATCTGAATTTGCATTCGAAACCCCAACAAACTCTATTTTCAAGATTAAAACACGATGAGTACGTACGAGATTGCTGTCAATGTATTCGAGTGGCTCACGCTTTTTACGACGCTCCTGCTTCGAGTTTCGTTGATTCCAGACTTTCGTCGGATGCACAAGAGTCACAGTACGGGCGAGATGTCGGTCATGCCATGTTTACTACTTTTAACAAATTGCTACGTTGGCTTTTTCTACGCAATTGCTGTCAACAACATTATGCCGCTTCTTGCGCAAGCGACTGTAGGAATCGTTGCAGGAGTTTTCTTCAACTACTTCTTCTACCGCTGGGCTGAGGACAAGCGCGCTGTCGTAAAAGCTTTCATTGGTTCTTTTGTGGTGTGTATTATTGTGACACTCTACAGTATTCTCGCATTGGCAGGACATACGGGTCAATCTCGAGGATCAGTTAGTACAACGTTGGGTTTCATGACAATTGGAACGAGCGTTGGGATGTACGTGTCACCAATGGCCACCATCGCAACAGTTCTTCGAACAAAGACTGCGTCGTCAATGCCATTTACAATGGGTGTTGTCAATGTCTTTAACAGCTTTAATTGGGCAACATACGCTGCTTTGGTCGACAACAAGTTCATTTTGGGCCCAAACATTGTAGGGTTTATACTAGGTTGCATTCAATTGATTCTCACGTTTGTCTACAGGCCCGAGGCTAGTGATTTAGCTGAGGAAGCGAAACGCGATGGAACTCTGTCAGTTGTGGTTATTTCTCCTGGTTGTGAGAGCGAAAAAGTAGTTTATTCGGCTCACGTGAAGAATTCAAGTTTTGTAGCAGTAACCTCCCCATATTACGAGGATTCGATTACAGCCAGAGGATGTAGTGGGAAAGCCTAAGAGTTTTTTGATCTTTTCATGGCAAAACAAGCTTTCACCAGTTTCGCACATGCGCAGGCTTGTATAAACAACGGTTGAAAAGACTGTGAGATATCTCACTTACAAAACAAAACGCTTTTTCTTCGGAAACTCGTTTTGTGAACTTCATAAACTCTATTATAAATATAATCCCACATACTAATTTTTCGAGCTGACATTTCCATCATGATAGAGTTGCATACAAACGTGACAAACATTACCCCTCATAACGATGATTCTTCATCTTCGGCATAGTATTGTTACAGAAATATTAACTATCTCCAGCACAATGAATTACGACTAATTACTTATAAGCTTTTCATGAATGCTGTTCATAACTAATTTGTCCCACTTTTTAATATGCATACACCATTGTGTTTCACGATCTCACGCTGGTTGCACACGCTTCCGTTATAATTTATGTCCCTTTACTATTTACTAGTTATACACATATCTCTATCGCAATGCTTGCACTGTAGTACATTAAGAAAATCAGGTTGAATATTTCAATCGATAAGGGCAGATTCTTTCAAGTCATCGACGTACGTTTCAATTGCTATGGAATTCAAACAAGTTACACATGACCGGCTCATCATGCACCACAAAGCTATGTATATAAGTCCTCATTTTGCGGCAATATGTGCCCAACGTAGCGGTCATTGCGACTGTCGAATGGAAGTTACAGAAGAGGGTGCTGTGTAATCCGATATAGCCCATACTGGCGTGCGATGCCAAGATTGCGAGCGTCTAGGCCGTTGGAGTGTGTCGCTGCGTCTTGCTAAGATCACGAGGTGTAGAGTTTCAAAAGAGTACCAGTACTATACGAACGTACACGCGTGTGGCTGGATTGCAGTGAGACTGTTGTACCAACAATTGTACATGCTTGCTCTACACATCAGCATCTTTTCATGGTTTTTAGTATTATAATTGCTGCTTCGTGAAGCCTATGCGCCGCTAAGCTTTCTTTAGCTACAAGAAATGCACAGTTTAAATATTCTGACGCTGTTTAGCACAAGTTCATTCTTGCTCATTGCAAAACAAAACTAAAGTTACGAACATGAAGTGGACGAACGAACCGCTTCGTGTTCGTATCACGCTTTTGTTTTCGTGATACGTTCGGAATCACGATAACCAAAGTCTTAACCAAAATGGCGTAATTAGATTAGCATGAACTATTGACCGTACTGATGACACCCATCGTGAGACGAGATCATGGTTCGAATCACGTGCCGGGTAGTGGCCATCGGTTGACACGTATAGACCAACAGACGAAATGATGAGGAGAATACCAAACGGTGTACTCGTGAACGAACGATCTTGGTCCGTCTAGCCGAGAAAAGCGATCACATCGTAAAACGTCTCAAAAAATATGAATATCCCTTAAATAATGAGCACCTTCAGGATGTTGCATTTGTGTGTGCTGTCCACTTGTATCAAAAGACGAGCAACTACACCAGGCATTACTACTAGGGACAGCAGGATAATATTGTCGACAAACGTAACTATACGATTTCAATAAGTAGCAGTTGGTGTACAGTAGCACGCACGGCAAAGACCGGCATATCGTCTGTGCTGTGTTTAACTCTTGCATTCGTTGAAAAAAGTCAGGCAATAGCGACATTTGCATCATGATAGTGGTGATGATTGTGATAATCTTAAAGACTAGAACGACCGTATCGTTGCCGCTCATCGACAACAAATGAAGTTTTATATTGCAGACGAAATCGCTCTTCTACTAACGAAGGTGCGAGGATGGAAGCACAAGTGAGACTGAGACTTGTCAATCACCATGATGTTTGCTGGAGGGAAGTGCAAGATTATGATTGGGTTTGGTCATGTTAAGACATTTCAACACCCGTGTGATCTTTTGATCATATTGTTGTCGGATAAACACTGATTATTATTGTGGTCGTCTCCTACTGTTTGGTTTCAGAGCGTGAAGTACTTGCAACTAGAAGAGCGTTACCGGAAGACTGATGTAGTTCTGCAAAACCTTGTGATCTTATGTCGATTCAATCCATCAAGGGAGATCTGGCAAAAGAATAAAATGACTATAGATTATGCTAGACTTTGTAGATTGACACATCACAGGGCACCCTCTTTACCTAAACAAATACATGACTGGCATATAAATGCAGCTTAACTTCACGTCGAGGGCGTTTGGGTTCAATAAGGATACGTTGGAAGATAAAACCGTTGTATCCACTCCACTAGAGATTGTAAAGCACATTCACGATGTCTATCGATGTCGCTGATTTGCTTTAAATCATTGACGTTGAACGCGTAACAGATCTGTCGTACAGTGACAATTCACGTTAAGCGTGCGATTTTTAGGCTACAAATCTCATTGCACTTCAATTTAACCTGCACGATCCTTACAGAAACGCAATAAACGACAAGTTAACGTGTACGTTCCTGGCTGCATGGAGCAGCACAGTAGACTGCTGAGTGCAGTGTCCCCACAAAGCGGCGTCATTATGATTTCTAAGCTCGCGGATGCCTGTTGAATGAAATCACGTTAAGAAGCTTGGGTAATCATGCAAACAGGGTCTGCTTCTGAATTCATCATGACCGTGTCAGAAGGCTTTATTCTTCATCGTACCTGCAACGGTGCTCTTTCCAGCAAATGCCGAACATAGCAGCCTAAACTGCAAACAAACCATACTCAACAACGACGCCGCTATTTTCTTTTTCAAGACCACTCACTAGTGTCACAGGCATTCAGGATTATGAAGAGTAAAATGTGTAGATTGTTTATGATTTAGAATGAAAGCAGCTATTTTGCTTTCATCTGGTAAACATGACCGCATTTTCTTTGATGTACGTGCTGTCCATATACATCGTCTACGTTAGCTTGACCTTTTTTTCTTAAGCTTATAATGTACATCTTTCAAAGTGCAGCTACTCGAACACATATAGATGGCGCTCATACTGTCGTCGTTTGTTGCAATATCGATACAGGTAGATATTGTGATTGCGATGAGATAGTATTACTGAAGGCCACTCATCAGACAAGGATTGGCTTTCATATTAGTAATACTCCGATCTAGTAAGTGATTACACTCTACGATTACCAGGTGTCAGATTTATTATATACTTTTCATAAGCATTTAACTTTCGAAGAACACGCTATTGTAGGGACCTTTCAGTCTTAACAGCTCCATGCAGCCCGATCCAGCACCTATTAAAAATTACACTGAATATTACTTGACTGCTTGTAAAATGAACAACCATGCTATACGAGGATTAAATTGACGTCGATTTCCGCCGAGCAGGCCCGCTAGTCGTGCAAAGCACGGAGTTTAGTCGGTCGAGGCAGCCAGCCACAAGAAAGTTTGAAGGCTCGACAATGTCATGAGTATGGTTCCAAATTCTTGACGTTATCTATTAGTAAACGATAGCCTTCCAACGTGTTTTCTTGCTGCACGTACGCAGCAGTTCGACGGTAGTCCTTCGTCACCTTACTCACGGTTAACCAAAAGCTCACTAACAATCTTGGAATTGCCGTTGTACACCTTAGCAAGGGCGTTGAGCAAGACCGTATCATCAGAACCGATTTTTCCTCACAGGCCAAGAACTTGTCCATGCTTGTCAAATCTTGTCGAGGATACGCTTTGTCTCCGTCTATTTGTTACCTCCCTCCACAAAGCAAAGCAGCAAACAGAACGTTACGAAACACAAGCGGCTTTACTGATCACGAGGTCAGAGAAGCCGAATTGGTGGCAAGTTTTTACGATACGAATTTACCGAAAGAGCACAGAAACCCAACAAAAGCTTTGCAGTCACGATAGCTCAGACTACGACAGCTTGAAACATTCCGCTTGTGCCTGTTGGAAGTTGAAACGAATGGAACAACCAGACATTGTGTCAATACAGGGCGCAGAAGATAGTACCATCGCAAATGAACTTTTGTTGTCTTCTTCAACAAAAGTTCATTTGCGATGGTACTAATGGGGCGCAATTGTCCTCAAGTTCAGTGCAAGAAATAATCCCATCACACACTTTCGGCAAGCGTGAATCCACATAAGATAAGGGTGCGCAGGACATAAAAATATTCATCAATTGATTTGTATCTAGTAAGACGCAATAGAAGTTAAGGCAAAGATAAGCAGTTTATTGACTCGTTACTAATCTTGCAAAAAATCAAATCTGCCAAGCCTTCCACTTTCAGCACCACTCCCTTTCATCCCCCGCTTCTTTCAGCCCAACTCCTTTCTGCCCCACGTCTTTCAGTCCAACTCCTTTCTGCCCAACTCTTTTCAGTCTCGCTCCCTTCAGCCCGCTCCTTTCACCCCCCTTGCATGTCTCGAATTTGTGATGATCTCGTAGTTAAAATCACTTTTAACTGATTACTATTGCACCACTCCACTTTACTTCGGCAACAGGTTACGCGACGGAAAAGTGACATACGGTTTTCCGTTTGAGTCACAGAGACCGTAAAACACTTGACCCGTCTTACCTTGTTGCCACTCGAGTGGGTCGAAGAACAGGTAATAGGATGACCAACCTTTACCCTTGATCCAGTCGGCCCAGTCATTCAAGAATTGCTGCATATTCGTAACCGACGACGGAGTTTTTCTGACAACATAAGAGCGATGCGGAAAACCAGTCATCGTCAAACGCAACTTGCCCGAGCCAAACTTATTCTCTGCAATACTCCACTTCGCTTTAAGATTCTCGATCGGCTTTTTTCCATTGTCAACGTCGAATACATTGATAGCCACACCAATAAGGTCGCACTCCTTTGCCAAAATCGTTCCTTCATTCGTGTTCCAAGATTCAATTTGCTGCGACACACCAACTGGCGTTACAATACCCAGACACTTATGGATGGCTTTCACGTCATCAATCAATTGCTGTTGTGACGGCTTGAGAATATTCATGGTACTTTCCAACGCGTCATACCTGACGTAGACGGCATCGACAATAGCCTGGAATTTCATGACGCTTTCACACACGAGTTGGATATAATCGGGCCCATTGCCTGCCGTTACTGCAACTGCAATTCGAAGACCGACATCTTTTGCCACTTTGATTGCATTCACATTATCATACATCAGCTCGCTCGTAAAAACGCTATCGAAGTTTTTACTTATAAGAGTAAAATCATCGTGAAGCTTCTGGTAAGTGTAGATTCCATTATAGTGCTCACGCGAGTAGAAGACAGATGCATTAAGCCTTTCGTACGGAACAAGGTCGGAAGAAGCCGTGGCAACATCAATGGCAACGACAATAGCCGTAGTGACGACGGGTAAAAACTTCATAGCAGCTGCTTCTGTTGCCAATCGTAGCGTGACAGATAAGTTGGTTTAAGGACTTGTGCTTGACAAAGAAGGTTGGGAAATGAGCTCTAGTTTGCTTTAAAAAAAAGAAAGCATCGTGGGCAATAGGATAAGTAATTCACGACGCTTATGCACCAGAGAAACATTTCTAGCTCTTCACGGCTTATCCATACAAAAGGTTTAATCATGAAGCTACCGAAGAGATGAGGCAACCCTGTCACTTGTACAAGATGAAATATTATCTGCAAGGAGAGAAGGATCCAGATGCAATCTTCAGATCTGCTCTAAAATTTTGTGGGAATTGGTGCCATTGCGTTACGCCGACTGCAAATTCTTACAGTACCGTTGTTTTAACTAAAAATTAGCATGTCGCATGATATGTATTAGACAACTAATTCGTATGGAATGCTCAACACATGCTGTATTTCATGGCAATTATCCTTCACCTTCCTCTTCACACAAAAATACTTGGCTATAGAACTCGGCACCATGTTTTTTACTGTTCTTTACATGCCGATATTAATACATGTTGTTGACCAAATGCAGCATGAAAGCTTTGCCATGTTGTGAGGAAGCATAGAATCATATTGTTTTGAGGCACGTTATGGCGTTGACTCGTACCTAACTATTATCTGCTCATCAAGTCATGGAGACCAAATTGTTTACTCTTCTCGTGGGAAGGGGGGAGGTCTGCATAGTCCCTGTCGCAACATCTGGCCTTAACTTCTTCCGTCGCACGATCGGTTTTTAGATAGGTGAGGATTTGTTCTTGCGTCGGGTAGCATTAAAATCCAGGCAGGATTAACCCTCCTATGGGCAATAAGCAAATACATATAAAGTACATGACCGTGACGAGCGATGTGACATGGGCATAGCAGGATTGTTTCGTACGAATTCAGCTCTGAAGATGTGATTCGTACGTGTATGGCAGCAAGTGTTCTTGGAAAAGGACGACCTTGGGGAGGAGAACGTCGATACCTGACCTGAACTATCTACGATTGATTTCGTTTGCATTCAAGGCGTGCAGTCCCCTCCTTCTGGAATTTTATACATATTTTACAGATATAGAATAGATCTGTAAGAGGATACAGCGTGATAAAAGCGAATAATTCGTAGAATTTTTTATTTTTATAGAAAAGTAAGCAGAGAAAATCCAATAATGTTCTGACTTTGTTTCTGAATCCATTGACAACCCTGATCGCGTGTGTTAAAGAACTCATTGTCCGATGGTAGAAACCTGATGACGGAGAGCTTCAAAGTCACTTTCGTTCAAATCGTTCTGCAAGTTAAGTATTACGTTCCTGCCACGACTAACACTAACATCGGTATACAGCAGCCGACTGCCAGAAGTTACGGAGGGCACAAGACGCAGGTGGCATCGTTTTCAACACGCGCATCCACTCTTTCATGGATTTTTACAGAGCGTGCGTAATTCCGTTGCCAAAGGGCACGTACTGTTGGACTCAAGAAACAGACGTTTCGGTGGTGCAAAGGTTGAGGAATTTCTACTGATATTACTCTACGAGGGCGGAGTGTACGGTAGACCGTAGCTTTACAGCAGACATCACGAGCAATGTGAGACCATGGCCGCGTGCTCACGAAGTACCAATTCTGGGTCGTGTATCACGTGGCCGCTCGGTAATGAATATCTACCAGATGGGCAAGCGGCAACAGTTGTAAGCTACAGTGCTGCCGTGAAACTAAAGAAACGTTGGAATATATTATTTGCGCAAGCATGCTAGCAAAAACTTATCTACCGCTGGACTAAGATCGACGGGAGCTGGGGCGTCATCAGGGCTTTCCAGTCAACAGTACAAGCCGACGAGCACCAGAGCTATCGAGGTGGTCCGTGAACAGCTCAGCCGTGGTTATCCCGACGAGCTAGCCACATACATCGACGTGCGGCGGCACCTATGGATAATCCTGATCAGAATATGCCATGAATGCTTATGGATCGAAGAAATCGGGTAACGTTCCAACAGGCGAAGCTGACTATCGGAGGCAGCTTTCAGGAACCTCAATGCAGTCATCACAATTCAGATGTTGGTGAAGTCGTCATCGTGCCATCACATTTATGCAGTAAATGTGCCGTCTGATTCAGCTAGCCTATGAGTTCTACCTCGTAAGTGTGTTGCAGGATGTTTATATTATGACAGAAGCACGTCAGTTCCTTGAAAGGCACGTGGGTTCAAACAGAAGCACGTCAGTTTCTTGAAAGGCACGTGGGTTCAAACAGAAGCACGTCAGTGTTGAGCTTGCTTTACAAATCTCTGGTCTATATCTTTAGCATGCGAAAGTTTCGCGTCTTCACTGCTATCTAGTGCTATTGCAGACGATACAAGCGCTGTGAAATATTGGGAAATGTTCGGCTTTCCAATCCATACAGGCAAAGGTATCATATTACTTGTGATCAGCAACGTGCATACGTGTTAGCATGTAAAGTGTACCTCAAATGGCATCGAATGCGTTTATTTTATATTTGCTAGCCAAGTGTTTTCTATAAAGCGGAGTGGATAGCACTGAATTGCAATTAATACCAGGAGTACTACAAACCCATTTTTGGCTGTCATCAGATGTTGCTTTTTTCGTAAAAAACCGCGCCACAACGTTTATGTTCGGCGTCGTCAAGGTCAGTTGTATTGCGACAAGTACCAAGAGCAGATCCGACGATTGCATCTGATTTTTATGATCTGCACTATTAAGCACCTTATTGATAGCAGCCATGTCTCCATACTCTAGGTGGGCTTCATCCGTGGCTTCAACCATGACTTCATCCTTGGCTTCAACCATGGCTTTATCCTTTGGCTTCAGCCATGGCTTCATCTGTGGCTTCAACCATGGCTTTTCCGTGGCTTCACACTCGCTCAGCCAATTAGACGCACTTGCTCCACCTCCCTCGTACCCTTCAAAAACCGCTCTATTGAACACAATCTGCAAACGATTTGCCATGAGTTGAAGCTTTCTGCAGTGCTTGATACATACAGTCTTTTACTCGCCCAAAATCCACATGGTCAAGTTATGCGGAGCCAAAATTTATACTTGTGCGCGTGTCACAAACCAATGCCAGCATGCGCTCTGCGTAGCAAACGAGAGTTCATTTCCAATTCTTCCTTGTCAAGCGCAAAAGTCCTCACAACAACTACTAGGTCCGTTTTTCATATTCGACAGCCGTAATGAAGTCTGCGACTTCTTTTGCCGTTTTCACTGCTTTTGCCGTCAGCTCCATCGAAGCCTTACTACCACCTAGCGTGGGCGTCTGTTACGTACCGTGGCGCCTTCAAAGTATCACCTGGGAGACATTGCAGGCCGACATGAGCCAAATATCCAAGTACTTTAAACACATTCGGACGTTTGAGTTATCTTTCGGAGACTACAACGCTATCGATGTGGCGGCTGCAGCTAACCTCTATATCGATCCAACTGTGCAGCTAGGCAATCCGGCCAAGATCGATTCGGAAATCAACGCGTTTTGCGAGGGCTATAAACGTAATCGTTGGGCTGTCAAAACTGTCTACGTTGGGAATGAGAACCTTAGAAACGGTGGCTTTGGTCAGTACACAGTTAATGAGTTGTTAGGCTACATTCAGCGTGTCAGAAACTGCGTGGACCCGAGTCAAACATCTGTTGGAACCGTGCAGCGTATTACCGAATGGGTAACTGCCCCTGATGCAATGATTTTGGCAAGCAATTGCGACGTTATCGGTGTCAATATTTACCCGTTCTTTACGATTAGCCAGGAGACGTCGATACAGAAGCTGCAGTCTCAGTGGAATTCGATGATCTACCATGTATGACCCTGCAAAGGTTCGCCTTACAGAAACTGGTTATCCGTCCGCGGGCGATCCATTTTGGACCTAACACGCCGTCGCTCCAAGCGATGCAGGAGTACTTTCAAGCCTTCATTCAGTGGTCCATGGACAAGCCTGTATCGTATTGGTTTATAATGTACGACTCATATGTGTCCTACTCGGGTCGGAACTTTGAAATGTACTTTGGTCTCTTCGACGTCAATGGACGCCAGAAATTTCCATTTTAGATTCAAAGCTGGCGAGCAGTACATGGGAACAAGTAGCCGATAGATTTATCATCACGTTGTAAATCTATTTAGCTTTCAAATGTAACAGCTACAATTGAATTACTTTGCAAATAAAAGCATGCTCGTTGAAGCAGCAAGCCCTTAGTCTTGCGATAAACGTGAAGCAAGCAAGGTATAACACGAATGTGCCCATTCTAAGTCAAAATAGTTACGCATTGCAAGCCCGCAACCTCAAAAGTCTTAAAGCTAGGAAAAGAAGTCTTAGCTATCATATCCTTCACCTCAATGAATGCGACGCCAAGACGATTGTCTTGGTTACACTCGTCTGGACCTATCGAAAGCGTTTACGGCATGCTGGGGCAACACAAGAACATTGTTACTTGCAAGATATGCCCGCGCATAAAGCCTGCCTTATACTCGCAGGCTCTTTCCTAATCACTAGTAACTGCAATAAAATGGATTCCGATCTCGATGGACTTGATTCATAACCTTTTTTTTTACGGCAGAGGGTTAGTAAAGTTCTGTTGGAACCGCTTCAGCATGATGATGCATCTTGCTGCAGAACCGACTGAGTTGTCAGCTGATCCAGATAGTACATTGTCCATGGGGATAAGTTGCTCAAACGCCATGACACGTCACGTTGGTCCGCGTTCCGCGCTTCAAGGCGCACTTCTGGCAAGAAAAGTGTTTACTAACGTTTGAGATACTGAACTCTCGAAAGCCTTACCGACCTACTGAGAGCGTAGATGACGTGCTCACAAATCGTGCGTAAGCGGTATGAGCTCTTTGCTTTATCAATTGTGCGACTTCTCGCCGATGACGGGGTATGCCAGACCAATATTGTACACCTCGACGGTCACACACCATATTCGGTGACTATAGTGAGGCACCACGCGTTTGAAGCATGCTCGAGACGACAATATCGCTTGAAGAAATGCGAAACACATTGTAACAGTAACAGTTGTGATGAATACATCGAACTCTAAGTTTGCGCAGGGCGAGAACACTTACAGGAGCACATAAAGACAGGGCTGTGACAGAAACAACAACACAGCAGCTTGGCCGTTACATTGTGTAAAGCACTTGCAACAACACCACAACCAAGAGATAAACAAGGTGTCATTTAAAAACAACTATCATCGAGAAGGATGGGATCAAACCCAGCAGCACTCCGACTGAAAACATCACTATATTGGAAACCGCCTGCTAAAGCGTCAACAAGATTGTTTTAGTATTGACGAGGGTATGGTCAAGGCATGTCACGCTTCTAGCAATTCGTCTGTAAAGTGTTACAAAGCAAACTCCATTCATAGAATCCATACGTTATCTTGTAACAGAATTATTGTGAGAATGAAAGTCGTCCCGCCACCATTATCTTTTAGCTCGAATGATGCGTTATCGATCATTTTTTATACTGTATCCATTTGTAAATAAGTAATCCATGCCAGAACCAAACACCCGGTGCAATAAATCCTCATCTTACTTTGGTCTCGCGACAAACGAATTTGCGGCCACTGTTTTAATATATCCCAAGCATAAACTGCTTAGCACAGTCATAACAGCACCACCGCATATACCATTGAAGGCAGACACGATATTAGTTTTGCGTAGCATAATTACTTTGTCAACACCTAGTGTGTATTGTGCCTTCCGAAGGATGCGCGAATTGGTCTTTTGATCACGTTTGCGACTCTGCTTACGAACGTATACCGTGTGATCGATACAGCATCTACTGATAGAAAAGACTCATTGTAAAGCAGAGAAAGAACAAAGCTGAGCAATGGTAGTCGATCTGAACCCAAGGACAATCGACTAGATCACTTGCGTGAAATACGTCGTAGGATGGAAGACGATTGATGATTGGTTTACCTGCATACAGCGCAAATACCAGTAGCTTGTTCAAACGTTTTCTGCACGCTATGATCTCGACCACGGCCACAGTGGCAACAGCAAGGAAGGCCTTGCCATTTTCGATATTCTTGCCTCCATGAGTCTTTGTTTTTGCCAACGCCATCTCCAGAGGTTGAGATTTTTGTGATGATTTGGAAGATCAAGTAGGAGGACATGACCAACACTGAACAAAATTGTAGTGGAGGTTGTTTTGTTGCCACAACCACAGTCAAAAGTCCGTACTTTGACTTCTAGGCTTTGATCGTGGTTGTTGGAGTAGGCAGCTTATAAATAGTGCCGAAGCGTAACAATTTAGCGGAACTTGATATCGACTATTATCAAGAGGAACTTGTCCAGCGTCAAGCACGCACTCGCCCGCAACAGGATTGCGTAGCGAAAACTATGATTAGGACCATTACAGAGCAAACGTAAAGCACGCAGAATTGCTTAACTTTATGCGTGAGATGTGAGCTCCAGTGACAGCATTCTGCTGTGTGTTAACATGATGCTAGAAACAAACAAGGGATCTTACGCTATGTATTAACGCAAGCTGCCACATTACTCGCAGCAATGTAGTGATGTTGTACAGTAGCCCTGCTACTTCGCAATTGCACGCGGCATTTTATCTCAGCTCGTTGACATAATGGCAACGGGCTTGTTGCGTATGTGAGCTCCTGTGAGTGTATGCAATCGAGTTAGAATGTGTACAATCGCTCCGTAGCATCAGGCAGCTCTCACCTTCCAGAGCCATACACAAGCTCACCAATGTGTTGTAGGAAAAGGTTTGTATACGATCTACCATAGCATCACCACTTAGCATCGGCATCTCCGACCTGGCGGTTTTATCTCATGTAAATCCGAAAAGGGGAAGGCCACTTGCTTCATGTTTGGCGATTCTCCGCTACACTTTCATACAACTCAGCCGTAGCAACGCTACCTTACGCCACCAGTTTGCTACAACAAACTTCTTATTGCTCTAACAAACTCACAACCACGTTGCAACGGCACTAGACCTTGCACTCGCTCATAAAAACAAAGCCGGCACAAGCAACAAACAGTATGACTGGAATATATGATCTACCTTCCATGTTTAGCCAGTGTTTGCAACAGCCTTTTGTGAAGCAGGCGATAGCGATAGTTCAGTGAGAGGAATAGATTCAGAATGTCAATTTTGCGGTTGAGTACAACATTCCTACGGCTTCACGAGAGACTAATACCACGAGAATTGAGCAGGAAGCCACCAAACAACAGCATTATCAGAAGAATTACGGTAGCACCAAGGTTTGCGGAACCCACACTCTTTGCGATCACTCCCACGAGCAGGCTTATTGAACCCGCCGCAACATTGAACAGAACAACAGCGAGAACGAAGAAGAAGAAACGGTCCGCTGAAGCTTGCAATCCCATAATCCAGTAGAAGATGGACGCAAAGAGCGAAGCAGGAAGAACTCGAAGCAGTACTGCGTCCAATGTAGTCTTGGCAAGGAAGTAGCTAAATGCTCTGTAGTACATAGCTCCAGTTTCGCGAAGGAAAATCTGACGCTCGCTGATGAACACGTCCATAGAGCTCATGCTAGTAAAGCCGAAAAATGTCAACGTAAAGTAGAAAGCGCCCATGCGGTTTTGGAATCCGGCAAGGTCGTCGGACACATTGTTGAAGATTAGTCCACCAAACAAAGCCAACGCTAAGCTCAGCACTGTGCAGTACCAAAAGCGAACGGTGACGAAAATGTTCAGAGCAGTGCGCCAGAAGAGCACGCGAATCTCGAGCATAGTCGATTGAATCAAAGCCATCAAGCTCGTTGACTTCCACCAGCTGATCGCTTTGAAACTTTGAGGAAAGACGAAGACGGGACCTCGCAACTCCTAACGTTCAAACTCGTACCACCCTGGCTAGGACGCCTTTGTCACCATCGGCGTTTACTGATCTTGCCGCGGGACAACTGGCTGGCGTGTGTTTGAGAGAGAGAGGAACAGACTGTTGATATTTACAAATTTATGGTGTGACAAGATAGCTAGATCCCCAATAAGCGACAACGCCGTGGCCGAGGTAAGTCCGAAGGTTGCGCGCCACAGTGGGTGGTTGTATGTTTGTCCGTCGATGCTGCTCTGCACAATTTGATGCCGCAGAGGCCGCGTGGTTGCCTGAGCGTCGACGCGTGTCGCAGGCGAGGCCTTTACCTCACCCACGTCGAACTGACTTTGAAGCGATGACGCGTGGCGCGCGGACGCCGTTAGCCGAGATACTTCGACCCGAATGCCAGGAGACAATTGGCATAACCCGCAGTCTGATAGAATACCGTCCGAGTACGGGTTATGTCAGACGTTTTACCGAGCGATACGTCTGAGCCTCACTGGCTGCAATTCTTGAGCGGGGTGTTCATCTTGCCGGCCTCCTTACGTCAGTACTTGCACTCGGTGAGAGTGTACCTACTCCTGATGAATGGTCACCGTGGTTGACCACTTCGACTCGCTGAACCAGCTCGGGTGGTTCTCAAGGACTATGCGGACAGCCGGTTGCGATTACTATGGACGACACGTGGTTTGGCAGCAACACCCTAAGACTAGCCGGTCGGCAGCTTATGTCGTAGTCGCGCAAAACCAGGAATGGGAATATAGACACTACGAAGTCAACGTCGCACCTCCACCCGTGGTCTGCGATACTTGGCGTTCATAGTTGTTACGGAGCTGCACACACACGTATCATTAACTTTGATTCTGGCCGAACAAAAAGATGATACCAAAATTCCAGCTACGTCAGGCAGGCTCATGCCTTGAACGTCTTTTGCAAGAAGTCTTGAATGTAAGTACTAAATGTTTTTGCTACCAGTTCAGTTTTGACGGTTCTACTATAATACCACAGCAGCAGTTCGCTTCAGCTAAGGTGTTACATTGTATTCGAGATAATGTATCATGCAAATGAAACGAAAGGTCCAGTATGTTCCCGATAATATTTAAGACCTTTTCAAGCCAGCCCTTTTGTTTTGTAGTCTACTGAGCTCACTTTTGTTGTGACCACATCTCGTCAACTAGAAGCAAGCAGCCGTCTTGAAGTCAAAGCTGCAGTTTTGATTGCATTTTGAGCCGAAGCTGCCGTAGAAGACGCACTGCAGCAATGCTGGATAGTAACCATCTTGTTGCACTTCCAGCAAAGCTCCTTGTTCTTCCCTCTAGATTCATCTAAGAGCTTCGTTCGTTTTCTTGTTCCGACGGTGTTGCTTTCTGTTGCCTTGCTGAAAGGCGTAGCTGACTCTCGTTTGGACCAAGCGATCGACCTTTGCAGTGCAAGGAGACGCTGCTATCGGTGCCGTGTCTGACAATACTTCCTATCAACGTAGTAGCATTTGTGTCTCAATTTAAGATGTATAGAAATGAGATGCAAGACAAACAACCACCGTCCACGCATCGTCTCAATAATAATTGATTTTTTGCAGGCCATTGGACAACGGACAACGATTTTGTTAGAGTCAAATGTCTGGACCTCAGTGTGGTCTAAGCCCATCACACTCATTTACCGGCAGAAAAAATGTTAGAGTTGTCGAAATCTCCAGATATTGAGAGACAACACTTAGATTTATAGTAACCTCGTCAAGGCGCTGGCGTTTCAATTGATTTTCCCAAAAACTGCCCGATGTAGTCGTGGTACTAGACTTGAACGGCCTATGCCATGCGTCTGTTTGCAAAGTACCAGTCGCCGTTGCCAACTTGATGTAAAGCCATGATACCGTCGCGACGTTCAGTGGTTTGCTATTTTTTGCATTGAGGCTTGCAAACGCGCAAGGAAGCAAAAAGTATGTCCTGACCGATTACTTTTTCCTTAAGTTGTCAATAGCCCTCAAACTACATCATTTTCTGCATCATTAACCTTTCTCAGCAAAAGATAACACATGAGTGATTTGATTGACCAATGCGCAGCTGGGAGGTGACGAACAAACGGACGTGCTGAGGATAGCGTGGCAGCATCGTTGGTGATGTCTGTCATATTAGGATAGATCCAGCTAGTAGTGCCTCGTTCACATGAACCAGAGAATTGCATTCGTTTTTGCTATTAAATCACTTCTGCACATGATATCAACACAATTGATTGCTAGACTAGGACATCTTACGTACGTATCGGCATGTGGAGCTTACAATTGAGGGATAAATTGCATACGCATATCTGGACTGGTATTAATAAAGAGGTAGCGACTAGGGATTCGAGCAGAAGTTGAGGCACCTAACGTTTTTCTTGCATTAGCACAAATTCAGACTGTTTAAAGGGCAGGTAGGCCATGCTGATCATGTTTGGTGTTAGTGTGACGGATAGCTCTGAAGACTCAATGGCTAGGCTGCTCACAATCAGACCAGCCAGGGTACCGGTGACGCTTGGGCGAGGGCCAATTCCACCGCGAATATCCCAACGAGTCATCATGACATAGCCTGCACCAGATCCAATTCCGCGTTTGACCTGGAGAGCAAAAGCAAGTAAAGCGCGTGGAAGGGTCTTGGAGTAGTAATCCAGACGACATTACAAGACAAAAGGTTTTTGGCTGGTGCAGACCATGCATGACAAATCAGTACTGGATCTCAACGAGCGCAGCACGTTTCGTAGACCAAAGTTTGTGCTGATCGAATTGAGACAGCGAGTTTGAGCGTTTTCAAAAGGTTAGGAACTTGTAACGAGGAAGATGCCAATCAAACTTTGTTGACGCACCCCTTCCTGCGGATCGCCTACGTTACGAGTCGCGCGCTGCGCCACCCTTTGGAGACCGCGCAGCGGAGAGAAGGTCGTCTCCCATTTACCGTGGCCCCAGAATGGAACCTTGGTTGAGAAACGGGAAGTGCGGTTTTTTCATGTGACAGACTGCAAGCCTGTTCGTTGAATGCAGTGTGACGAAATCTTCTTTGTGTTCTTACGTACTGTGTTGCATCACAAAAGACAAACAGACAGTTGGCCTTCTATAACTCGATGCACCCTGACAGAATGTCTTCCCCGCAGTTAATTACACTACTCAAGCAGATACCAAAATGATCTACTATAGATGTCGAACTCAATACACACTCGTGTGGATGATACTTTCCGTCAAACTGATTGACATGTACAGAGTTCTATTGGCAACAGCGTTTTGACAGCACAGTGGGAAAGTCACCTATTGTTTGTGCTATCTTGACATTTGGCTGTTGTAACACGTTGGGTTGCCATGCGAGTATGGCTGCCAATAGGCCGAACGCCTACGATGCCCAGCAAAGTTAGGTAATCTAGCAAACTTGTGGACGAATCGTTCAGTGTTTTCAATTGAACAAGTATTTTGAGATTGGAGTCAGGCATCGTAGCAGTTAAGCTGTAGCTTTGAACAAGTTGTGGGTGTATATCACTACGAATTTTGCAAGGAAGGAACTAGCGTGTGGGACGTACGAAACGCACGCGCCAATGCTCACGCAATAACATCATCTACGCGAAAGCGGGGTGCTGTATAATGAAAGAGCTTAGAGTAAGTAGAACTATAGTAATGGTACAGGCATGATGTAAACGCTTTATAGACAACGCAGCTTCATTTCAAGACACTCATGTGATTCTCGTTAGCGCACTTCATACTCCTAAGCACTTTGACATCGGGTCAACACCATCAAGCGTTTTCACGAATGAGTTCGGCCCAGGATACAAGATTCTATCATGCTTCCTTACGTGTCGAGACGGCAGCACCGGCATCGCTGTCGTGATCCGCCATGTCATGATGCGACGAAACTTGGCGCCACAAGAAAAAGAAGGCGAGAAGTTGAAGGATGATAGCAATCAGTGCGAGTGCCGCCACGTCATAGTAGCGGTCATTGTAGTCCATGCCCAACGTCTTGAGGTAAACTTCACCGTATATCGGAATGGCTGGGTATCCCGGCGCATTGAACGACAAAATGGTCCCCTGGAGCTCGTTCGTCATGAGAATCTCGAACGCGTAGCCAAAAATCGACAGTTGTTTCAACCATCCTACCGACCCTGGCATCGTGTCAGAATTGAGCAGGAAGCCACCAAACAACAGCATTATCAGAAGAATTACGGTAGCACCAAGGTTTGCGGAACCCACACTCTTTGCGATCACTCCCACGAGCAGGCTTATTGAACCCGCCGCAACATTGAACAGAACAACAGCGAGAACGAAGAAGAAGAAACGGTCCGCTGAAGCTTGCAATCCCATAATCCAGTAGAAGATGGACGCAAAGAGCGAAGCAGGAAGAACTCGAAGCAGTACTGCGTCCAATGTAGTCTTGGCAAGGAAGTAGCTAAATGCTCTGTAGTACATAGCTCCAGTTTCGCGAAGGAAAATCTGACGCTCGCTGATGAACACGTCCATAGAGCTCATGCTAGTAAAGCCGAAAAATGTCAACGTAAAGTAAAAAGCGCCCATGCGGTTTTGGAATCCGGCAAGGTCGTCGGACACATTGTTAAAGATTAGTCCACCAAACAAAGCCAACGCTAAGCTCAGCACGATGTGCAGTACCAAAAGCGAACGGTGACGAAAAATGTTCAGAGCAGTGCGCCAGAAGAGCACGCGAATCTCGAGCATAGTCGATTGAATCAAAGCCATCCAACTCGTCGACTCCGACGTTTCCTTTGTCATGAACGGCGACGATTCTGGTTCGTACGGAGGACTGTCCGTCAAAGTTTTCGAAGATAACTTTTCCGGGTGAGTTTGTAAGCCGGAAGACACCGTGGCCGACAATGCCGCATCCTCAACGTCTAGACGGCCTTGCCCGGCTTGAATCGCTTGCAAATGTTGCGTATCAGTTGCAATGTCAAGAATGAAGTCTGCAATATTTTCGTTGTCAGCGCACTTAAGTCCCAAATGTTGGAACGCTCCCTTGGCGTCCGCTGGTGCTCCACTGTACAGCAGTATACCCTTTCCAAGTAAGATGATCTTGTCAAGTAGCAGAAAGGTGCGTGCGCTAGGTTGATGAATGCTAAGCACCACGATGCGATCGTGACTAGCCAAGTCCTTAATGATTTTCACAACTGAGTGAGCTGAGGAGCTGTCTAGCCCGGACGTGGGTTCATCCAGAATAAGGATTTGAGGTGAAGTCACGAGCTCCATACCAATGCTCACACGTCGTCTTTCGCCACCAGAAATGCCTCGTTCGGAGCTGCTGCCTCCCACCGAACCGATTCGAGAGTTTGCAACGTGACCTAGATTCAGCTCGACAATAACGCGATCCACTATGGCGCTCTTCGCGGCGTCCGTCATCGATAAGGGAAGGCGAAGTCGAGCAGAATACGCGATGCATTCACGGACAGTGAGAGTGGAGTACAATGTGTCGTCTTGCTGTACATAGGCAGCTATACGACGGTAGTCCTTCGTCACCTTGTTGCCGTCAACCAAAAGCTCACCAGTAAACTTGGAATTACCGTTTTGAACCTTAGCAATTGCGTTGAGCAAGGACGTCTTGCCTGAACCGCTAGGCCCCAGCAGGCCAAGTACTTGTCCTCGTGACACGCTTCCCGAAATCTTGTCGAGAATACACTTGGCATTCGTCTGTTTGTCGCCGTCAGCGAAGCAGCTAACGTTGTGAAACTCAAGTGTCTTCACTGATTGCGCAGCCACTGCCAGCAATTCCGCTTCTAGATCCTCCTCCTTACGACGTGATCGTACCGGACAGCAGCAAAAAGCGCAGCAACCCATCAGTAACATTGCAGTCAAGATTCCACAGGCCAAGACAGCTAATAACAAGCCGCTTGTATCACTCGAGGAGTCCTCAGCGCTAGTAGAAGTCGTAGCGCTGTAAGTATCGCCTTCGTCAGTACTTCCCGAACGTTCACAGCCGGATGCTTTACAGGTTCCAGATAACGGGAGCGGAGAGCCTTCAATTGAGACAATAAGCTCCTGCGTGTCATCATTCGCTTTAATCGTAACCGGTTTACCACTCAATGACCCCTCCACTACTTTCCTGGTCATTTCTGAACATCTCGAGCTACACTTGCAGGTACTGTTACCACACTGTCCGTTTGTATCCCCCGTGGGAAATGAACACTGTGTCAGGTGACAAGTAATAGTGTGTTCACTATTGACAGTTTCCTTGGCCTTGTAGACAACAGCAGTGCAGTTAGCTACCCCTTGTTCGTCACGATCGCAGTTCATATCAATCGCGCCGTCTTCAAAGAGCGCTTGAAGGTCACTTGAAAGAGCGCAAGAGTACGATTTAGTTAACGAGTTAAAGCCATACTTGAATCCAGTGACACAAGAATAGTCGGTCCCTAGCGCAGTACAAGCGTCCTTTTCACCTTCTACCGAGCACATGCGACAGCCTAAACCACTAAAACCGTCAAGACATTGACAGTCACCAGAGGATTCAATCAGTTGTTGATAGTTTGGATCACATGTTCCATCAATAAGATCAGATGAGGATGAGGGGGTAGATGTTGAAACACTTGATACCAAATGGGTTAATGCGATGGACAAGTAAAGGCTTTGCATTGCAAGACTTTTCACAAATACAAAGCACGAGATGATTCGAGGCTGGCAAAGTTTACTTTGATGAACTAGAAGGCTACGTAGAAAAACAAACCTTTGAGAGGCTCACAGTCGTATGGACAATTAAGAATGATGTGCTAGGAATGAAAAGAGTGGCTGGGGTGATTGGTACGAGAAGACCAGATGCTTGAATACTGCTTTATGTACTGCATTGCTAATGCTCATGTGTTGTGATATACCGTCTAAGACTATAATAAAACGCCATCATCATCGAGACTTGTCATTATTCTAATGAAGAAGCACAAGATTCCATTCATCTTGCTCACCAAGTATTCACACTGTCGTACTGATGACGACCATACTCTAGTAAGGATACAATATCGATTATGACAAGGGGTTATGCTGTACCCACAAGAACAGCAAAGGAAATGCGTCTGCAGCGTCACAAATCGCGTTCACACTGACACATCGATCGTTATCACTTTGGGTTGTAATAGAGAAGTGACATGTCGGAGCTGGAAACAGGGTTAATTATTCGTATAGAGAGGGATTGGAGAATCTAGCTTCTGTTCATGTATATAACGCTAACGTCCGAGTGTGTATTACTCTTGAGAGGTGTGAAACTGTCTCGTCACGCATTAGCTCGTAAACATCTGGCGTGTATGCGACATACTTTACTGAACTTCTCGTGCCGTGACCATGAGGAATGTCCTGTCTCCAAAGTGTACAAAAACAAGACTCACTTACCCAAAGCTCCACCCAACGCAAGTAACTGCCATTATTCTCTCGGCCTTTGTCACATATTTTTACTACCGGTCATTGTCTTGCTAGCAAGGAAATGCAAGTTATACGTATCTAATTAGCAGTTTTTCATCGCTTTCTTGGAGCTAGACTGCAAATAAGAACATGTAAATGCTATTAGGAAAGCTGCTTTGAATAATGATGCGACTGTGGCTAATGTTCTTTAAACGAGACTTTTAGTATTGGACGCAGCACCATTAATAAGATCATTATGCAAAGGGATTGGCATGTGCGAGCTGATTCATGCTGCAACAGCAGATAGTCGTGACACTATGATATGCAGCGGTTGTTGTCAAGTAGTTTCGCTGACTGACAGCTGGAATGCTTGATGAGCTCGTGGCAAAACCTACGTACGATGAAAGTCGTGCTTTGTCACGTACGTTTGCAGCTCACATCAGTTTGACACCAACGGGAACAAATTTAGATACGGCATGATTACCGTGCATTATGCTTATCACGCGTGGGTTCGATCCAAGAAACTGCTCGGATAAGGCGGCACTGTCATTGAGTTCCTAATTTTAGAATGTACCATCTTCTTTCAACACCAAGCAACCACGAGTTATCAATCCATGAAGTGTTTCGTCTATCAAGGGGTTGTGAGTGTATTCCATGAGGTACTGACTTGAGCTTAAGTCCAGGTAGCGCAGGATCTATCGTGTCATGAGCATGTGCTTGACATGACTTACATCTTCAAATGCGACTGATTGCTGATTATATTTTATGGTATGTATTGCAGCGTACAGCACTTTCAGCTTAGCAAGCTTGTGATTAAGTTGGTCATATTACCTTCAGTTTGACATATACGCTCTGCGCGCGTAATCGCTTTTGTTTGAAACAACCTACTACGCTACACGTTGGCAACCCAAGCAAATATGCGAGCTTAGATAATGCAAACTGCCATGCTGTTACTATCGCAATCAATTCTGTCTAGAAAACGATTGCTCCGCCAAGCAATATGTACTTGATATGCGGCTTGCAAGGACCATGATGAATTGTCGTGTCGCGTGCGACAAGGATAGCGAGGAAGTAGTGGTCATTGCGGTCATTGTGCGATTGATCGGATGCGGCCATCGAAGCAGCGCGTTGATTAAGACAGCTTCTCAAGGCCTTCTAAGTAGATTGTGCTGAATGTTGTAGCTTCGTGCTGCTAATTTGTTGCTTCTGTCAGTGTGTGCGTCGTGTAAACCATACGCAATGATAATGCACAGTATCCAAGTTGCAGACAGTGTAACTCGTGGAGCTATGTTTGGGCAGTGGTGGGCAGGCAGTTATAACTTCCCAGCTGCTGTTTGCTACGTGGCTGCTGTTGGTATTGCCGCCTGTAAATCGGCACCAACAAAAACAATGAAACGGAGAGAACAGTATGTCTATTTACTTATTAGTGTAAGATCTTTGGTAAGTGGTAATCCACTCTAGCAACGCTGGAGGGTCCAGGCAGTGCCCATGGCTGGCAGACCGGCTATTAAATCCGGACGGCTCTCTCGGTTCCGATTTAGACATGTCATAACATGCAGAGAGTTGGGCTCCGCGCACGGCTGTGTTAGCTCTGCAATAGAGACATTTAATAAGCGCCCGCTTGGGCTGAACTTTTCCCCAACCAATGCCTCACTGGCTTGCATCGTGATAGCCGCATGGCGAAACACACTGTTGACGCAAAGTTGCCAGAGCACTGTAGTGATGACGGTCCCTGCGACCTCCCATATCGTTCGCCAGGCTGTTGCAAATTGATCGATGCTTTTTGGGTACCAGGCGAGCAGCTGTGCTATGACTTGCGGCAAAATGCGTGGTACGCTACGATTAGCGCAGTGGTCGAGCCAATTCAGCAGGTGGCGAGGCTTACGAGGTGTGCTCTCCCATTGACTGATGAGCCGGGCTCAAAGCGCATGAGCACGGTGACATCCCCCAAAAATGCTCCTGGGTCTCCTTCTACCCAACACATTCGCGATAGATGCAAGTGCTGTCTGGAGGCCGGTCCTCGTACCAAAAGTTTAGCAGACCTGTAGCATGGCAGTATCGTTTTCATAGCTAAGATTCCATCACCACGCGCCCGTGATCCCATATCTGAGCCCGCGAGATATCGAGAGCTGCGTGTTGCCACCGCGTGTGCTGGCTCTTGGTGAGAAGTCTATCAATAACCTGCTGCAGCGGTGCCGCGAGACGACGCTTTATTCTGAAAAGGCTTGCTGTATGAGGAACCTGTGAATGCGATACTTGGGAACCATAGGTGGCGCGGACCATGGATAGTAGTGGATCTGTGGGTTGAAATAAAAGACGACACCATTTTATATAAGCTTTCGCTCCGCGAGTTGGGTAAGCTCTTGAGATGCCCCCTTGATCGGCAGCAATTCACTTGCGAAAAACTAACTTATTCTATTGGGGCATTGAGTAAACTCCCAAGTCGGAGGGTGGTCAGAATCGACAGAGAGAGAAGTGCCTCAAACCCTGCCCGGCCCCACCCGAACCTAGGTAATGGCTTGGGCGAAACGGGGTTGGTGCCGTAGTCTAAGTCGTGCTCCTCACCGAATTTCCAACGGCAAGTGACGGCAAAGAAAGTAAAATAACGACCGCCCATTATCAAAGTTTCGCATACAAAAGACGGGGGACGTGCAGATCCGCCAAAGACGTATTCTTGGGGTCCTGTCTGCTGGATGTGGAGTTGGGCGATGGAAACAGCGCAAATTCTGTCATACTTGAACTGAGACAGCTCCGACCACTGTGGTGCGAGGATTCAAGGGTTACGACTCCACTTGAAAGTCTGCTAGAAATTTGTGATCTCCTGAAGCCAAAACTCGGATTTCTGAGGCCGAACGGAGAGGGTTCTGAGAGGTGCAATATCCAGTCGTTCGCTTCCTACCAACTCGTCGATGATGAGAAAAGGTTCGGTAGATGCTCCCTAACTCGTGCGAGGATGTCCTCCGTGTTCGTGATAGCTAGCTGCAAAGTGTATCCGAGAGTATAAAGTAGATCCGGATACCGTTCGAAAGACGGCGCTGTGATGTATTCACGCTCGGTCCATGGCGGCTGAAGAACATGTTCAAGGCATCATGCGTTACCCAGGACATCCACGCTGTGAGATAAGCATCCCTCGGCCGACGAAGCGCCTGAAACGCGTGTTTCGCCCGCTGTGTTTTGATGACGACAAGGACTAAAACAGGGCCAATACCACCAGCCTTACGTGGAGCGCAAAGGAGGCCTCGCCGGTTTAATCTTGTTGACGTATCCCAGAGAAATCGTTTGTACAGTAATCAAGATGCTTGAGCGCCCAACCGGGGGGGGGCTCGAAGACCGCTGCCGTGAACAATATCCCGAGCAAAATAATCGCATTGAGAATCAGAACGCGAAACTCGAGAGTCGTCGACATTCGCGTTGCAGTCACGAGTCAGTGCTGTCACTTTTGATGCGAAGAGACCAGTTCATATTCCGTAATTGTCCTGTCCCACTTGATAGTCAAGATACCGTAGCTGTTGACGGAGCAACTACTACGATGCTTTAGTACGTGGGATCAACAAATAGCCATAGAACGCCCAATTGGACATCAAAAAGACTCTTTTCATCTCGTCAAAAAGCATTGTCATAGCTTGTTGAAAGCAAGTACATTAATTCCATAATTTAGTCGACGTATCTAATAGTAACATAGAGTTTATACGATATAGGAACATGGATGGTGTCCAAAAGCCTAAGTATAGGCCCAGTAACCATATAATACCGTTGGCTTCGGTTTAAATGGACTAGTAGACATATATCAATTGTTTATAACGATATTAATAGATAGGAAGTATTTCTGATTAGTAATGTCGTCAGCAAAAGCTAGAATTTGATCCAATATAAGTGGGTGTCTAGATTGATTTCTAAAAAGACTGTAGTCGTGTTGCAATATTTCTATTTAGTAGTCACTTGCAAAAATGATGGATGCGGTATTTGCTTCACATTCAACTCTATTCCGATTGGATATTACTCACGTTTTTTTTTCTTTTTTCATTGGTAAAAATCACAATTGTACCACATTTCTACGACATAAAACAACCAATTGGTTCGTCTGCAAGCGTTCTGAACTCTTAGAAGTCAGCACGTTCAGAGCTTTCCAGTCATTACACATGCTACCAAGAGATCTACCAAACAGTATCGGATACTTCAGTCGTCTATCCAAGCGACACTAGATTCTACAAGAGACGACATGGATTCAGCGAAATGCTCAAGAAAGACAACTATAGTCGATTCATTCTTAAAAAATAAGAGTTGGAGGATTAAACAAGTCTAGCATTGCATCGATTCCAGCCATTCAGTTGCAATGGAAAAGATGGCAGACGCGTCTCGAAACACTGATGAAACAGCTAATGCTGGTATGAATGATACGTCAACGAATACACACTCGAGTCATAGTCTCTTGCTTCAACGCAACCCCCCACTTACGTGAAACTAGCCACCTATCATCTCCTGCTGCTTCTGGAAGCAGCAGTACACGTCAATTACTCCAAAAACAATACATGACGCCAGGCTCAGCAACTTCTGCTTCGTCATTTGAAGAACGTACGTCAGCATACGATGGAATTTCAGATGCTAGTACTCCAGCATCGGATCGAGGTCTAGTGGCCAAATCAACTAGGATGGAAAACATGACAAGACTGACCAAGCAACCAACGAAAAAGCTGTCGTTTTCGAGTCGAGAATCTCTTGCGAGACGTCTTGTGGACGATGAACACAATCGTAACAGAATTGCGAAACAAGAAGATGACCTGCTACTTGATGACTTGCTGAGCAAGATTGTAATCAAACCGGTGCCGTTTATTAACGCACAGGATGAAGCAAAAGCTTCGTCAACCTCAATGATCCCGATATCGCCTCGGTCATTCAACTTTACACGACAGATAGTTGTATCACCGCGCAGGAGCATGCGGCGTGTTGTTATACGTCGAACTGGTGTAGATGGACAAATACATGAACAAGTGCGATATGTGGATGCTGAAGGACAAACTGTCCGACAAAGTGGCAACTTTTTCAGCGCTGACACTGAGACGGACGAGACGTCAGTAGTTTCTTCCGAAGAAGCGCCAGTGACTCCTGCTGTCTCGACACCCGCAAAGACTTTGCAACGCGTTACAGTCCGTAAAACTGACGAGGACGGACAGGTCCGTGAAGAAGTGCAATTTGTGGACGCCAATGGAAACACCGTTGACGGTGAAGGTACAGCCACCAATGTTACGACAAGTACTATGATCCCTGTACGATCCATTGCACGGCAGGTTGTGACACCGAAGAAACTGACGCAACGTACATTGCGACGTACTGGATCGCACGGTCAAGTTTACGAACAAGTGCAGTACATTGATGTCGATGGGAATATTGTTCGGACGGAAGGTGGAGTTCTTGACAGTATTTCTATCTCTTCCGAAAGTGCAAAGACAAGCAAAGTTGTCACCCCCGTCAAAACGACCCGAAGAGTTGTAGTTCGCAAGACAGGAGTGGATGGTCAGGTTCAGGAAGAAGTGCAGTATATGGATGCGGATGGCAATGTTGTTCGAAGTGAGGGAACTACATTGATGACGAAAGCTCGAAGTAGCGGACCTGTCTCCAATGCTGGTCGCACTACAGTGACTCGGAGTATCGTGTTGTCCGGACAGAACCAATACGTAGGTATCGACAGCACTGTGTTTCCATTGGTTCGAAGGGACGGTAGTAGTGCCACAGATGGAAACCATATTGATAGGAATGATTCGATGATTGAAGAAAAAGGTGGTGTTCTTTCGAGCACAAGGAGCTGCTCGGGTAGTGTCAGCAGCGTTACGAGTGATACCTCCAGTAGGACATCTTGTCGACGCATTGTAACTCGTCGGGTGATGGCATCGCCAAGCACAGCGCCAGTGGTGCAACGCAACATTGTGCGCAAAGATGGCTTCAGACCTGACGCTGCCTACGAAGAAGACGTGCAGTCTATGGAATCGGATGACGGTAGTTTTACTTCCAACAGCGGTAGAGCTGTCACTAGTAAGAATGGTTTGGATCGACGGGTTACCACTCGTCGCGTAGTAACCCCGCATCGTGTGATTCAGCGCATGGTTGTTCGTAAAGATAATGCTGGATCAGGCACAGATGGATTGAATATCGGTGCAGATTGTGTTCAAAGCGAAGACAACGCTAGCAGCGATGAATCGGCGGGTGGATCCAGTCGTGGTAGATACCCTATCTCGAATCGAATCATGGTTTTGAAAGGAACTCAACGAGTTGTCTCTCGTCCAGCATCTTGTTCCGATAAGTCACAGATGAAAGACGACGATATAGTTGCCGTGACTGACGCACCACTGAGCGAAAAGCTAGAGACCCATGTGATTTTGGGTATTGAGGAAGGCAAGCCTCCTATTCCAGTACGCGAGGTAGTTTCTTGCGTTAGCTCACCAGCTGAAAGTGTTGACGTTCCCAGCCCAAATGTTGATGATGGCAGCAAAGAATTACCAAAGGACAGAGTTGTCGCTGCTGTGGCTGGTGCTACTGCCCTAGCGTCTACGACCTATGGCGGTAGCAACATTATTGATGACGAGAACAAAATCATAGATGGAGTGCTTGCTGTATCCTCTGCTCCGGCAGTTGATGAACTAGCTACGATGGTCACAAAAGACATTGCTGAATGTGAAAAGGACCGAGAGCAGCCTTTTGCTGGTGCTGGATCCTGGAACATATTTGATGGCACGGAAAAGCTAGGGACTCCAGTAGAAATAATGTCTAGTGACGACAAGCAAGCAACCACGTCAGAAACAGTTGTCGCCTCACACAACCAGTATCCTTTCGATGCATCAGAAGCCGACGCGTCCGGTGCTGTTGCTGACTTTGATCTTCGAACTGAACCTATGATGTCTTCATACCAGGATACTAACGTTGTTGCTCAAAATTCATGTGATGGCGATGAATCGGAAACTTTTGCTGTGATTTCTGAAGTATTCATTCCATTGCCGACTATGACACCATCTGAAGAAAGTAACAGCATGATTGCAGAGGTTTCGGGACCTCAAGCAGCAATGGACTCCGTTTTTTCTCCTTCGTCTCTACGTGGAAAGGAAGTCTATCAAAATCCTAGAGTTTCAGGTGCCACAGGAGTGGCAATTGACGCTATTGATTACAAAATGCCTGAAACTCACATTGCTGCGGATTGTGCTACGACAGAGACAGACGCAACAGGCGGTCCTTTTGCAGTAATGGAAACAGTTGAAGATGACGGATTGAACATGCCAAAGGTTGAACGCAACATTTGGAAGTTCAGGGGTGCGCGCAGGCCACAATCTCCTCGTAATGCAGGAGTGAAGCTCCATGACGCGGATACACGTGGGGATATACCTGTTACTTGCGGCATCGAGCCAAATGACATGATTGGATTACCTGCTGCACACGAACAAGTTGCTGCAGCAGAGTCTGGTGGTTTGGCACTAGCATACACAGCAACTGAAGAAGAGAAAGGTATTGATCATATTTGACACGACTGCCACGATAGAGGTAGAAAACGCCACACCTGTCGATAGTGGTTTGGTATCAGTCTCTCAGCATTCAGAAGAGCATACAGGTGCGAAGCACGAAGATGTCGTAGAAGAGAAGCTTGAGCACGCTGATAGTTTGTGGGATGAATCGAGCAAGAAGGACGAATCGAATCAGTTGGCTTCAGTGATTGTCAGTAAGAAAGTCGGCTGGTCCGCCGAAGATGAGGATTACAAGATGACACCCGACTCGGCTACACATAACGACAGGACCTCCCCATTCGATCAAGATGAATGGATACGTCATAGCATACAGTCCGACAGCATCTCGACAAATAGTGCTGATCCTGTGGCCTCGAGTGGAAAGACCATCCACGACCGCGAACGGCGCACGACCGAGGTCATTGATAGCATTGTGTCTGATATTGGTTTCGACGAACACTACGTCGAAATCGCGAGTCCTCGTCGAAGATGTGCTTTTGACGATGAAAGATTATGGACTGTCAAGCCTTGTTCATTGGCGTGGAGCAGAATTTGCCTAAAGCAAAAGAGCTGGAAGACTTTTTCGATGACAACGTCATTGCAAGATAACGGTGAACTTGTGCTGGACGACGTGAGTGGGTCTGTAAAGGCTGGTGAGTTCTTGGTCATTACGGGCCCGTCAAAGGACGAAAGTCGCGCTCTGCTTCATTGTCTTTCCGGGTACGAAGGTGCCATGAAAGGCGACGTGACGGTCAATGGCCGTGCGTGGAATGAAAAGATGAACCGTTACGTTAGCTACATCATGCGGGAAGACTTGTTCTATGAGACGTTGACCGTGCACGAGCATTTAATTACTCAATCTTACCTTCGTATGCGTCGTACGCACACGGACGAGATGTGCTTGGAGCGCGTGGAGTATGTTATTGAGGAAATGGGTCTCTTGGACTGCCGTGACAAGTTGATTGGAGGTGGTGTTTCGCTATGTGGAATTTCCCACGGTGAGCGGAAGCTACTCGCCCTCGCTACAGCTCTATTGACCAACCCTTCTATCCTCTTCGTTGAAAACCCCACGGATGGACTGGACACCTTTAGCGCGGAGAAAATTGTTGCCAAGCTGCATTCGCTTTCCTGGGAGAAGGGTTTGACTGTGGTTGTGACGCTACATCACCCATCCTCGCACTTTTACGAGCTTTTTGATATGCTGTACTTGGTTGCTAATGCCTCGTGTGTGTATGATGGCAAGGCGGCTGATTGCGTTGCTTATTTTTCTACGATCGGATACCAGTGCCCGGAGTACATGAGTCCAATTGACTACTTTATGCTTCAAATGGTCGTCGGCGACCGAGAATCTGATGGCGATGGTGTGGCTCGAGTCGATGCACTAAAGCGTGAATGGTTTCAAAGTAATGTTGCAAGGTATACTGAGAATGCAGCTTGCGCTGAAGCAATGTGTGAAGATTCAGTCGTGAATGAGTACGACCAGAATAATCGCTATCACCACATGGGATGCTGTGGTCAGCTATGGCTCTTGTGGGCTCGCCACATTCGTCAACTTTTGCGCTACGGGTTCGTGTTTCAATGGCACTTGTTGGCTGCGCTTTTGATTGGTATTGTGTTTGGACTTGTCTACCTTCAAATTGACCTCAATGATCAGCATGGAATCCAGAATTTTGCTGGTTCTTTCTTCTACGTGGTGGTCGTGCAAATGCTCTTCGTGGCTTACCGAACATTTGTGTTCATGCCCCGAGAGACTGTCGTTGCCTTGCGTGAGCAACAAGAGTATCGTGGAGGCAGGTACAATCTGCTGTGCTGGTACTTGACTAAAATTGTTGCGGAGCTACCGGCCCTCATTATCCTTTCAGTCGCACTGTTCGTGCCAATCTATTTGCTTGTTGGCATCGGTCACGGTTTCAAGGTCTATCTTTACATGCAAATTGTGATTGTTCTTGCTGGATGGGCTGCAGTTGGTTTGGCGTTCGTAACTCTTGGTCTTTTGCGCCATGTCACACATGCTGTCATCGTGTATGCCATACTTATGGTGCTTTTCGTGGCTTTTGGTGGTCTCTTGATGAACGTGGCAGATATCCCTGACTGGTGTGTATGGTTGCGCTTCATCTCACCGATCAAGTACAGCTACGAATCCCTGATGAAGATCTTTTGGCAGCGTGTTGAAACCATTGATTGTGACCGGACCGTGGAAGGCTGCGTCGCCTTTACAGGCGTCGGGGTGCTGGAATACTATAGCATGGAAAAGCGCTCAGCATTGAATGATTCGCTAACTTTGCTCGCCATTTCCTTATCTTTCTTCTTCGTAGCGTTTTGGTTCCTCTTGGTGCTGACAAACAAGCGCATGAATGGACTACAGTGGCGCCATGAATGGGACTCAAAGTGGCCATTGGGTCATCGCCGACAGCGCGTCGCTGCTATTTGTACCGTTCGTGAGAGTGAGGATCCTGCGCAAAGCAGTACAAATCTCGTCGAGCAAAACGGCCAACATAGCTCGTCAGGCTCTGTGGAACGCAGTTTCGTCACCGGGATGGAAAGCCACTACATTAGTGTGACGACTCCGCGTGTTGGAAGTCGTGGAATTTGTAACGCTCCAAGTGTGACTCTCGGTTGGAGAAGCTTGTGGCTGAAGGCACCAGGTGACAAGAAGCTAAAGAGTGACGATGAAACGGAGTATTTGCTCAGCGGTGCTAAAGGATCGGCCTTGTGCGGAGAGCTGCTTTTGATCACAGGTCCATCGAATGACTCGAATGTGGGACTGTTGAAGACTCTTGGTGGATTACAGAAGACAATGAAGGGTAATGTGATGCTTAACGGTGTTGTGTCAGCCGCGCACAAGCTTTCAGACCATATTGTATACGTGGCTAGTGATGATCTGTTCTTTGAAACGTTGACTGTTGAGGAACATCTTCGATTTCAAGCTCAGCTAATAGTTGGCAAGTCACGCAATAGCAGCGGTTTGTGCTGTGGAACTGGTACTAGTGATCTGGAGGCTGAACGAGTGGAAATGGTTCTTGACGAGTTAGATTTGGCTTCTAAGCGCCACATACTTATCCGATACCTGTCAGAAGCTGACACAAAGCTGCTTACTTTCGCGACGGCATTACTGGATAATCCTCCAATCTTGCTAGCTGAGGAACCTACGTCTGGTATGGACTTTTACGCGTCACAACGCGTTATTCTGAAGCTACGTCAGCTCGCTCGTGGAGGACGTACAGTCCTGGTGGCAATGACGCATCCGTCGTCACATTTGTACGCACTGTTTGATACGTTGTATCTTCTTGCTGGAGGAGGTACAGTTTATCACGGCAACATGAGAGAAGCCGTGTCGTATTTTTCTTCACTTGGATATGAATGTCCACAGTACATGAGCCCTATCGACTACTTTATTCGCCAAGTTTCTGCTAGAAAGAAGAACAATGAGACGGGTAATGTTCAGGCTGAACTTTTCAAGGAAGCTTGGTCGACTCGTTGCTTTGGGTTGTGCCTTGCCGACAATATTGTCGAAGCCGAAACACAAGAGGAAAAAGTTTCTAGCAGCTCCCGTCTTGGATGTTGTTCTCAGGTTTCGCTTCTATTCCGACGGCATCTTCTCCGTCTTGCACGGTATCGTGTTGCCTTCGGGTGGCAATCATTCTGGATGATTGTTGCTAGCGTGATTTTCGGTCTTGTTTTTCTGCAACTGAACTTGGACGACCAACAAGACATTCAGAATTGGTCTGGTGCTTTCTTTTTAATGATTCTGTTGCAAATGCTGGTGATGGCATACCGGACGTTTGTTTTTCTGCCACGTGAGATGGCAATTATCCAACGAGAGCACCGCCGTGGAGGTTACTGTCTGATAAGCTGGTATATGACAAAGGTGTTTGCTGAGTTGCCTGCATTGATGATTCTGTCAGTGCTGTTGTTTGCACCTGCATACTTGCTGATTGGTATCGGTCACGGTTTCAAGTTGTACTGTTACATGCAGCTTGTCATGTGGTTAGTGGGTTGGAGCGCCTTAGGTTTGGCCAGTCTATTACTTGATCTCGTCAGATGTGTGCGTATGGCACTGATCTTGTATGTTTTGCTCTTGATCCTTTTTGTGCTATTCGGGGGTCTCTTGATGAATGCTGACGACATTCCGGACTATCTCGTTTGGCTTCACTACATATCACCGGTCAAATACGGCTATGAGGCTCTAATGAAGCTCTTTTGGGGTCGCATTGGTTATCTCGCCTGTAATGGTACGGACGGCAGTGGAAGTACTGCATCTGGTTCTGTGGTTGAAGAAGACATGAACTCGAGTATGTCGAGTTTTGGGTCGTTCGAGGATGAGAATGGCTGCATTGCCCACTCTGGGAATGAAGTACTAACTCATTACAGTATGGACACATCTCGTGATTCTCGCAGCGACAGCTTTATTTTACTGGAGCTCACGTTGTTATACTTCATCATTGGTTACGTCTTCCTCTCACTACGTTGGGATCGACACAAGGTAAAGCCGCAGCGGCAATCGTAATTGAATTGTATCAATAGCTGATAAGGTATAGCACCCGCACATGAATGTCAATAGTCAATACCGTTTCCATGAGCATTCGTTCTAGAGATAATGTCGTCATAATCGTGAATCAAACCGAACGTTTGCAGCTTTCTCATGTCTGAAATGGGACGGAAGGTCTGGTCTTGTATCATCAGGTTTAGTTACTTGGAATAGCTGCCTCGATGAAGAGCCATCCCTTATTCCAACACAATTGTGGAATGGTTAAAGCCTAATTCCATCATTAGACGGTCTACATGATGAAAAGCTTTGGCACGACTGGATTCGATCTCATATAGACCAACTGTCGAACATGATGCAGGAGTTTCTGCATCATGCAAACCAATTTATTAACAATCTTCCTACATGAAGTTTCCATCCTCGTTACATTGACTTTCGTGATAACTGCACGCTGCGATTGCTACAGAATTTGACTCTTGTGTGATAACTGCATACTACGATTGCTACAGAACTCTTCCTGAATCTCTGCAATCGTCTTGTCCGATGTCTCTGGCACCATAAAGTAGATGAAGATGACAGAAAGTGACGTTGTACAGAGAAACGGTATGAAGCTATAGGTTGTGGTTGCGTCCTGGACGTAGGGGAACGTGATGCCCACAACAAGTGTGCTGGCCCATTTTACCGTAATAACGATACCAACAGCGGCACCACGAGCAGAATCGGAAAAAAGCTCTGCTACAATTGGTGACAGCAATGCGCCAATGCTCAAAGTATAGCTCACCACAAATAGCCCGAGGAACGCAATGGACAACCATCCCACACTGTATACTAGCGAAACAGTTATGCCGATACAGCACAGCGACATCATGGATATACCGGAAATTAGCATGGTGCGCTTGCGCATGACGTGACTCAGTACAGCGGAAATAGGGACGGGAATAACATTCAGGACATCAATGATCATGATACCCAGTCGTGAATCTGAAATGCCAGCGTTTTTTAAAATGGAGGAAGAGTAGAGGAAGACAGCATTGATACCTCCCAGTTGGTTGGCACACGTCAAGCCTAGTGCGATGATCAAAGGCTTGCGAAACTTCTTGTTGGTCAGGATAGTCCAATTTGTTTCCACATGGGCCTTTTCAAACGCACCACTTATGATTGACGGTAGCTTGGATCGGTAATCACTTCCTTGGATCCATCCCATTAACGTACTGACATTATCTTTACCATAGAGACGTCCAAGTTCTTTCTCAGCTTCTTCAATTTGACCATTCGCAACCAGCCAGACGGGACTTTCGACCATGAAGAAGTAAGACAGGAAAACGGATGCGCCAGCAAAGGAGATCGGCATGCCAGCGATCCAACGAAAACCAGAAGCTGTATTCCAGTACCAGAATGTCGATGCTACTCCAATGACACCCAACGTCACAGCCAAGTGCGTGTTTGTACCAAGTGCATGGCGATTATGTGGCGTTGAGATCTCGTTTAGGAACGTATTGACTACGGCAGCGGCCAAACCGTTTGCTATACCCGTCACAAAACGGCCCACCGTGAACCAAGCTGGAGTGGTTGAAAGGACTTGAATGATAGACCCGAGGGTCATGATGATTCCGTTGAAGCGTAACGTCGTGCGGCGCCCCCACTTATTTGATGGGAAGCCCGATAGCAGACTACCACACATTCCACCAACGATCCAAGCATTAACGAGCAATGTCCATGTCGTCTTGGAATGTCCAGGAAACATCAGACACGTGCCTTCTTTAACAGGTCGTGCATTGCAAGTTTCAACGCTACTGAAAGTGTTGAGGTTAACTTGTGAAGTAGACCATCCATAATGAAAAGCTTGGAGCACTGCAATGGCCGCGGATGAATATACAATCCACGTTGGGCGAAGTGACCGTTGTTTCGTGTCAAAAAGAGGTTTTGCATCGATAATAGGAGCTAACGTCTGAACAAAGTTGCATTCATTACGCGTTGATTCGTGCAGTGCCATGGATTGCTTACTTGGTAGACTGAAGTTTCGAACGTTTACGAAAATTTGAAAATAATGAAAACTTTCTTTCCGACACGCGGACGGAATGAGAATGACACAAGTCTAGAGAATGGCACAAGCAAAGACAGAGCACTCCATCGCACCATTTACGATGCTCCGGTGACAAAACCTTGTAACGTAAATTGGTGGTTGGTCTGACACGGATGCTCTAGGTTCATTTTGTTTTAGTAGTGATCCAGACCAGATTAACTGGCTCTTCTCATATCTCACTGACAGCTTTTTTAGGGTTGCTGTATATGCTCGTGTTTTATGTAACATTACGGCAAACGAGACTGATGAAGCTGGCGAATCTGCCGCCACGTATCCATGAACTTCAACTGCAGAAAATGGTCGACTTAACAAAATGCTCCGTTCTTAACGCAGTTTTCAACGGAATTAGATTATTATGTGTGACATAGAACAAGCATACTCTCAATCTTTATTTTTTATCAGGGTCGACTGTACAAAAAACAAACATTGACATCAACCTCTTAGGATTACGACACGTCTTGTTTTTGTCACAATCATCGCAAATGTCTATGAGCCTACTTTTTTGAGGTTATGACTCAGATGAACTGGCTGTTTTATCTGACCTGGCGTTTAACGTTTGACACGTTAGTTTAGCTCTTGATAGTGATTGTATCGACCTTATCTTAGCAATTGGTAAGCAGACGAAATCTCGGTTGATCGGCTGGGAATAGGAACCGGAGCAAACAGCTCTTATATTGACAGCTCGTATCAGCAAAAGGTTAGCAACGTTAGATATACCGCGATAGATAAAACGATAACAAACTCTTACGCACTCAAAATAGACGAGATCATTGCTTGCAGGTAAACGTTCAATGGCACCTCTAGAAATGGTCACTTTCCAGCTATGGTTTTAGTAGTGCTTGATCTTTTTGAAACCTCGTTGCAGTGCAGTAGTATTCATATGCGTGGCAATTGATGCTCGAAGTGAATGCACACATCAGTCGCAATCATGAACGTTGACAACGTGCAGTAATCAGTGTACCAGTAGCACTAAAATGCGACTTTGTTATTTACAAGAAAAGGAAGGCAGTCTCAAACGTGATAGCACGCGGCGGTCATACAATGGTGAATCAGCACTAGTTCGTCAATCGATCGTGTGGTGGAGGTACACACCAACGTTCGAATTGACCCGTGTGACTCCATATAACGCATTTAGAAAAACCGCTCAACTACGTGTATGAAGTTTAGAGCTGCTTTCTTATCGTTTACAGCTGTCTGTGCTGATGTGAAGGCCAATGCGTTGTAGATTCCATTTATCGTTCCTTTCGTAAGTTCAGCCATAGCCCAATAAAACCGATGGTGCGGAAGCCAAAGTTGATAGCCAACAAGATGAGACCGTCCACGAGGGCGGATTGTGACTGCATGCTAAAATTCTTCAGCACGTCTGCTCCAGTAAGTGCAGTGCAATTCTCAATCGCGTCGTTGCAAGCGATTGATGGAACCTGTTTCCAAAAGATCTTCATCATCGCTTCAAATCCGTATTTGATCGGGGACAAATATTGAATCCACACAAAATACTTGGGACTGTCATCAGAGTTGATCAACAGTCCTCCAAACAACAGGAACGGCAGAATAATGACAACACCAACAATCGGAGCAATTTCGACTCGACGAACCAAGCAGGAAACCATTAAGCCGAGCCCTACAGCACAACTGTTGACGAGGATCATGATAATTTGCTGGTAGATGTAGACGTCAAAACCGTGGCCGATGCCAATCAAGAAGTAAGCTGGTACAAACAACACAATAGGCAAGAAAATCTGCATCGGTAACTCACTCACGTTCTTGGCAAGGTACCACGAAAAAAGGTGGTATAGTCCAGCCCTGTACTCGCGAATAATGATGGGCAGTTCCAATGGCACCGAGACGAAGAGTGGATTGGCAGAGCTGAATGTTTGGTTGACGATGAGGAAGAAAAACCCACCCGCAAAGTTCTGGATTCCTTTCTGATCAAGATCCAGTTGCAAATAGATGAGACCTACGACGACAGCGATAAAGATTGTTTGGAAAATTGCTGCACGGAAACTTATATGATCGCGTACGAAGCGAACAGCATTTCGATGCGCCAACACCCCAAGTTGTCCAAGCAAACCCAACCGTGAGTCTTGATATTCCTCGACCTTTATACCATCACTAAATGCTTCAATTTTAGGCAGTGTCTGACGCAGTGCCCATTCCTTCTTTAATGTCTCAACACGTTCAACACCTGCCAAGTCAGTAGCTTTGTCCATGACAACTAGTTGCTTCATAAAATAATCGGTCGGATTCATCAATGAGGGACATTCATAGCCTAGCGATGCAAAATACTCAACCGAATCTCGAGCTTTGCCTTGATAAACAGGCGAACCATCCGACACGAGGTACAATTGATCAAACAATGCAAATAATTCCGATGAAGGTTGGTGGATAGTAGCAACTACCGTACGTCCACCACGAGCAATCTGTTGCAGTTTCATCGTCACTGTTTCTGCCATGTAACTATCCAAGCCTGATGTTGGTTCATCCACAAACAAGATGGATGGATTTGTTAAAATCTCGGTTGCAAATGATAATCGTTTTCGTTCTCCTCCTGAAATACCTCGTAATGAGAGACCACCAATTAACGTATCACGACATTTCATGAGACCCAACTCTTCCATCACGTCATCAACACGTTTCCTATATTGTTGCTCTGTATATGACTTCCCCATACGTAATTTTGCTTGGTATACTAAATGTTCCTTGACTGTAATTGTCGAATAGAAAAGATCGTCTTGCATCACGTAAGATGCAAAACGTTTGATCCGATCATTCCATGGCTCTCCATTGAGTGTAATGATTCCCTCAACGTCATGATTACGCCCCGAGATACAATCCAAGAGCGTGCTTTTACCTGCACCTGATGGTCCCATAATGACAAGTAATTCACCAGGGTTTGCATAGCCACTCACGTTAGATAGAATTATCTTTTCATCAACTACTTTTGTATGGGAATGGTTAATACGACCACTACTCGTAACACTAGTCTTGAGATTCAAATTATACCATTGCAAGGTGTATTTGGGTGCAATAAAGGGTGTAAACTTGGTCGTAACATCCGCTTGTGGAGTGTCGATTGATACAAAATAATCTTGAGGACGGTCAGAGATTCCATGTGACGACGACATTATCAAAAAAAACACGTGCTCAAGGAATATAAGGGTTTGCGTGTCAATCGAGATATTCCGTTGTGTTGAGAAAGCGGTTGGTTTCGAACGTCAGAGAATTGGTTTAACGGGTGGGAATGGTTGCGGCATTTCGTGGGTTTTTCTATTTTTTTCGTCAGCCATTAACACGACAGTAGGTGCAATCATATGGCTACAACTGTGACAGACTCTCTCACGCCTGTGAAAAGGTTTTGGAGAGATCATGAAGAAATGATACAGTGAATGAAGCTTTCGATTTTTGGAATCTAACGTTTTCGTGCTAATACCTTCATATGAGTCATGATAATCTAGGAACACGTGTATATTGATAATGCGTCTCGTGTACATATTGCGGAGGAGATTTTGGTTGGTTCAAGAAGGCTCACATGTTTTTGATATGAGATTTCTTGGATTGGATTCGGGCATGATTCGAGAAATGAACTAGTTGGCATACTGTGAGTTGACATTGAGCCAGAAGAGACAAGCATAAGGAACTGTTTCTTTCAAGTCAGGACACGATCGGCTATATAGCTACGGTCTTGACATCGTCATTGTTACTTGATTCGAAGATGTCTTCATGTTGACTCTATCGTCAGCTGTAGCCAGCAGTCCAGATGTGGTAATCCTAGACGTGCACACTAGCACTAGTCGGCAGATCAAATCCTGATCCTGCTTCAAGTATCATCTCACTGTACCTTGAAGTGCTGCTGCGCACTCGCGCGTTAGGTGACGATGTCCGTACTTCGCGAGCAGCACTCTATTTACGTCAAATGAGGTTAGCGTTCGGATCATTAAATGGAGCTTTGGACCACCGACTCCAAAAGACGGAACACTGACGATCTTGAGCTTACTCTTAAAAACAGGTTTGCATTGGAAGATTGTGATGGGATCAAGTGTCAGCGGCATACATTGCGTGCAGTCAAGATGTCTGAACCAGTGAAACGGCGCTGCACATGATGATCTTGAAATCATCGTATAATCTGGACGGTCAAGATAATAGTAAAGTTGCACTCTTACCACCTATTGGTGGTACACAAATGTGTTATAAAGCATGACATTCGTTATACTGTCGTCAAGAAACAGCGCCAAGGAATACCACTTCGATCTTTATGGATCTTTGCCATAGATCACGTAGCATACGATGATTTAGATTAGGTCTACTTACTATGACACAAAGAAATTGGCTGATAGCGTAGGCAGATCAAGTCATCTAACGACTGTGTCTGATGTTGTTAATGCGCATCATTGATCACTGGTGCTGAGGGAGGATCAATCCAAAAGAAACGTCATTCTTTTTCATTCTTCCTTGAGTAGATATGATAGTAAAAGGTTTACGGAAAAAGTTGATCGTGTCTGCCCACGACCAAATCACTAGCTCTAGGTTCATCATGAACACTCAAACGCCCTTGGAAAGGTTTCGAGACAAAGCGCGATAAGTCATGATCGCCATGGGTAGCACCTCGGAGGCAAGAAAGATACGTAAGAAAAGCGTTCGTAAAGTGCTATTTACATGAGTCACATGAAATGGAATTGCCCAGAAAGAACAAATTCAGTCTTCTGCTGATTCACAGCGGGACAACTATTGTGGAGACTGCAACAATTTGCGGGCTGATGTTTGTATTAAGGTGAGATTTCACATTCCAACCTCAGGCAGCAATCACGTCATTTATATTTACAAAAGATTCATTGTCTTAAGCCCATGCAGATGTTTAGTATTATTCGGCACTTATAGTCGTCACGTTAGTGCATACAGAGCGATAGGAGTCCACTAGTCCTACATTGATTTCTCAGCTCAGATATTGCTATATTATCAGCTGTTTTCGTAATGAGCTGAAACCGTCTCTTGCCCCATGTTATTATATAGTCAGCTCTATGTCTTACATCATTGTCCATTGACGCATGTGCAAGCAAGCAATGCTAGAATGTAAATCGTCTACTACGTCTTGCGTATTCACAAGAAGACGACTGTTTTTTTTCATCTAGCCTTCACTCCTTCTTAGTGTTCTCTTAAAACGTGTGGAGAAGAAACAACGAGTCGAGGCTATGCAAATGAAAAACGTAAGGTTGCATACATAGCCGCCAATTGTAACAGGACCCTCACGTTTTGTCAAATGGGCAGTAAACATGTCGGTGACCAGTATGTTGAAAATCAGTTAAAAGTAGTGGGAATGAATTGAAATACACTGAAATTTTCTCTTTTACTTGTGTGTGTTGAGCTAGCTTTGAAACAGGCTTCTGATCCGATTAGGTTTTAAAAAAATGATGTACTTTCAGTCCCATAGCATCTTGGTTCCGATTAGTCTTAATCTTGATTCTTTCAACACCTTTGAGTAATGTCCAGAGAAAAACGAGTTCTCCTCACCTGCGTTCTGCATACTACTACTTACTGTGTCTTTACACTTTATGAAACCTTTGTATTCATGATGGGATGAGAATAGAAAGTGTTGCGTAAAGTACTTTGAAACTGTGCTTATCCACGATCATAAAACCTGTTCCGATCATTCTTGGGATCTGCTATGGTCGATTACAAACGATCGTTTTCTATGGCGATTCTCGCTGTTACAGTCATTTTCCTTATTGAATTACTACTTTTACAATGACTCTAGTCCTTCCCTATTTCCACATCACATCGCAATCTGCCACGAAACAAACAAACCAACAAGTTCCAGTAAATAGAAAAGGAAGAAATAATGCGATTGTGTTATACGATCGTGGTGACAAGTACCATTACGTTTATCGTAAACATTCATCAGAATGGGCTTGTTAGTGCTCAGTACGTCGACACGTATCGAAACGAAAACATTAACGTAGCGCAAGTTGATCCAAATGATGGTTTGCCAATGTATCCCACTCCTCCTGTTCCAGTAAATTATGGTTATCAAGGCATGAATGCTATGGACACATTGTCGTCCCAGCCTGTTCCTGCCTCTCCTCAGGTTCCAGTAAATTATGATTTTCAAGACATGAATGCTATGGACACATTGTCGTCCCAGCGCGTTCCTGCCTATCCTCAGGTTCCAGTAAATTATAATTTTCAAGACATGAATGCTATGGACACATCGTCGTCCCAGCGCGTTCATGCCTATCCTGTTTCTTATGATACTCAAGGCACCGGTGGACTGGACAGACCGCTGTCAAACACGATAGGCAACGGCGGTCGTGACGATCTACAATCGCTTCAGACTCCAAGTAGCGGTGGCTTTGCTAACCAGCCATCTCTAAGGGTTTCAGATACGTCAGGCGTGAAGCCTAGCCTTCAGTTTGGCAAAGAGGTGCCTTTGGCTACGAACTCTTTACAAAAGGATTTGGATGACGATGAGCATCCCGTAAACGAGACGTCTGCCAAAGCGGTTCTAACGGCACCTACAGCAGGTGATTTGAATGCCGCTGGAAAGGCTGCAAAGGAGGCGTCTACCCCTGAGTCTACCAAGGTGGTAAGGCCGGACACGAAATCTACAGTGGATAGTGCGGATGACACTGAGGATGATAATAATACGTCAGGCGTGAAGCCTAGCCTTCAGTTTGGCAAAGAGGTGCCTTTGGCTACGAACTCTTTACAAAAGGATTTGGATGACGATGAGCATCCCGTAAAGGAGACGTCTGCCAAAGCGGTTCTAACGGTACCTACAGCGGGTGATTTGAAGGAGGCGTCTACCCTTGAGTCTGTCAAGGAGGTAAGTTCGGACACGAAAGCTACAGTGGATAGTGCGGATGACGCGAAGGATGATGGTACTACGTCAGCCGCGAAGCCTGTTTCTAAGTCTGAAACGAAAAAAGGACCCAACGATTTTCTTCAAGACGAAAATTTTCAACAATATCTTGACGATATGTTTAGTGGCTCTGGCAGCCGCGACATATTGCAGGAGTTAACGGGCCAAACATTCAAGCCTAAGGAATCGGAAGAAAGCTCTCCCTACCAAAAGACTAGTACTACATTGACTAAAGGGGTAAACGATTTTCTTCAAGACGAAAATTTTCAACAATATCTTGACGATATGTTTAGTGGCTCTGGCAGCCGCGACATATTGCAGGAGTTAACGGGCCAAACATTCAAGCCTAAGGAATCGGAAGAAAGCTCTCCCTACCAAAAGACTAGTACTACATTGACTAAAGGGGTGACGGGTGGGGTTGTCACCGACAAGGCCGTCGCTTACAAGGCTGCCACCGACGCAACTGCTGATATAAAATATGAGGAGGACGACGCAACATCGGATAAAGATGATGACAAAAAAGATGTCAAAGGACCGATCGGTAATGTGGAAGTCACCGCAGCAACGCCTTCAGAGGATCTCCCCACCGAAGAAGTGACTGTGACATCAGGCAAGACTGAAGTCATTCCAACTTGTTCCGGTGTGATAAGTAAAGCGAAGTCTTGGTTTGCCAGGACTTTGAACATTGGCCATGATATCTGTGCAAGCAAATCTTGAGTATGGATGGTATCATCCAGACGTAGGAATACAAAATTATGCTTAATACTACTTGTTGTCAAACTAAATACAGTGCCAAACAGCTTTCTGCGAGGTTTGTAGACACCTGAAATGAATTTCAAAGTATAGAGGTCTAAAAGGTTTGCATTGATGACAAGGTAATGTTTCATGGGTAAAGACTTTAGACAAGATAGCCACGATGGTCAGACAAGATGGCGATGGACCAGTTCTCGTGCAGTGACAGATAGGTAGTCGTATACGTCAAATGTGTTTCTCTGACTCAGTGATACAGATGCAAACATCGAAAACATCAACCGTAGATTAATAATCTATCTACTACGGAGAAAGCTATGAAAGCTTTGCTGGCTTGGTAAATAAGGAATAGCCCACAAGGGCTACGTCAATTGAGAAAAGAAACAAACGGATCGTATTGATGTTTTGACAGGAATCGGTACTGTGAGTCATGACACGACAGGACTGTATGTGACGAACCGCATAAGGACATCCAATTCATGCTCAGACATGTCAGAGTTAGATCATGAATTCCAATTCGAATGCTAAATTTAATTCATCACGTCTTCTTCGTCTTTCGTAGCCCATGAAGTAGCGTCTATTGCACACTTTCAACAAATGAGCCAAACGCATTGTCATGGCCTACCATTGTTTTCTCTGCAATGCTGCCATAAACAGCGTGTGTGTTAAGGGCACCTTATGCAAGCCTTCACACGGCGTCTATGCGACTCCATTCTGTTTTCCACAGCTGCATAGACCCATCGAGGGACGACTTCGAGATCTTCAGCGAAATCGTCCCCCAATGATGGGTCTACTATGCAGCTTTTTTCTACCTTCTTTTGAACGTTAACCACTTGATAGCAATCACAGGAGCACGTCAAGTCTTTGAGACCCTTGGAATTCCTCTCAAGCAGTTGCTTCTAGAGACACCAACACCTTCCATCCTGATGCACCGATATCTCGTTCTTGTTTCGTCCATTCGATCCATGGCAATAACATAAATGTACTGACTGATGATGCTAACTACTACTAAGTACTATCACTACTTTGTTGGAAGAAAGTTGATCCGATCACGTTTCGAGTTCTCGAATGGCATCTACGAATCCTCCTCATATAGGAGGAAACCTCTTGTTACTTGTGCTTGTTGGTAAACTTATTTTCATCTTTACTAGTGCTGTGATGGTCGTATTAGGACTTTGTCTTCTTCTAGTGCGTCGTGTTCGTGATCACGATACGACTCGAGGACTTGGAACGTCAAAATTAGACGCTCTCTCCGTCCAAAGCTTTTCTTCTCTCCAAGACCTTCAAAACTCACATGAAGCTTTTGTACATGTATTTCATGTACAATTCACGCTTGCTCTCGTCTGCTTCATGTGCGTCTACGTCCTGAAACAGGTAGTAAGATGCAACTTGACTGAGGTTTTGTACTTGAATCACTGACTGACTGAGTGACTGACTCGCTATTGATCATTCGATTACTAGACATTTGCAATCCCTGGGTCGGCTTTATTAAATGTCTTTGCAGGTGCAATTCTTCCTTTACACGTGGCTTTTCCATTGGTGTGTACGCTCACGGTATGTGGAGCATCCTGTTGCTACTTGCTGTCAAAGAAATTAGCTTCCGACTCGATCGTGATGGATCTAAGTGATCGTCTACTGCCTGGGAAACTATCTGCATTGCGACTGAAACTTGAAAAGGCAAAAGCTCAAGGTCAATTGCCATTCTTGCTGCTGTTCTTGCGTGTTTTTCCGCTCACACCCAATTGGTTTCTAAACATGGCGAGTCCATGGTTGCAAGTGCCACTTAAGCTGTTTGCTCCATCAGTAGCATTTGGATTACTACCCTACAACTTCATTACGGTCAATGCAGGTGCGATGTTATCTTCATTACATCGTACAAGTGATTTAATGGATCCAAAGACGATGGGGTTCTTGGTTTTGCTTGCAATTGGTATGCTTGTTCCAGTGGTGTTAAAGAAGAAAGTGAAGGACATGGAAGTAAAGAATTGCAAAGGAGAGGAACAACGTGGTCTCGAGAACGAATTCAATGGCAAGAAGACATTGTAGCTGCTTGATCTATGGATGAAATACAAACTACAGTATTTCGAGGGTTGGTCGATCATGGAATCGTTTCTTTCCCAGTCATAATTGAGAGCATATGCAATTGACATTGAGATTTACATCCGTATGATTATTGCAACGTTCTTTCAAGTCTTTCTTATGGTGATATTCATGTCTAGTCCATGATGAGAGTCGATCTTTGAAGACAACATTCCATGTCAATCATGATGCTTGTAAAGTAGATAAGTACCTACCGTATTGGCAATACGTGGGTGTTTGTTCATATTAAAATTAGCCATGTATTAAATTATAGCGGATATCAAATAGTCGAGGATCGTTACGCATTCTGTCCAATTGGAAACAGTTCATCCAGTCATTGGTTGAAATATAAAGTGCTGAATCCATACGAGAAGCTAATCAATATACAAAAAATCACTATTGTGTGTATAAAAAAAACATTTGGTCTCCACGATGCTGTTTTTGTACCTCAAGTCTCTATATTGTGTAATTTACAATGGACCAAATTAAATTAGTGATCAATGACGCTAGTGATAAAGTAACAAATGTAGCACATGATATGAGCAAGACATTAGAAAATGTGACTAGTACCAAAAAGAATCAAACAAATTCAGACACGACGTCAACTAATGCGTCATCGGATTCGCTAATTAGTACATGTCCAAATTTAACAAAAAAGCAGCGAATGACCGGTTTTGGGTCGTGTTTTGTGCTTGGGTTTTTTATCAATTTTGGGGTAATTTAAACCATCCAGAGCCTGTGTTTTTTATTGTTCTTTTTTGTCTCATTTCTATTTGGGTGTTTTTTCGTATTTCTATTTGGTGGGTTGTCTCTATTTCTATGTGTATTTCTAGTCAACCTTTGCTTTAATCCTTGGCGCTGATAATGGCACAAAGTTCGGTATTACGTATACAGTCGGTAATATCATTTCATTATGCAGGTCAGACACAAAAGTATGGACTAAAATCAATGACCAATATGTTGCAATCATTTCAGTATTTACGAATATATACATGTATTGTTTTGTGACTATATGTATTTATATAGTTCCGGCTTCCTCGTTGGTCCACAGCAGCAGTTAAAACTCATGTTAAAACCCGTTCGTCGGATTGCAACTCTTCTATATCTTGTCATGATTATTGTTGTCATGATTGTTGCGCTCGTGGTGGGTAAAAAAATACCGAAGGGTGTGATCGGTTTTGTGTCGGTTTTTCTGATAATTCTGTAACACGTGTTGTTATTATATAGACACCTCAATTTGGATTAATTGTACTTTTCCTCGTACTTATTCAATGTATCGCTGCTATCTGGTACAAACCAACAAAATGATATACCGATGAACGAAATATCGGTATCGATACGAGTGTACATTATTGAGGTGATTTAAATCTGGTCTGTTGGTTGGTATTATAATTGTAGGTATTCCGCAAGTTATATTCCATATGGACGCAAGATTCTTGCAAGCATTGCGAAAAACGTCTGTGGTACAGCGTTATAAAGCAAAAGTAAAACCAGCTGGAGAATGGATTGGAATGAAATACTTGAGTATTGTTGTTTACTTCGAGTGCGATGAGGATTGACAGTTTGTGTGTTTTGAGTTGATACGGCCTCAATTGTTGAGTATTTCTATCAACAATTGAATGCATTTTGCTTGCTTGCGATTATGCTGTTTGTGTTCATTTTACTGCTTTTGCGAGACATTTAGCGCTTCAAGTTACAGAATGTGAAAATGCTGGCTCGGTTTTGGTCCAGCTTGCGACTACGAGGAAGACATAATAACTTGCTTGGACAGCACAACAGCATTGCTTGTTTTTTGTTGTTGGAGCAAGGTTACCAGTTTTAGGTATCTTGTTGCTGCTGTAGTAGGTCGTTTTTGTAACCAAGACCTTTTGTGTACTCGCGTACGCTTTCATGCAGTGCAAGAATGTTCGTTGCTAATGATGGAGAGGATTATGTTGTAACAAATCGTGTAAGTTATGTACGCCCAGATTGGCGCACACAGAGTGAACAGTGAAGGTGACATAGCTTTCATTTACGTTGCGGCAGTTCCAGACAAGCCTAAGGCAAACGAAAATGACCAGGTTAGAGAAATGGTCAAGGCGTTGATAGAAGAATTAAAAAGTGTACAAGTGGCATTTTAGAGATGAGTGATGATAGCGAGGACAAGCAGAAGCACCACAATTGTAGTCGTCACGTATTTTGCTGCGATTGAAAAGCTTTCCTCCATACATCACAGGTGCAGCTCTGGCATTGAGCTCTGCATTGCCTGTCTGATGTCACGGGAGACGAGCAACGACAGCAATGGCTCCTTATTTCCTGATGGCCTGGTTCCTGCGGAGCGCTAAAATCTTCAAGTTTTGGAGACTTCTCATCACCGAAGCAAGCAGATGATTTATGTATTCCCAGCTCTCACCGGTCAAGACTGTACAGCACGGGATCCAACATTTTGGCCATGGCAACGATAGCTGCATGGACAAACATGCAACCATCTCAAAGCACGGTAGTATTAAGGTTTGAAACTAGGCAAAAGTGGTTTGCGTAATTAGGAACGGTAGATTGCTGATCACCGTAGGACGTATTGCCAACATGCGGAAGCAACACAAAGTACTTGTACGGGGCGAGGAGAAACACGTCGTGCGATTCGCACGAATTTCTCCGCTCTTGATACAACTTTTGCTGCTCCAAAGGAGAGCAAGATACGCTCTGGAGGTGGCTTCATGAAAAGCAAAATTGCCTTCACAATGGGTCACGTGTGACTAAATTTGGTTGCGAGTCCATGCATTCGGACACAGGAGAAGCTGAAGGAGATCGTAACGCTTTGGAGTATGAGGAATGGCATGATCATTTGCACTTGAGCTGCTGTCGAATGAAGAGTGGAGAAAGCGTGATTGGTAATGGAGCATTATGGGGAACGGACGGACTGACAACGAGCTTGGCTGACATGAAAAACTCGTAGTTTAAGCTGTAGCAGTGAGCATTTCCAGATGCGGGCGAGCTTTCACTAATTCCGCAGTGGTTTCTCTAAGCAAATGTCAAAAGTATCTACAAGGGAGCTGGATAGGAGCATGAGCTGACAGCTTGTAGATCTAACTTGCCAAAACAGGTGGTGCTGCTTTTGATGCTGCGTTGATTCTCATAGATGAGGAGTCATGGATGTACAAGAAATCATGACTTCATTGTGTAATGCGATACAATAACGTTCCACGCAAGCTATTGACTCGTCTTTTATTTCGGGATGAGAGATAGCTTGTCGAGGACGGGGGGGATATGAACGATGAACTGCGCAACACAAGGCAAGGTAAAGCGCTGCAAATGAACGGAATGCTTGTTGTTGGTTGTGTTGATGGAACTTTGACGGTGCTAGAAGATGCTCCAGTCTGAAATTTGACCACATTCTCTCGGTCTCTAGGCGTCATATGCCATTTATGGAGGTACAAAAGCCAAAAGCATACGTAACCCAATTCAGTAATTTGGTCGCTTCTGGCAGTAACAACACAGCATCGTGAGCTCCTGTCGTAACGTTACTGGCATACGCTGCTTTGATTTGAATTGGAAAGTCGTTGCTATGGTTTTACGGCATTATCTTTGGTCAAACATGTGCTGTGTGTCACGTCTGTTGGTTTTGGTGGTGTTGATTGCTTCACCTTTCGGTTGCTAACCCTTTTTTGGAGTACCGTGTTTTTTTCTACATGAAACAATGCTTCATATTCTCCTTAGAGCGTTGACTCAACGTGAACTAGTCGAGGCATAGAAGGAATATGTCGAAGAGACTCACACTGTCATTATGTTGGATACAAGAGCTAGAGAAATCACTTCAATGTCAGTACGGTGTCATGAAAAAATCATAACAGCGCACCATCTTTGTAGTACAACATGGTACTCTACTAGTTGTCGTAGAACGTCTCGTTCGTATACACGATCATATCGTAGCCCGACGGACAGTACTGAAACGTCTTGTCACTCACAATGTTCAAGAAGAGGTTCTTTCCCGTCGTATACGTCACAAACCCACCCAGACCGGCACAAATAAGGATGATAAACGTGCCGATGGCTTTCTCGTACCATGGAGTGCGGTTCCAGAACACTTTGAGGTAGAAAAAGATTGGAAGAACGATGCAGGCCATGGAGACAGCCCACGCACCGACAAAGTCTGTAAAATCCACAAAATGATCCTTGAAAATAATGGCGATGACGAGGAGAATCACAACAATGACAATGCGCAGCGTCATGTATTTTGCAATCACGACGGGGCCGCTGTTGTGATATTCATCGAGTAAAGCTTCCGGTGATAAATCGTGCTCAGCGTCAGCTAAGGGCACGACAGGTGGACCCGGTGGAAAGTTGCCAATGGACACGGAATGGGTTTTCTGCGGCGTGATGATTCCCTCAAACAATGGAGACTCCTCATCCACAGCAGCAAGTAGAGGACGTTTGTGCATGCCCAAAATACCACGTTCAGCAATGTAAAGCACGGGATTTAGAATCACGGACATGGCGATGGTGATATGCAGTTGCATGAACATATAAGCAAGCACGACAGCACCGCGATTTGCATTCAGATTGAGAGCTGTGCCACCAATGGCAAACAGGAGATTACCTGGGATCTGGCAACCGACAAATGAGTACGATGTGCCACCAATGATGAGGAATAAGCATGCTGTAAAAATCATGGTCGTAGCGACAACACGGGGCATTCGCTCTGGTTGTGAGTGTTCACGTTGAAGAGCAGGAACTAGCACAGCAGCAGAGAAAGCAAGAGCTAAGTTACCAAATGAACTTGCCACTTGACTAAACTCAAACGTGGGCTCAATCACAGACGGATGGTCAAAACCAATGCCATTCATTAATACTCCAAGAGATATTGTATCCGCAAGAAGTGTTCCAAGACATCCAGCAAATGCAGCAGCAGCTCCTTCCTTGAGTGTTGGTGTAAGAATAATGGGTAAGAGCATTGTTGCCATGATGATACTCCAATACTGCTGATCAAATGCATTGGGTGAGATTCCATCAAGAAGAATACCACCAAGTACGAGGAATGCACATGGTACTAAACAACAGACACCAAATTGAACAAAAACGACAAGATAACGTCCAAAGGAACCACAACACCATTCTCCAACATCACCATATGTCTTTACATTCTTTGGAGCAGCTAACATGACTCGAGATATAGCGACACAGGAACAAATATTAGCAAACCCCATAAAGATTAATGCAAGGGACGCAAGTGTTGCACCCGAACGAGCAAAATTAGATGGAAGACCCAATGTACCAATGCCATATACCGTACAGAAAAAATTAAACGCAATCTTCAGGTCTTCCCACGTAAAAAATGCCATTCTCAAGAGTTTCTAAGCTTGAAAGTCGGCCGTAAAACGAAAAGAACGAGTCTTTTTTAACGTACTTGTTGTTGAAGCAAGTCGTACGGTGGTGATACACGAGGAGAAATAGATAGCAAAATGAAAAGTGATTGATCCGACCATTGTACATGAATCTACTCGAGACGTGGTTGACAAGATATATTACTGTATTTATTGAACAGTGTCTGATCCAGTGATGATAAGGAATCAATAGGATTGCTGACTAGGACATTTGCTTTGTTGCGATAGGTGCTAGGAAAAACCACTTGACCAGTTTAGTTCATAGTGTAGATAAAGCTGGTCCATTATAAATGACGCCGAGTCATATGGACCATTGGATTGGTTGCATCGAAAAGACGTGACCCCGTTTTTGTACTGACTCGAGCTAAACAAGAGACAAGTAGACACTAAACGAGAGACGAGACGAGGTATAGTACAGCTTGGCGTCACTATTTAGAAATACCTCTCGATTAGAAAAAATCTCGTGTTTGAGTTCATGTGGACCACGTGACATCTTCAGCCTTCATCGTCAGCCATACGCTCTTGATATCGTTGAAAGCTTATCTCGATCCCAACGTTATCTTTTCATTGCTCTATCTCCATACGAACAAGTAGTTGGTCGTTCTTTCTTGCATCACCATTACCACACGACCTTTCTCTTTCATTTGCACTAATCACGGGATCTTGATTCAATCTATAGCATTTGTGTAGCTACATTTTGTGTAATGCCACATCATGGCACGGCTTTTGAAACCCGATACAGAAGGATTTATCGTTGCAGCACAACAATTACGTCTTGGACGATTAGTAGCTTTTCCTACGGAAACAGTCTATGGTCTTGGTGCTAATGCATTGAATCCCGACGCGATTTTGTCCATTTTTAAAGCCAAGGCAAGACCTTTAACGGATCCCTTGATTGTACACGTTCCTGCACTAGAAGACGCGATGAAACTTGTTGACTTGACACCATTGGGTTATCAAGCCTTTACTTGTTTAGGTAAAGCGTTTTGGCCTGGACCATTGACACTCATTGCTAAAGCAATGCCAGAATTGCCACTTACAGTATCAGCGAAGACGGGATTTGTGGGGCTACGATGTCCTAAACATGCCATTGCTCAGGCTTTACTGAAACAAGCACAGGTCCCGATAGCAGCACCAAGTGCAAATCGATTTGGTCACGTCTCTCCAACAACAGCAAAACATGTGATGGATGATCTAGGTACTTGTACAAACTTGACTGTCATGGAAGCGACAAAGGAAGGAGGATGTTGTGAAATTGGCATTGAATCCACGGTTGTCAAGATTGTGCCGGAAGAACGCAAGCTCATTGTGTTTCGTCGTGGAGGTATCTCGGAACTAGCATTGGAACAGGTTTTGAAGGAGAATGTGGAATTACTAGGTGGACAGTATGAGATTGTCACGATTCAGAAGGAAGCCAAGATGCAGACAAAGGAAGCACTTGAAGCACCAGGACAAATGATCACGCACTACGCTCCCGATGTCGATACATATTTGTATCAAGAAAATGCATCGGAGAAAATGGACGCAACAAGCGAGCAGGATGTGAGCTGCTGGGCAGTAATTGATTTCCACGGCAAGCTCGTCAGCTTGAAGGACCGCGTGCGAACATACCAAGATCTCTCACCAAGTGGAGATGTTGCCGAGGCTTCACAACGTATTTTTGACTCATTGCGCAGGTCTGAAAACGTCGATGGCGTTGAGCGCCTAGTGATCACAGACGTAGCTATGGAACCTCATGAGCAATCGGCTGCATTACACGACCGTATGTACCGTGCAGCATCAGGCAAGCAACGTGCACTCCAGTTTTAAAAGAGCTAGAACAATCCATTGTCCCTACGTTACTTTAGTCCTGTTCAGAGATCACTTTGCTGCCTCATATCGATATCGAGCTGCTCAAATAGCGTTTGCTGCTTTGCCTCAGTATATGTACCTGCTTCGCTTTCGCACCATCAAATCGTCAACCTTATTCGCTTTGCGTACGATTAGAATATAAACTGGCTCAACTCGCTCGTACATTGTACAGCAGCACTCGCACTTCAAAGCACATGACTACGAATCAAGATCTTGTACGAACACCAATGCTTGTGGCGCAAGGCCCTACCATACGCAAAAAAACATCCCATCAGTATCATCAAGTTTATTAAAGAGTTGAACACACCAGCACGTACCGCATCCGTGAGCGTAACATCCAGTACTTCCGGGCCGTACACTTTCTTTGGAAAGTTTGTCGCGAGCTCATAGTTTCGAATCGTAATCTCACGGTCAAAAAACTCCACGTCAATAAAGTCCCGCACTGTCTTGAGCGTATCATGTGCGTAGAAAATATGATCAAGGCGCGTGCCATTGTGTAAATGAAACTTGAGTACCGCTGTTTTGTAATCGGCACCGGGTGGTGGAACACGTGACTTGGGTCCCTGAGCAATTCGAACCCGTTTAGCTTGAATCTCCATCCCGTATTCTTCTTTTCGGCGAGATTCCTCTTCTTCCGCACGACGAGCTTTATCCTTTACACGTCGTTCTTCTTCTTCTTTCTCTACTCGTTCCATCTCTTTTCGTGCAGCATTTTCTCGTATCTCTTGTTCCCGACGACGATCTGCCGCGAGCGATTCTTGATACTCTCGATCCTGTTGTTCTCGTAATATCTGTGCTTCAGTCCGTTGTTGATGAATATGACGTGCCGTCGTTAAGAGTTGCGTATTCCGATCCACTGCAGCATTTAATTTCTCAAGCATCTCATCAGGTGGTAAAATGGCTACATTATATTTCCATCCATCATGACAAGAGGAAGTCATCAAACAACATGGATACATTCTACTACTCTCCACACACATACACAGTTAACGAGCAAAACTGTTCCCTACCTGTAATTTTCTCAATCACATGAATCCCACGTGATACACACGAGAGTAGTGCGACATATGGAAACGAAGCACATCCAAGCGATAAACTCACTCCAAATCCTTCAGCATATTGCACACAACCAGCCCAGGAGACAATACAGTCACTATTATTCAAATAATTGCTCATCCGTTCCGTACACATGGTGGTCCTATCGATCCATATATGATCCCATCATTTCCATACACCACACCACACATACACAAAAAACATGGTAAATTGGCAAACTTGCTCGCTATCTGTAAGATCTAGCATTCCATTAAGTACGAAACAAAACAAACATCCTACCGACAAAATCCATCGGCCTGATCATGGATATTTGAGTGTAAAAACACCAGTAAAAACTTGGACGCCGTGCGAGCCGTGGAAACTGCGTCCCGAAAAGAAGTGTGCTCAAATTCAGGGGTCACGGTCTCGCCATAGCGTTGCCGTAATTGATGCGTAAACTTACGGGCAGCAGTTTGTGGATCGATTTCTTCCTCGTCACCTAATACAAAACTTAATGGAGCCATTAAAAGTTCGATAAAACCTTTTGGACGACGTGAGACGTGACGTGGTGGGGAGACTGTTGGAGCATTTGATCCAGCATGGACAACGTGGCGTTGTCGTAGTCCATCATTGTCATCGCCATTTGTCGTCGTCATGAGGTGAAAAATATCTTGGGGTTTGGATTTTTGCAAGAGATTGATTGGTTGAATATACAACTGCGTTTTGCCAACGTTTAGGTGAAAAAGAGCAAACTTTAAGTGAAATGAAGGAAAGATAAAAAAATAAAAGGAATTTGATTGGATGGATGGATGGGGTGGATATTATCCACCGGAACCTTTCGCGAAACAAAACCAATAATGTCCAAGACGACGGATACTCACTGTCTATCGCTCGACAGATGGATAAAATCTACGATTTCTCTCTTATCGCTTGAACAGAAGGAAGAAATTGACACGATACGAGAGGAATTATCCACGCTAAATGATCATGAGAATCCAAATGTATTGGGCCATTTAACTTTATCTGGATATTTTACAGGATTATTTGGTCGCTCAGTCCTTCAATTATCGTTTCCATCGTTTTATCTGCAATACCCTAAACCTCATCATTTTACCGTCGGTGATTTAATCCAACTTCGAGGACAAAAAAAATCCAACCATAAATTACCACCACGCGATCATACATTACCAACGGGTAAGTATAAATTACCAACGGGTATTATATCACGTCTAGATGAGCAAAATATTTCCATTGTACTTGATGATACTTTTGATGAAATCAATGAGATGGAATGCTTTTTGGATACAACATTAACGATTACCATGGACCGGTTAATGAATGCAACAACATTTCAGAAAGTGACCAATGTATTGGATCAAATGGCAAAAGGTGACTATCAAGTGGCGGAATCAGTGGTGAATATCGTCTTTTTTGAGCAAAAACCAAGCTGGAACACTCCATTACAAGAGTTTATACCGTTTACAATGGGATTAAATGATTCACAGATTCAAGCGATTCAATTTGCATTAGCATCTAAGGATCTAGCAGTTATTCATGGACCTCCAGGTACAGGCAAAACCACAACAATTGTGGAATTGATGCTTCAAGCAGTGTGTCGATATGATATGAAAATCTTGGTCTGTGCACCTTCAAATATTGCCGTTGATAATGTCTTGGAAAAACTAGCAACGACATGCTCGAGAGTTGGGAAAAGATTACTATTGACACGGATAGGACATCCGGCACGTGTGTTACCACAGATTGTCAAATACTGCTTGGATGCAAAAATTCAACAGGCAGAAGGCACGGAAATTGTTGATGATATTCGGAAGGAAATGAGTGGCTTGCAGACGAAATTGCAGAAAACACGGGATCAAAAGGTGCGTTTTCAATTGCGACGTGAGTTGAAAGCAAATCGCAAGGAAATTCGAGTGCGTGAACAAAAGGTTGTGGGTGAAATTATACGACATAGTAATGTTGTCTTTGCGACGAATATCGGTGCAGCCTCGAAATTACTCAAGGACATGACGTTTGATTTGGTGGTTATTGACGAGGCAGCACAAGCACTTGAAGCGTCTTGCTGGATCCCTATTCTAAAAGCTAAGCGATGTGTGCTTGCTGGGGACCATCTACAACTACCACCGACAATCAAATCGAAGACAGCTGCAGCAAAAGGTCTGGATGTGACGTTATTTGACCGGATTATCAACTCTCCAAATACGCAAAGCATTGTAAAGATGCTGACCACTCAATATCGTATGCACGAGAAGATTAGCGAGTGGAGCTCTCAGGCGATGTACAATGGCGAGCTCAAAAGCTCTGAAGGTGTTGCAAAGCGCATGTTACACGAATTGCCGCATGTTAACATTCGAAAAGATGACGACTTGCTGGATGCGACGTTATTGCTCTTGGATACCGCTGGATGTGAACTTGAAGAGGACGCTGATGATGACGAGGACAAAAAGCATAGTATTCTTCGACTTTCAAAGTCAAACGAAGGTGAGGCACGTGTTGTCGCAAGACATGTTCGTGCTTTGCTAGAAGCTGGCTTGAAGGAAGACGAGGTGGCAGTGATCACTCCGTACAACAAGCAGGTGCAGACTCTGAAGGCTTTGCTGCTCGAAAAGTATCCAAAGCTCGAAATCAGGTCAGTGGATGGGTTCCAGGGATGCGAAAAGGAGGCTGTGGTGATGAGTCTTGTGCGCTCCAATGCTTCGAGGCAAGTAGGATTCCTCGCCGACGATCGCCGCATGAACGTGGCTATCACTCGTGCAAAGCGACATGTTGCGGTAGTGTGCGATACGGACACAATATCTTCGCACAAGTTTTTGGCTGCACTTGTAAAGCATTTCGAAGACTTTGGCGAATATCGAAGTGCTCAAGAATATTTGGAGGAAGATGCTGTTGAAGGGACTGTCGATGAACAAGTGATGTCGTTGCTGAGTGCTGCAACAAGTGATAGTGCACCATCCAGGGCGTCCGCTGTCAAACATTTATCAAATGCTGCTGCAACTGCTACCCATGCGAAAGCCACAAAGTCAAAGCAGACACAAACGGTTAAAAAAGAGGTAAAGGCTGACGTTGTCCTCACACCTAAGTCCGTTGAGGATACGCAGACCGACGGTGAATGTCATGTTGTTGCAACGGAGATAAATACAGTTATTGGTAGTGCAGATGTAGTAGTGGTCGATGAGGAGAAGGAGAGCGAAGATGAGTTGGAAGACAAGGCAGCGGCGACCAAGAGCATTTTTCAAATGATGTCGGAAAGTGATAGCTCAGAGGACGAACAGGAAAGCAGCAATGGACACCAGGAGGGTGTTAGTGAAGGTGAAATTAACTCAGATGCGTCCAAGGAGAGTATCGTAGAAGCTGCCAACTGTGCCAACATGCTGTTGAAAGATCTACATTTGAGTCGACTCGCTCGACAACCTGTTGAGCTTTCAGTGCCATCTTCAGGGAAAACGAACAAGAAACACAAGAAGAAAAAGAAAAATGCAGCAAAGGCCGCCGCCCACACTGCGCCGATAGCAGAACCGAAAGATGGTGAAGACGAGCTGGAATATCTCACTCGACAAGCAAAAAAGAGCTCGAGTTGCGCTTTCCAAAGCTCGAGTCGTTGCAAGAAAAGCATTACAATGCTTGGGAGCGTGTGCAAGTTTTGCAAACTCAAGTTCTGCTACAGTCACGTACTTCCTGAAGTACACGGATGCAATGACGCCGTACGCAAGTTCGAGCAAGTTGCGTTTCAGGAAATGATGTCTCGATCCACGGATCGCAAACCAAAACTAACGGTTGAGAAGCGTAAACTCCTTCAGAAAAAACTCAAGGAGCAAGTGTCTGCAAAGACTGCAAGTCGTACGACGCAGCCAACGACGACGAAGAAATAAACGTCTACAAAATCAAAAAAACAGCATCAAGCTTGTAATGTTTTTTTCTTGTGTCCATTCAAAACAACAGACACAAGTCTTGTCTCAAGACAAGACCAAAATCGAGTGCTACATACTGCTAACCAAGTGTTCAATGGCAGCATTTTCATCACCATTGGCTGCAAGTAATGCAGCCTTTGCCTTGTCCTAGAAATAGAGAGAAAAAAAAGACACATAGTCATCAGACACAGAGAGAGAGAGCCACAGAGAGAGAAAGTGAGAGCCACACAGCGAGAGAGAGAGAGTGTGTGTGTGTCACCACCTCCCCATAGCAACAAGAAACGAATGTCATGTCCATACCGATGGAAATCCCATATCAATGAGTCGAGATAATGCTGCATCATTGCTTGTCTCCTGTTGTTTTGCATAACTCTCAGTCCAAAACCGTGCCGTATTGAGAAACTGTTGTTGATCTTCTAGATACATTTTGGCTACTTGAGCATCCTGTGGATCCAATGGTTCTGCAGCTGAGAGTAAAGCTTGGATGGATAAAAGTGCCGTCTTGATTGTTAATGCTGGAGACCACGCATCTTTTAGAATATCAAGACAAATAGCACCCGTCTGTGATGAGATATTTGGATGCCAAATCTTGGTAATAAAACGCATTCCAGGTGGTTCAAATGGATATCTGTCACATCAGGAGCGACAAGTGAGATTTTATCCATGGATCATCTCCAATGGATTATATCCAGTGGATAATATCGATTGATTTTTTACAAAACATCATTGTTGTATAATTAAATAGAGAGCTTTTTGTCTAAAAGACCCCTACTTGGGAGGAATCAGAATTTCCAAGGTAAAATGACCGCCTTCATATGGTGTTGCCTCTGGACCTCGTATTGAACCACGTAATTCAATAAAAGACGTTGGATTCAGTGGTACAGCCGTTACACCAGATAAATGGGAATCTTTCTGACATTCCGCAAGTTCCTTGCGGACACGACCACCTATGTAAGAATCAGAATCAGGTTAAAGATTATCTAGATATAGTATTACATCCAGAAGGTCTTGGGTACCTGGTGCCATTTTGGATATTATTGGTTTTTTTGAATGGACTCAAATGATTTTAAAGAAATGACCCAAATGACGAAAGGACGAAATGACCCAAATGATGATTCTTTTGGGATCAATTAATTCCACTCAAAATATTAGCCACTGAAATTGATTTCTTTTATAAAACTACGTCTGTTAATGTTTCATTTGAACGAATCATCATCAACCACACCAGCTGTACATAATCTCCCTATTTTCCAGCCACACAAATTATAAGGCCCGTCGACATACGAGTATGAGTGCTTTATTCCCGACACCCGTTCATTCCTATACGACGTTTTCCGATACTGTCACCGTATCTGATTCTACCACAAAGACATCGATACAGTCGACGTCTGTAGAATGTATTCCAAAGTATCCTCTACGAGTGACACATCAATTTATTCCACGTCGTGCCCAAGACTTTGAGGATGGTGGTGCGTACCCTGAAGTTCATGTTACCCAATTTCCCCTGGAAATGGGTAAAAAAACCGAAACAAGTGGTTTTTCTTTATTGGGTAATCATCACAATACCCTAGCCCTTCAAGTCGATGGAAACGACGGAAAAATCAAGTATGATGCAATTATTACGGAACAACATCGTGCGAAACAAATTCAAGTGTATACAAAATTTAGTGATTTAGTCGAAAAAGAGTCGACAGAAATTTATGTGGACCACCCGGATCACGAGGAACAAGTGGCAACAGCATTACGGACACAGAAAGCGTTACAAACTCTTGTACAGACAAAAGTATCGAGTTCCTTACCACTCGATATCAAGCAACAGAAGACGGTGAAAGAAACAGCAAAATATATTCGATATACACCCAATGATCAAGGAATTGCAAAAGGTTCGAACCAACGGATTATTCGGATGGTTGAGGTGGCTAAGGATCCAATGGAACCACCGAAATTTCAACATACAAAGGCTGTACGTGGTCCACCATCTCCACCCGTTCCAGTCTTGCATTCTCCGGCTCGGAAATTAACATTAGCAGATCAACAAGCATGGAAAATTCCACCGTGTATTTCTAATTGGAAAAATTCCAAAGGATTTACAATTGCATTGGATAAACGGTTAGCAGCAGATGGAAGAGGATTGCAACAGGTGACGGTGAATGATAATTTTGCAAGTTTATCGGAAGCATTGGCCATTGCCGAACGTAAAGCGAGAGAAGAGGTAAATCTGCGGGCACAGGTACAGAAAAAACTAGCAATGAAACAAAAGGAACAAAAGGAGAATCAATTGCGTGAGCTTGCCTCAAAAGCTCGTATGGAACGTGCGGGCATTCGTGTGGATAGTGGTGAGGAGGAGGAGGACCGCCGTCGCGGACGCCATCGACGTTCCTCTAGCGCTGACAATGCTCGTCAGCGTCATGATAGTCAAGATGAAGACCGTGATAGTGATAGTGATGCTGAAGGACGCCGAGAACGTGACCGCATCCGTCGTGAGCGCAAGAAGGAGCGCGAACGTGAGATGCGCATGGAGAAATTAGGCAAAAAGGGCAAACTGGCGCGTGATGAAGACCGTGACATTTCAGAGAAGATTGCGCTTGGACAACTCCAGGGCGGTGGCAAAGCTGGTGGCACTGACGGTATGTTTGACTCGCGGCTGTTCAACCAATCTCAGGGCATTGGTTCTGGTTTTGGCCAAGAGGACGAATACAATGTGTACTCGAAGCCGATGGTGGATCGTGGCAAAGCTAGCGTGTACCGCCCAAAGGGTGATGATGGTGCTATTGACGCAGAAAAGGACTACGAGGATCTAAAGCATGGTCACTCAAAGCGTTTCAAGGCTGACAAGCAATTCCGAGGTACTGAAGCTGTGGCGAGAGGTGGAGGACGCGATGGTCCGGTACAGTTTTCATACGATGACACCAAGAGTGAGGATAACGAAGATGCCAGCAAGACCCGCTTCCCTGATGCTCGCCGCACTGATCCACGTCGATCGCCGTCTGGCTCTCCAGTAGAGTCTAAGTCAAAGACGCGTCATCCATCGAGTTCGCCGCTACGATCTCATGATAATGGCCGTGGATCTTCGCCTCACTCGCACAGCCGTGGCCGTTCGCCTTCCAGCTCGCCACGTAAGTCAAGAGATCGCGGCCGCTCTTCGTCGCGCTCACCACTGCACTCAAGAAGTCGTAGGCGCTCACCGTCTGGATCTCCGCCGCGGTCTCGTGGACGCGGTCGTTCTCCATCTCGATCCCTGCCGCGGTCTCGTGGACGTGGTCGATTCCCGTCACCATTCCGAGGCCGCGGTCGAGACCGTTCAGCACTCCGCGAACGTAAGCGTTCGCCGTCACGGTCTCCGTCATTTTCTCGAGAGCGTGGTCGTCCCCGTGCCCGTTCTCGCTCTTCGTCGTATTCGCGCGGTCACAGTAGGCGTCGGACACCGCCGTCTTACAAACGATCTCGACGATCTCCGTCCCGCTCCCGATCTCGAAGCAGCGAGGATCGCCGCAAGCGTCGCCGCCGCTCGCCCAGCGAGGACAGCGACGATGATCCGTTTGGACTCGACCAGTTCTTGACAGACGCTCGAAAGGGGACTGGAAAGGATCGCCGTTCTTCAGGCCGTGGCCGTCGTTCCCGCTAAATGCCGTGATGTATCGGTTGTCATTCTCCCATCAACACAAAGCATGAAGGAGAAATGTGTGGGCAATGTTCTGGCACCCTGGTATCTGGACGTGTCAAACATGATGTGGATCGCATCATCCAAAGGCTGCACAATTTCCAAGGTAGGTTTGCCTGGTTTGTATATGATGAAAGGAAGAAACAACAGTCAAAAGCTGGTGAAAAAAAAGAGTTTAATTGTTGTATTCGTCGCACTATCTTACAGAAGTCGACAAAAGTGATGGAAGCTCAGTCGGTAACAACACAACCTGTTTTACTTTGCTTCAAACCTACTTGGCATCTTAGAAAAAGTACGAGCCAAGGACCATAATAGTTGCAATAGCAATGCTTCCAATACACGAGATTTGCGACGCGTCACTTGATTTGGAAACATCGGTCGAAGTTGCTGGTGAAAATCTCGGATCCGTTGCGGATGGTGTCATCACTATGGCCGCATCTGCTGGTGAGAGGACAGACTCTGTGGTGCCTGAGGAATCAGTTGAAGTCGGTGGCAAATCAGCTGACGACGTACCATCTGCGGCACTGTCCGTCTTCAAAGCTGGAGTTGCCACCTCTTTAGAAGTCGTCGCATTAGCAGCATTAGGAGTTGCAGCAGCTGAGTCCGCAACTTTACTTGAAGCGTCCAATTTCAAAGCCTCTGAATTCGCAGCATTAGGAGTCGCAGCCTCTGAATCACCATTGGAAGTCGCAGAGTCCAATTTCGTAGTCTCTGAATTCGCCTCGTCTGAATTTACAGCATTAGGCGTTGAAGCATTAAGAGCTGCTGCAGCACTAGAATCCACAGCACTAGAATCCACAGCACTAGAATCCACAGCATTAGCCTCAGGAGATATAGCGTCCGAGTTCGTCACATCCGTGTTGATATTGGTAGAATCATTTGCTGAATCGGCACTAGTCGATCGAGCATTTCCCTGTTGACCCGAGACGCTAGTGACAGTCAACGCAGTAATTATCAAAAGGGAACAAAATTTCATAATTGAGTCCAAAATATCAAAAAAATTTTGGGTACTTGAGTCCTAGCGAGTGAATTTGAAACTGAACCGATATATTGACGCCGTCGATGTAAAAAATGGGTCACACACACACTGGCTTTTTTTCTCTCTTTTCTTTAGTATCGAATCATGTGATATGTAAAACATCCAGTCGCCGTGTATGTTTTCTACCTTTTTCACAATTACACGATGGCGAGTATACAAAGCACTTTTTTCTTTCAAAAAGTGTCTTTTATATCCTGTGTCATTTATAAAACGTGTTACAACGTTTCGGTGTTTTAACGGTTTTACTCCCTCCTCCTTTGTCTTCATGTGTCTTTGATGGTTGATTTCTTCTCGACTCGTCTTGTCTTGGTCTGTAGTTTCTGAACGTGAATAATCGTGGGTCTCATATTCTTTCCAAGTGTGTTTGATGATCTAGTAACTCGATCACTCATACCAATTCCATCTGTTGATGATTGTACCACGTGGTTGATATACTGGACTGGAGTCTCAAGTGGAAAGCCCGTACGATGTGGAAAATTGATCAAATAGCCTTCACTGACATTGAAATGAGTCAAGTAATAGTGAAGTTGTTTCAAATGCTCGGTCTTTAGTCCTGTGCCAACTGCCTTGAGTTCCAAGATGACTGGGTGCTCAAGTTTCAAGTAGAGATCCACACGTCGAGATGCAATTCGTTGACCTTTGTAATGAATTGGAATTGCCACTTCCGACAAGACCGTCACACCACGAGCTTCCAGTTCTCGAGCTAAAGCGCGTTGATACGTTGCTTCGAGGTTATATGGACCAAGAACATTGAACACTTCATTGCAAAGACATGGAAGCTCGTTTTTCAATTGACTCAAACGCGTGAGTTGGGACACATGAGCTTGAAACGTCGCATCGCGTGGTTCTCCGAATGAAATCTTGACCAGTTGTTCACTCAGCTCTCCAACGACGTTACAAGTGTCGGATTCATGGTTCTGTTCTTGTTCTTCCTTGTTCTTATTCGTATCAGGAACTTCTTGTATTGCTATGGGTTCCATTCGATTCCTAACCTTTATCTCATGCTTCTCATGGAGCTGATGTCGAGTGTCTAGTATTCCTTCCTTCTTCATCTCTCTGATGGACAGTTCCTTTTGCCTCTCCGTCAAAACTCAAGTAACTTTCGTGTCCTCTTCCCCCTTCTTCAAAATCCTTATGAATAAGTGTGGGACCAGAGCATCCTAGCTACTGATTCACCAATTGAAGAACGAGCAAGACCAATCAGTTGGTCAGACTGGTGGCATTGTTGTTTGCTTATCTACATAGCAAACATGGATTGTTGAATCCTGCTTTTGGGTGTACCTCCTTCTACTGAGACGCCTGTAGATGTTAGTACACTAGACACTCGTAATTGATGTTGCCACTAGATAGAATACATTCTAATCTGATCATGCGTTCCAGTATGGATAGAGGAACTTGTATTGAACAAACATGAGACTAAACGGCGACATCAGATCTCGTTGTCTTCACTTGCTTCATCACCACTTGCTTCACCTTTATGGGATGGTTCTAAACCAACACCACAGCATACTTACCTACTTGTCGTACAAGACCAAACATATTCAAGAAAAAGGGGCTAGAAAGACTCATCTATTCCACCATTCAATTGTGCTCATACTTGCAGTCAGTACCAATCCTACCATGTACGACTTACGAGTACAGCACACCTACTGCACCATTTTGATGCGTAAATTTCTCAGTCGGCTGGAAACTTGTTGGCCGCTCTAACATACCGAGCACAGATGATGACGATGCAATCAACGGCATAAAGCTTTGCATCACATCGAATGAAGTAGCAGAGACATCACGCAGACTCACAAACACGCAAACACGACGTTTACGTAACTCTCCCTATATTTATCAACAAAAATATCCATCACACACACCAATCCATCAACACCTTGTTGTCTTTCCATTCCTTGCACACATGTATCGTACATGTGTAAGCAAAGCTGCTGGAATTCCAGCAACAAATTGAGGTACTTCCAATGGCCGCACAGGCGTTTGCTGCTTCCATTCTTCCGTTACAGTAGATGTTGCAAGCATTCGAAGCTTCGTGCCAACCTGTTCATCCACGTATTTGTCCGTGTAGATTGTTGACAATTGCGAGTCGAGACAGACAATATCTTGTGCATCAATATGACTTCTCAGCTTATTCAGCCACTCCCACGTCGCTGTAGTCGGTACTTCTTGATCCACGAGCAACACGAGACAATTCTCCTTGTCCGACACATTTAGTCCCGTTTTTGACAGCATGACACCTAAAGTGGGTACATTATGTAGTTTACATGATTGCTAACAGTATCCAGTAATAAATACCTGTCAAAAATGATTCTTTTCCACAACCCAGAAGAAATAACATACAAGAACTTGATCCGTGGTCAATAATGTCCCAACGACGGTCCAGGACGCGGTCAATTGCTGCACAAACTGCTGTGCTGCACCAGGCATAGCAATGACAAGTGTCTTTACTTCAACAGCGTCATGGACGTGAGTTCCCAGTAGTTTACGCACAGCACGACTCCACTGATTATCAAATGGACACAAACGCGTAATTTAAACGAAAAGTCTTGACATAACTAATAAATAAAATACCGTAATTTACTCGAAAAATGGCCGTACTCGGCACTACGTTAGGAGCGTCTAAGGCAGAGAAATCACACGCACGAGAGCTAGAGAAAAAGAGGGAAGGAAGGAAGGGCATGTATGAGCATTGTGTGAATGTCAATTTGGAGAATACGTAAAGCATACGCACCTAAACTCGCCTTCCTCTGGAAAACGGAGAGCAAGTGCCATGACCGATACAATGACGAGCAAAATGCAAAATCAAAATATTAAATTTATGGTTGATCCAAATTTTGATTTGATTGATTTAGATAGTCAGTTTAGAATTGGTAGGACAAAATATAGTATTTGGAATACTATTTAGGCAAGTAGTATACTATATCCTACGTGTTTTTGTATTGTGACATAATATATATCTGTCTTGTTGGTCCAGTCATATTTCCAAAATGCTATCAAGTTTATCTTCTATGTCGAGCTACTGATATTGATGCATTCGTTACAAATACTCTATATGGCCTTGGCCATTCACGGTGGCGATAGCAAGAGTAGCAATACAGGCAGGCTATCATAGTTGGTGATTGACAGACTGTAGTGAAATAGAGCGACCAAAATGCTTTAGAAAACAACGTGAGAAGGATGGAGCAATAAAGATGCTTTAGAGAGCAAGTACACATCGAGTTCCATCAAGCATGTGACGTGGTGAGATTGTTGACATGCGTAGCTGTTCGTTGGACTATTCTGGCTAAATCGGGTAAAAGAAAGCGACTGGAGAAGGACCAATAGAATGGTGGAGGAGAAATGGACAAGGTTATGCGTCAAGTTGTCGACCCATTTGACGTGACTTCTTGATCTGAACTACTGCTTTGTGATCCTAATGCTTCGTAGTGTTGGATTTGCGATGCTATTGTCCATCAATAGTTTGTCATCTTGGAATGTATCAGCTATAGACTGCCAGTGTATTTTCCAAGTTTGAGGCCACGGCCATTGTCGAGAGAAATGTCATCATACTAACGGTTGTGGCATAAGGCGTCACTGAACCACATCGCAAATCTATCAGTCTCAGCTCTTACAGATACGACCTACTTGCCACTACCGCCTGTCTATGAAGTTTACATTTGATACATACCATTGTGGTCATCTGTAGCAAATCCACGTTGCGACTGAAAGCGACTACTGAAAAATTCAATCCCAACACACTTTCAAGTCTAAGAAGAACAAATTGAGGATTTGATTAGGTTCAAGCAGAGTTTTGCTTGGAACAAACATGTACAATGTGCAAAGCAAATTGTTTGCTACCAGAAAGCTAAGCTAACGGTACTGTAATACTCTACTGAGACCGAACGGAGTCGATCTCATCGGGCATCTTAGAAAAAGTACGTGCACACCATCAATACAGCAGCCGTCGCGGTGCCCATAACACCTCCAACCTTTGAAGCATCACTTGATCCTGACGCCGATGCGCTCGCGTCCACCGTAGCAGCAGAGTCTTTGTCCTCAGTGCTACCCGACGATGTCGTCATCGTTGAGTGATCTACACCCACCGCATCTGCCATAGTTGAGCCGTCTAGACCCACGGCATCTGAGCCTGAGGAGCTTGTTGTCGCGTTCGCGTTGGTCGTTGCATCTAAGACTTCCACAGCGGCACCAGCGGGTGCTGAAGAAGAAGTTGAAGCCGATGTGGCAGCATCAGTTGAGGCGGCTATCGTCGAATCAGTAGAGGTAGCTACCGTCGCATCAGCAGAGGGGGTTGTTTGGGCAAATGTCTGGCTACTGAAAGCGGCGACTGTGAGGGAAGCAATCGCGACAAGTTGGAAGATCTTCATGTTGTTGAATGTAGAGGAGACTGGAAGACTTAAGGACTTGAGAGTGTAAATGAAAATGAGACTATAGGGACACCACACACTCGACTGGAAGGTACGTCTCCAAATTTCCATCAAACTCTCGACAGAATGTTACAGAGTCTGGCGTGGCCTGAAGCGGTGGTACTAGAAAAAATACAATCATGATGTTGAATTGCATGCGTGCTTTTATACGGTCTGGGTCCGTCGGGTACGAATCACATTGTTACCATCAATAACTTGATGTCGTTCTTATATTTCAAGAGGGTGACTTCATCGTGTTGTACATGCGTTAGGAGAACGTCGGGTTGCAATGCACGTCTCATTCTAAACCCGTGCTCTCAAATCATATTTGTACGTAGACCAAACGAAAAGACCTTTCGATTCACGACGGGACTTTGTGTTTTCTGAATGAGTTGGGTACCAGCAAGTTTATACAACAATCTTACTCTCTTGACTAGTAACGAAAACAATCCGTGTCTACCCTGTACAGTACAAAACATACAACCAAAAGTACTTTGTCATAAGTACTTGAAGGTTGCACTTCGCTTTCTGCCACGATATGACAAAGTGGCGTACTGGATATCTTCATCTTATATCACTACCTCTCTACATCTCAAATGCTTAACTTTATATCAATTCCAATGACACCTTTTTGTGTTTGCAACAAGCCTGTGATAGCCCATAAACCTCACCATAGCAACTTGAAGGCAGAGAGGGGGGGGGGGGAGGGCAAACACTATAATTACACAAGTGTTGATAGCAGCACTCCATTGATAGAGTGCTACAGCATAACCAGAAGAAACCTGTGACGTTTTTTAGCTGTAGCCTTTTTTTGGACTCATGTCAGCCGAGCAGTCCCTTTCATGAAAACTGCGGATGGTCGTTATAAAGATGCTACCTCACAGCTGTTAAAGCCCGACTCAGAACCAAAATTACCTCCATGGTGCGTCAACTTCAATTAGAAACGCTGACACGCAACTGTGATCAAGATAATGAATGCACGTCGAAATGATGACCAAAAGTACGTATCACCCAAAATACAAAATAGAATTGGGTTTTTCTTGATGAAAACAAAATAAACTTGAAAAAAAAGCACTTTTCTTCTATACAAGAAAGTGCAATCTTGTTGTAGGTTTACTTTATCGTCCACATAGGGACCAACCTGGCAATGCACAGACAGGCAACAAATTGTGATCTTGATATACACTTGTCCATATAGCTATTTTACTTGTATATACGCCTGAACGTGTTGGTTGATACTTTCGATCGCTTCATCTTGCTGCAATTAACAACAACGACTTTGTTTTGTATCGGTCTCTCTCTTTCATTGGTCAAAACATGCAAATAAATAACTAGATCGTCTTGCTAACACTTTTGATTGGTCAATACTCCCACACCAACCAAACGTTGGTGCTCCACCAGTCAAATATCCTGTTCGTGCATCAACATTGTTGCGAATGGTCGTAAAGGCTTCCGAGATCGCACCGGCCGCATATGCCGTGGGCAGTACTAGCAATGTACAGAAGGAGGACGATTTGATCTATGACTTAGGCAATCTAGCGGCTTTTGATACGCATCCATTCAAGTATGAGAATGAAAAGGCATTGGCACTACACGCGCGGGAGAATGTCCAGCTGCTGATTAATCACATTTTTGAGCTACCGCGTGAAATGTCAGACATGGGACCGCTCGCTCTATTGCCTGGTCCTAAGACAGTTATTCCACGTGAGAAACCGCTTCCTAAGCCAAAAATTGAGACGAGATGGGAGAAATTTGCAATGGAAAAGGGCATTGAGAAGCGTAAAAAGAGTCGCAAGGTATTTGACGAGAATACGGGCAGTTGGAGTCATACATGGGGATATCAGCGTGCAGGTGATGATATGAAAGATTGGGCCGTGGAGATGAAAGCTGGAGACACGGAGGATCCGTGGACGAAGCGCAAGCAGGAAAAGCGTACTCGTGTGAACAAAAACCTGCGGGCTCATGCGAGTAACCTGAAGCAAGGACGTGGCAAGCAGCTTGCTGGTATTGCTGGTCGTACACCTACTGGTATTCCAGTCGAGTTGATGAAGACGGAAGATGTGAAGGCAAAGCAGCGTGGAAAAGAGGGCACGAACAAGACGTTGGAAAAGGTGCAGTTCTCGACGGCATCGATGGGTAAGTTTGATAAGATGCGGGAGGGTGAGTCTGAACGTAAGGTGAAAGGCAAACGCAATCACTTTTTGCCCACAACTGGTGCAGAAGCTACCGAGAAGGAGCGCAGCATGAACGTATTGAAGCGAGTGCTGGGACGTGAAGAGAATGCTGGCAAGAATAAGGGGAAGACCTTTGCTGATGAAGAAGAAACTCAAGGTGCTAAGCGTAAGAAGAAGGGAAAAAAGCTGAAAAACTTTACCAAGGGCGCTACGAAGAAGCGACGGACCAAGTAGAACTTGTGTGTGAGGACCAGATTTTGTGATGAAAGGCTGCTTCATTTACCATAGAAAAGAGATTACATAATATATGCTCCAACTCTGTTTTCTTAAGACGATACGTACGATAACTGGTTGGTTCTGGAAGAAATGGAATGAAGCATTTTAACCACAGCATCCACCGCCCACTGCCATAACAACATAAGACATTAAGATGTTAGATAATTAGTATGAATGTCAACACATCTCTTTCTATACATCAGTATACGTACTTGGCATGTTATTAGTGCCTTGATGGTTCACTCTTCCCATTGGTCGACATGGACCACCATTACCACCAATCCCACGAGTAGACAACGAGTTTTGACGAATGTTGCTATTCGGACGAGATGCTGTCAATGGATCCTGTCAATTAGCAACCAAATGTTAGGTTATAGTATGAAAATCACATCATAAAGCCACAAAACTCACGGAGAAAAGTGATGTTACACTATTGAGATTATTGACAACAACAACCAACAAGTATACACAAATTATAGTATTAGTCTTATTGAGTCGATTGCTCTTTACGACATCACATTCCATGACATACAAGAGCCCCACAAAGTTGACAATACCCCAGACCGTGTCAATTACAATAGATAATCTCCATGGTGAGCGCTTGGCTACTATATTGCCTCCAGTCACATACGTCATGTTCGTGATAAGTTTTCAATTGCTTAATAACAAACAATGCAAAGCGAGATAGACCGGTATGTATACTGGTATGTATACCGGTATGTACACTAGATCCGTCTCTAAAATAACTGACCATCACTCTTGGGGTTACGCTCAATTTTTTGTGTGGCTAACAACGCAAAAGCTGGTCAACATGTTGGCGATGGCAATGGGCATGGCGCGTATCTTTGGGTGCAACGCATCGGCCACAGCACGAGTCACGGCTCAATATGAAAATGCATACTCTATTTCGCGTCGCTGGGCTTCAAAGAAAGCTGGTGGTTCAACGAAAAATGGTCGTGACTCGCAGTCCAAGCGTCTGGGAGTCAAGAAGTTTGGAGGGTACGCTGTCAAAAATGGCTACAAGCTGTCAAAAATGGCTAAAATTGTGTCAAATGTGTGAAAATTGTGTAAAATATTTGCGTGTTACTATTTTTTTGATTTTTTTGGCAATTGTTGCAGACAAAGCGTAATAGCTGGCAATATTATCATCCGGCAACGCGGTACCAAGTACCACGTAGGTACTGGTGTGGGTATTGGTAAGGACCATACAATTTTTGCCACACGTGACGGCTTTGTGCGTTTTTGGTACAACACGCCTAAGAAACGCCAGGAAGTGTCGGTCAAGAGCCATTGTGAGGTGCAGCGTGCAGTGGCCCAGAACAGTGCTTAGAGGAAAAAGATACAGAGATTGAAAGGATAATAGTAATGCTGGAGGATTTTCCATTGTCTCTATGTGTACAATAGTGACTTTGTTGTCTGATCTTTACACCTTGTGGTGGTGTGACAGCGCGAGGAGCAGATCAGTCGTACCATCCATTCAAGGTGTTGACAGTACAGGTGCTGTAGTCAATTGTTAGCGTCTATCTATTGCTCCATGACCAGCAATCCATTCCTTCGTTATAGCTACATGGTTGGTATTGCTGCTACAAATTGATTGTCGTTATCTGATTGTGTTCTACTCCAGCATTTTGCTGTAAAGATAAGAGACTTTGTGTTGTCTTACGAAAGAACTGCATATTTGTAACAGCAATTGCTGAATACCTTCTTTACATATATATCTAGTAAGTAGTATCTTGGGAAACGTATGACCTATCACATGTTACATGAAGGTAAGAAATATTGAAGACTATGCACCAATGAGAAACAATCATTCAGCACAGACAAATCCCGGACGGTTTTATCACCTAGAACAATTATGCGAAAACAGCCGTTTTGGTCATCGTAAAGGATGCCAAAACGTGTGTGCTGTGCATTTTAACAGCCCTGCATTTATCAAGTTTCCAGCGTCGTATCGTTCCTTGGATAAGAAAAAAAATGTCTTTGCGTTTCGTTATTGCAATGGTGATTCTGGGTCTGATGGTGACGCCTTTTACGATAGATGGTTACCCCAAGTATGTCGAGCTTATTCCAAATGGCGGTGATGTACCCGATGTACCGAATATTGGACATTTAGATCCTGCTGGTGAAACAGGATTAAGTACATTTGGTGAAGCTTTTTCCAAGACGAATAATGTCTGGACTGTTGCAGTGTGTCAACAAGACACGGATGGAGATGGATATACGAATGGTCAAGAGCTTGGAGATCCGTGTTGTACGTGGACAGAGAGTAATAAAGTTGGCCTTATCACAGACGGTGTGAGTGATCCGTCCGACGTGTCCAAGATTCCTACAAACAGCGAGCTACTAGCAGGTTGTACGAGTTTTGGTGGAGACACAAGCAGTGGAGATATGGCTGGTGTTGTGGGGACAGTTGCTCCAGGGGACTCAACTATGGGTGGAATGCCACCTGATGACGATGAAGACGACTCGTCAGAAAGCGCTATGCTAACGAACGGTTTTTCTGGGATATCTGTTCTCAGCAAGGTGGTAATGGGAATGGCAGTGATTGTAGCAATTGCTGTAGCATGGTAAAAATGGGTTTGAACGTCAAGTAAGAGATGTATTTCTAAAGTTTTTAAAGTTTTCGAAAGTAAATTGACTTGCTCCGAGTTTTCGAAATCAAACGCGCAACTTGTTTGTCAATATTAGTGTAGCAGTAACTTGAAAACACGATACAGGAGAGAGAGTGCAAAAGGTCGAGTCGAATATATGAAGAAAGTTTTATCCACCAAAAACCGCCTTGACAGTAGTAATTCGGTGCTTCAACGTTTGCTGGGAACAACAGGCAACTAACTACAGCTGTTGTGGTTTTGCTGGACTGGGTGCAGGGATAATGAACACAATGATGAGAATCACAACCAGCACTACAATCACACCGTATAACTTGCACGCCTAGATAACATCAAACCCCCAAAGGAAACAACAATTCAAAAAGGAAACCAAGTTAGAAACCTACACCCACTCACCCATCAGTCATCACTGCTACCAGCAATCGAGGATACAAACTTACCTTCTTTTTGCGAGCATTAATTTCCCGCGCTGCTTTCTCTTCCTTTGCAATGTTTTGTGTTGCATTGTCCATTCGCTATGTAACGGCAATAAGTAGTATACATGCAATATAAATACTGTTAGTTTCCGTTGTCTTCTTATTGACCGGCAGGCGCTCTCTTTAACGATCACGAGCGAGAATCAAAAGCATACATTAGAAATGTCATCAATCATGATATTCTGCTCAACGACTTCGCCGTTAATCGCATGTGCCTGGTTCTTGAGGCCTACAACACCGCCATGGATTTGGTCCAGTAATGCATCCTGCCGTGCTTCATCCTGTGCACGACGACGATCAAATTGCTCTTGATCCATATTACGGTACGTCTCTTCGTCACGGGGCATGTTGTTGTAAATATATGTATGTAACAGTTTCTTTACGTGCGGGCGAAAGACTCGAGTTGAAAATTGGACTCGTCGGTCAGTTCCTTTTACTTCCAATTACGTCGAGATGACGGCAGAAAAAATACGCAGCTGGCTTCTAAATGCTCTTAAACTGTAGAATGTAAACCACGATATTTTAACGTGTGACACGTAAATCCAGTACCTTGCGGTAAAAGGGCAATTAGCTGCTACGAAACTAACTCTACATCACGTCTTAACAACCTCGTGCAACATACATATATCTATCTATCTATCTATGTTTCTATCAAAACATAGTACATTTCCCTAGGAGCGTATTTCGGCAGAGAGAAAACATTAACTTTCATGTGTCCAACGTTGATGACGCAAGTTGATAGCAATGACTGATATGATGATGATTAATATCTGCAAAAAAAACGATATCACAGTCGTCAGCGTACCACCCGCCGTGTCTTCGTCTTTTTTATCACCTAAACGACGATATTTCTTACGGCAATACAGAACGGAGTACTTTGTATCGTACATTCGCGAAGCCAGTGAAAAGGTGTTTCGAGATGTTCTGAATCAATGGCATATTTATTGAAGTAATCCATCCCATCCATACCCAGTCAGTCTTACGCTTTCGTTCACGATATCCACCACACACTCAAGTATAACATCCCCTTGTCTCATAATCTATAGTCAATAGCTCCAAGCTAATTGGAAGTTTGACAAATCCATCTTGCAACGGATTACGTCTTAAGGAAATGGATATTGGTAGTTTAATCAGTATTAGTAGTAGACTAGAAATCAGATTTATATGTCCACGATTGCATGGCTATGAGAGATCGTCATAGCTTCCTACTATAAACAATTGAATCATCATCAATGTCTTTCATAGTACACAAGACACATGTGAGTTCTCAAGAAGTCCTCCTTACCTAGTCAGTCTCATTCTACAATTACCTTCTCCATTAACAACCACCTTCTCCTTCCTACTCTCATCGCATTCATCACTATGAACATGCCAGTAGTCGCAAATTCCACCACCACTATATGTGATAACTCGACGGTACAAGCTCTACTTACTAATGAGCACACTCCTCAATGCGCAACCGACGCGGTCTATAACTTTTCAGTGCCGAGCCTCCCAACGCCAGAACAAATTGACCGCATGTGTCAATCCAGTGCCTGTCTTGATCTTCTCGCTAATCTAACGGCTTTACAAACGACGGAATGTATTCTTCCAGGAGGTAACAATTTTTTTTTCCGGGCCAATCTGACTGATTACATACCACCACGTTGTGGTGGTAACAATGCAGCGACGACGGATGATACCGGTGCTAGTATGGAACCATCCACTGCTACGAATAATATGTTACCGTCGTCACCACCCACTCAACCACAGGCAACATCGGACTCTAGTACTACGTTACATGTGAAACAGACATTGACAATCATGATCATTGGTGCACTTGCTATTGTTACCTCTTCTTGGTAGACACTCAATCACTCACTCACTCAAATGTCTTGGTTCTTTGAAATGAACGTTCTAAGGATTCTTACACTGTATAAGCGATGTCTTAGTACCTACTCTAGATGATAAGAATCAATGAATACATTTTAATGCATGTACTACTACTATGGAATAACAAATGTTACGTCACAATGCTCTGACTGATTGTCTCTAGTAGAAAGGCTCTATGTGCATTTGCTGTAGAATTTCTAGCGTCGTGACGTCGTGTAATTCCTTCAGCTGATAGCAAGAGCCAGCGGATTGACAAGAAGGATGATTCAACAATAATAAAGATGAGCATGAGATTTGAATCTCTTCACGATTCCATGAAAGCGACTTTCCATCTCGTTACATAATGCCAGACCTGGGAAGACAGACGTCTTCTAGAGCTACTGCAAGGTCATAGAAACACCATAGAGAATTCTTGCGTCAGAAATAGTCTCTGCTCTACATCATGTGCAACAAACAACATGTGCACAAGTGCTCATCGTAGATCATAAATCTGTGCATGTGAAGAACAAAAACCACCAACAACAGAGCAAAAGGACCTTGTAAAAGACTGTTGACGCGTGAAAAGCTATTCCCAGTTGCTCGACCACATGTACACTATAACCTGTCAATGCTATCATTCCATCACCGAGAGAACTGACAAATGTCGACTATCATTGCATCTCTTGACGTCATAGTGTGATTCACTAGTTCTCTCAAACGTCCATGCAAAAACTATCACCCAAAGCTCATGTTTTTCTTCTGATCCAGTGTCTCAAGCTCACCGTTTCTACTTGTTTGATTCTCAACCACTCGCTCAATCTATCGACTAGTTGTAACGCGATACGAAGGACTTTGATAAAGAATCATTTCGAAACGAGTCACGTGAGACTCAAAGCGACCTTTCTTCCTTTCTACGTGATTGCGTTTTTCGACATACGAATGAAGTATCATTTGATTGCCATTGCTGCCATCTTGGCCTTCTTTACTTCTTCAGCTCATGCTCAAGAAACACTTGGAAATAGTGTGGTTGCGGGCACTGAAGAAGGAATCAATTTGAATACGAATACGGACACCTTGACAAGCACGACGGATGATGCAGCCCGTCATGTTGGTGCGAATACGGTGGAATACGTGGATGAAACTACCGACAGAAGCACACCGATAAGCTACAACTCGTTAAAGTCGGGTGGCGTTGAAAGCACCACTGATGACGGTTCTACCAATGACGGTTCGATTGATGACGGTTCGATTGATGACGGTTCGATTGATGACAGTCCTTCCCCTGCTCCTGCCGCCGAAACAAGCAACGCGTGTCGCACTGTTCTTGCTGCTAGTGCCAGTATAGCTGCGATTGTCGTGGCTACCATGTTGTAGACTGTTGTAGACGCAATGGTCTGCATTGAGTCAATCAACTGATCTATATACTTACTTGTGCATTGTAAAGTCGTCGTGTCTTCTTGTCTCTCTGTCTTCTTGTCTCCCATGCACGTTGCTTGCTAAGCTGTTTCTTGCAGTTTGTAGTCTCCAAGTAAACGAGAACTGCTGATACAGACAACACTCGACTCGACTTGTATCACGATCCTGTAATTAACTACTGAAGTCAAATGAGCCATGTCTGCTTGACGGAAACAGGTCGTCGTCGTTGAGTGTCTCGACAAACTCCTCAGTATGTACTTGCGGTGTCGACATCGGCGACGAAACCATCGAGCTCACCACCGACGCGGTGTCTTCGTCGCCACATAGTAACTCTTGCTGCGATCTGGTCTTATGCTTTTTCTGAGCATTAAGTTTTCGCTGAGTCTCCTTGTCAACCATCTGTGAAATAACGTCCACTATCTCTGAATCGAGAGGGGCTGCTGATGCACGCAATGCAATCTCAATCAGCTTTCCGTGGTTCTTCTCTTCATATTTAAACTTGCTCTTCAGCTCTTTTCGTTTTCGGGTCGGGAATAGTGTCGCCATCATCGAAAAGTTTGGACCAACCTGGCTAAGGCAATAGTAAAACTGCTTCGTCTCCTCCTTTCCCCATCGCTTGCCCGGACCATTGGGATGAGACGAGCTATAGCGTGATCCCGTGTGTCGTGGTGGCAGGCCCGTATTGTCTCCACCAATACTGCCTTCACCAAGTTCATCTACCGTGCGTTGCAATTCGTCACCCAGCTTGATCGTGTTTTCCAGCACAACCATTTGGCCATCGATAATCTGAACGTGAGGTGTCACTAATGAGCCTGCAAAAGCAGCAGACTCAGACGATACCGACAGTGAACGCACCCGGTTGAGTGCGTTCATATTTAGCAAGTTTGAGGACCCTTCTCCAGATGAACCTGCAAGCAGCGGTGCGTCCAAGGCAGCTTCCTCATGCTCATGCCGCTTAATCCGTCTGCCCCTGGGTACAGTGAGTGCCAACTCACCCATTGTCATCTGAGATGGCTCCTTCTTCAGAAGCTCCTCCATCTTGCTGCGTGACGTCATACTACCACCAATTCCTGTAACAGCCGATGTGACTAAGGATGCATTCAAGTTGCTAAGCTTCCTGCGTGCCGCAGTTTTCTTTTCACGTGTGACTATCGCTTGTGAAGTACCGCCACCCTTGTTTTTATCTCCTTTCTTACCCTCGCAGTCCTTCTGTAAGAGAGATTTTGCCCACATCGTTGCCCGCTCTCGTGCAGGCACGTACATCTACAAAATCATCGAAAGATTAGAAACTTAGAGCTGGATCAGATGCAAGGACAGCAACCATGCATGCGACGTACATTTATCTCATCCTTTGGTAAACCAAGATCATGAGAATTTACATCCTCATGCCAGTCATCGTCTGGCTCACTGTCCAAGCTGCCACTTTCATCCGTCTCACGGAAGGTGGAATGCTTGGCTTTTCTCCTCAATGATCGACGCTCGGGTGTACTGGCGTTGGCATTAGTCTGCACTGACATAGTTTCACTACACTTTCGACGCTTTGCCGTCACAGGTCGGTTTTTCTTCGCAGTCACAGCCAAAACGCGAGTGGTCTTCGTAGTATTGTTTACACTTCTCGACTGCTTTGCATCGAGTTGCATATCAGGGACTACCCCTGAAGGTTCACCCCCGAGCATCAGCGGCGATGCCGTACCATCGTGGTTGTTTACGTTTTGTTGTTGCAGCTGCATAGCTGAGCGTCGTGGCGACTGATGCGGCTTGATGTCCAGCTTCCGAAGTAGTCTCTGCTGCATCGGATTTTGCGGCCCCACTCCAGGAGAGCTGCTAACGCTCACACCACGTGATCGCACTGCCAATGAACTTCCAATACTCCCGGCACGTGGTCGCATCGCGGGACTTGCTCGATACAGTGGTCCCGCTGACGTGATTTTTACCAATCTTTCCGAGCGTTGATGATGCACTGGCAGAACCACAGGCGAACAATCGGTGAACTCTGGTCGTGTTCCCGGGCTCTTTGCACTAGACGGTGTTGTGGACAACGAATCACCAGCCAAAATCCCTCCTGTCTGCCGTACCTGCACACCTGATGCTCCAGAAATAGAATCACCAGCAGTATTTGTGTCGTCATCAACCACCGACGATGCAAGCAAAGGTTTGATGACAGTCGTGCTTCTTGGACCGTTTGTAGCCTTGGAACTTAAGTTTTTGACCGCAAGAGTCGCCAATTTGGCTGTAAATTTTGTGCTTACGTCCAATGTCGTGTCTGCTATGTCTAAAACTTCCTCGCTGGTCTTTGGAGCCTGTAAATGAACCACAAAAAGCTCATCATTAGTACTGTCATCTTTGTCATGTGATATCTTGGCTTGTAGAACGAATTGTGCCGTCCAACTCGCACCTCTCGATTCTTCAATTGCTCTGCTTCCTCATCCTTATCCTTTTCACCATCTACCATCGCTGTACGCTTTGTTCGGGGCCCTATAAAGTAACAAAGAGAAAGAAAAAAGATGTTCGAGGTATGAGATAAAAAAAACTTTCGTTTCAGGTCAATTCTAAGTGGATGTTGACAATAACTACACCATTCGGAGGCCTAGAACGTGGTGCAATCGATGCACGTGAAGAAATACGACCTTTGCTCTTTACAAGCAGTGGCACACGCGATGCCGACGCCATATCGTTAGCAGCTAGCAGATTCCTACGACGTTATGGGAAAAATAATGAAAGATGATTGGTGGAGAATTATAGCAAATACGGATTAAGGATAGTCACGAACTCTATTTTAAAGTCAAGTACAATTATCTAATTGGTGGAAATACAGAACGTACTTTATAGAAGATGAAAAAAAGCCCATTTCTTTTGACCCAATTACGGTCCTTTAATTCATTCATTATTACCCAGTCGTACTATTTCAAAGTCATTAAGCCTCAAGGGCAGTACGAACGTTAACTTCCTTCCCCTATTGTTGCTATCTAGATAAGCAATATAATGGCAGATCCAGTTGCTCGTGCTCGTGAAATTGCAGCACGTTTAGCAGCAGCTGCAATTCCTGGTGGTGAAGCATTGGGCAAGCGTAAAAGTCGATGGGAGGTGCGTTTCGATAGACATTGTTTTAGCCATGTCAGGGTAGTCTTTTGGTTGACGTTTTTTTATTGGTTTATGGTGTATTTTTGTAATTTTGTATTACTAATTATTAGGGTGATGGTATGTTTTATTGAATTTTTAAATTTTTTGGTCCTATTTATTTGAGTCCTGGGAATTAAATTTAATTGATTTCGGTTGTTTGGGTTTTTTGTTTATTTTGGGGTTTTTTCCTCGTCTCAGTCGATAGTGGTGTACGACCTGCACCTGGAATGGGCGAGAAGAAACGCAAGAAAGTTTATATTCCAGTGGATAAATACCCAGATATTAATTTTATGGGATTACTGATTGGTCCTCGTGGCTCGAATCAAAAACGTATGGAAGATGACTCCGGTGCCCGTATTTTGATACGTGGCAAAGGTTCATCCAAGGACCCAACGGGTGAGCCAGACGAGAACGAGGAACTGCATGTGCTTATTACTGCTGATACAGATGAAGCAGTGGCCAAGGCTCAGAGTGCAGTAGAGGATATTCTTTTTAACCCGCAGCAGGCCATGAAGCTTAAGCAAGAGCAGCTTCGCAAAGTTGCAGAGCTTAACGGCACGTTGAACGAAAACTATGGCGCTCCAAGATCTGGAGAGGGTGATAGTTACTTGAGTGGAGCTAGTAGCAGTGCACCAGCTCACTATGGCCCTGGCACCGACAGTGATTCGACGTCATTTGATATGAGGGTCCCACGTGATCTAGTGGGTTATATTATTGGACGCGGAGGAGAGACTATTCGTGATCTTCAGATGAAGAGTGGTGCACACATTCAGATTGTACGTGAAGAAGAAGGAGCTCCGGCGACGCCCGACCGTTTTGTGAACATCACGGGGAACCAAGATGCTTTGGAATTGGCCCAAAAACTCATTCAGAATCTTATTGACGAGCGACAGCAAAATCAAGGAGCTGGTGGCTTCCGCGAGCGTGACGATCGAGATCGCATGGCACGCTACGGTGGCATTAACCCTGATGGTACCGAGTCGGTGGAGCTGTTGATTCCAAATGGACGCGTGGGACTTATTATTGGACGCGGTGGCTGCACAATTAAGGCTATTCAGCAGCGTACTGGTACAAGTGTCACTATTCCGCAGACGCCAGATCCGAACCACCCTGAAATGCGTCTCATTACTATTCGTGGTACAATGGAGGCAAAGGAGGCCGCTAAATTCGAGATTCAAGCAATGGTAAACGAGGAGCCTGGGCAGCGACAAAGCTTCGGCATGGCCTCGAGTCAAACCATTTACATGCAGGTACCCAACGACAGGGTCGGTGTCATTATTGGCAAGCGTGGAGAAACGATCAAAGGAATTCAGGACCGCTATGCTGTTCGTATCCAAATTCCGCAAGTGCCGGATCCGGGGTCAAACCCACCGGTGCGCACTATCTCTATTCAAGGTCCACCGCAAAGTTTGACAGGAGCGAAGGAGGAGGTAGATATGGTGATTTTGCAAGGGGCGGGTACCCAAGGGTTTGGTACAAGTGGGGGGCAGTATGGAAGCTTTGATACTAGTTATGGTGGAGGACAATCTGGAGGCTATGATCAGCAACAACAGTATGGAAGTTACGGAGCCCAAGCCCAGCAGGATCCTTATGCCTCATATTATCAACAACAAGGTCAACAAGGTCAGTATTTCGAACAGGATGCATCAGCAGCCGCCGGAACGGTAGCAGCTGCAGGTGGGGGGGACCAAGCAGCGACAACGACATCCACCGCAGACCCGAATGACCCGAACGCCTACTGGAACGGCTACTATGAGTATGCAGCATACTACGGTGTAGATGCTGCTAATGCGGCTTGGGGTGTGACGGGTGCTGCTGCGCAGGCTAGCGCTGAGGCTTACCAACAATATCAGCAGCAAGCTGGCGTAGCTGATGGCGCTGAGGCTGTCTCTGCTGCTGCACTGGGATCCACTAGCGATGCCCCTGCTGCGCCTTCATCTGTCAGTGAAGCACCTGCGTCTTCGGCCACAGGTGATGGCGGTACTGATTTGTCTGTGGCTCCCGCAAGCGCTACCCCACCACAGGTTTGTTGAGTGTATTATTGTGTGTAGGAAATATCGTCTGTCTGTCTCGTTGTCTCTACTTTGCTCGGTATTGGGTTGCTCATTGGGGTGGCAATGCCAACAAGTCCCATCAATTGTGCTGTGAGCTTGTTGTTGCTCCACATATTCTGAATATTGAGGTTTGATAGCGAGCATGAGATGGCGGAGACAGTGGCGATGCTCATGTTGGGGTGATCTGTTGTTGATGATTATTTGTCCCCTGTCTTGTGCCTATGTGGTCGTTGGTTGATGGTCCTTGTGATGCTATTTTTGAACTGACTTGCGGCACAAAAGAAACAAGGACCCCCAGGTACGGCGTAGGCTTCATATTTGTATGCATTGATCGAGTGGAATACAAGGCTTGGTCTGGTTCAAGTACATCAGCGAGGATGAAGAGGTTTTCAACAGGCGCTTTGATCAAGGGAGAGAGAGGTTGGTGTTGACAGGGAAAAACGAGTGACGGGTTGCTACAACAAGAGTAGGGATGATGTTTGTTGTATCTAGTTGCTGAAGCTGAGCTGCACCAGTTGAATCTGATCAGGTCAATTCACAGGTAGGCATTGAAGAGGCATACAAGGTTCTGGAAACCATCTCGTCAAGATTGGCTTGTTATGAATGCAACCTCGTTGCTCTAATTGTTTGGGATGAATGGGGCCATCTTGTTGTTGTTCGGTTGTTTCAGTGTGTATCACAGGGACGTTTCGGTACGCAATGAACGCCTAAACATCGTCGTGATTTGTACGACAGTGTTGGCTCTGTGTCTTCAATCATGACGGCCGTGACGACAATAACGGATCGTACTGCACGTTCATGGGGTTCTTATCGTTGCCAAACTGTTTCAGAGCTCACGATATCGAAATCGACAACTGTGAGTATGTACCAGGTGCATTTACTACCCCCTTGGCTTTGAATGAATACAGGTACAGAGAGATTCGTGACAGGACAAGCAACTAACTAATAGTCGAGTTTGGTGATCTCTAGTAGTCAGAATCACGTTGTTGTCTGGCAGTAGGGAAGCTACGATAAAGAATGAGGTCGTTGTGTTCTACCGGCCAATGCATATTACGAAAGCGTTAGGAGCTTGTTTTGAACGCAATACTCAATGACTGTGGTCCTATGATCGAGGCGATAGATCGATCGAAATACTTCTTCTTGAAACGATCTCGGTGACGCCATCATCAACTTTACTTTACAAGTGGTCTCAAAGACTGGCTAACTCAGCTTCTGGATTGTGTGCACACGTTGTGGAACGTCTGTGGACGAGACTTTCCACCAAAGAAGTTTCACATACTACGATCTCATAGACACGAAAATATCGATAGAAAATACAGTATTGAAACCACCTTCCTGTCCCCCCCGGCCCTTCTGAAGGAATATCATACGAAATAGAGAGTCATTAATACAGTAGAGAGCAAGGAATGAGAAATACACAATCATGCATGAAACACTTCGTGCAGGGTTGTAATAGTCCCACCTTGGTGTCAATCAGATTAAAAAAACACACGTTGTCGTTACTGCGCAAGTTCATTGAGCTTGAAAATTGTATGTATCGTCTTTATCAATTTGTTCTGATCACTTTGTTTGCCACCAGGTGATCGATGATCGATGATCGATCCTAACGACGCGAAAAGATTCCAGTTTGTGCTCTTGTGTGTTCAATTGAATCGAATTGAATGGCAGACAATGATAAAGAGACAAGCGTGACGACGCGAAAGGATCTTTCTATTGCCTTGAAAAAAGGCTCTGAAGGATTCAAATGTGGCTATTTGTTGTATCCGTACAATTGATGAAATGTCAATATATATTTGGCATTTCCATTGAATTTGAATCAGTCAATCATAAATTGTATACTAGTAATGCATGGGAAGGAAAAGCGTCGAATGAGTTGTCAAACGTCGTAATAAAAAGAATCTCGGTGATTGATTGATTGGTCGTTAGACACGGAAGCTTGGGAATTGGCGTTTCAATTACTAATGCGATGGGCTGTTTCAACCATTACACACGTTTCCCGAACCACCTTGTCTATCCATGTATATTTGACCATTGATTGGTTGATATATCTTACGTTCCATATTAATTAAAGTATTGTTGCTCTTCCTTCTCTTTTATTAGTATGATTCGAAAAAGTCACATTTGTATTCTTTTTGGACCAAACAAAGTCCCCCCCCTCTCTCTCTCGCTCTTTAGAAACCACGCACAAACCAATAGAAAAACTAGACGCCTTGACCTTCTATCAACATTTGTGCGTAGAGGTCGTATCTCAGTATAAGATAACTATGAGCACCGCCACTGTGAATGCGACCGATTCCATGCATTATAAGAACCTGTCGAATATGGAACAGACAGAAGCCGATGCACAAGGGGCTTGGGAAAAAGAGATGGAACTTGCGGTACAAGGTCGTGGACGGACACGAAGTCGTTCGATTCTTGCAGACAATGAGACTGAAGTAGAAGCATCAAGTGGTGATAGAAGACAAAGCACTGGGGTCACGACGACTGACTCGGAGTCATTGGATGCTATTCGGTACACTCGTGCACGTTGTTTTAGCTCTCGTGACGTTAAAGAGAATGAACAAGATGTGGCTGTAAAAAGTCGACGACGCAGTTGTTCGTTCTCTGCATTGCAACAACTTCATCACGTGTCAATTGAACAAAAGGACAAGAACGTGGAGATGATGGAGAAAGATGCAGCTAAACGTGCTGCATCCTTATCAAAGATTTATTTGGCTGGTTCAGCTCCTGTGGATGTATCGAAATTACAAGATGACAGTAAAATTGTGGGTGTAAAAAAGGTTGAAGTCTTGCAACCAACTGGTGCATTATCTGCAGCAGCATTGGATGCTTTATCAGAAGGATTACAATTGTCCGTGGACAATAGTCCAATGCCTTTATCAGGATATGGAGGTGTTCAATTAACAGAAGAACAGTTGGAAGAAAAGAAGATGGAAGAGGAAGAAGATTATAAACTCAAGGTCGAGAAACTATCGTCCAGGAGGTCATTGTCCATGAGAGCATCATTGTTTCGAAGCAAGATGTTTAAAAGCACGTCGAGATTGCTAGGGAATTCAGAGGACGGAGCGAAACTAGAGGTAGCCAAGTCGACGGGGTCAAAACCACTACCGACAGAAGAAGGCATGGACAAGTTGACGTCAGAGATTGCAGGAGATGCAACTCCTGTACCACCCAAGAAAAAACACAAGCTCAAGCTTTTGTTGCTAGGAGATAGCGGTATGTGGTATTGTTTGATTATTTTGTCAAGATGGATAAAAGGAGTATGCGGTATTGACGTGAATATGCCGTTTTCTATGGCTTATAGGTGTTGGTAAAACAAGTCTAATGCGCGTATTCTCTGGTGACGAGTTCTCGGAGTCGATGTTGGCAACTGCTGGGTATGTGGCAGTAATTTGCCGATTTTTTGTTATGATCTTGATTTAACTTTATATGATTGGATGCATGGACAGTGTGGATTTCAAACTTCGACATATTAGTGTTGCCGATGAGGCAATAACTCTTCAAATCTGGGATACTGCAGGACAGGAGCGTTTTCATCGCATCACCTCCAGTACGTTATTGTATCAAGACATTGAGTGTTGACATGTTTAGGTCTCTGACGCTTGGTGTTTAAATTGACAATTTGCAGCATATTACAAGGGTGCGAACGGCATTGTACTTGTCTATGATGTCAGCGATCGGCGCAGCTTTGATAGTACGTGACTGGATATATGCCTTTTGGCGGTCTTCTTACCTGGAATGAATATACTGATTGGAATTGTGTGGCACAGATGTTGGCTACTGGATGAACAACATTCGTCAGTACTCGTCCCCGACGCAGATGCCGGCAATGCTTCTTGTAGGAAACAAGATTGATTTGCCAAACCGTGTAGTAACATTGGAAGAAGGTCAAGCAGCTGCAAGCCAGTATGGCTGCCGATATATTGGTATGTTGAAACGATTTAGCAGTAAATATAGCGCAATGTGATCTAACTAGTAGTGGAATGTTTGTTTTTGCAGAAACGAGTGCTAAGACATCGGAAAACACGAATGGTGCGCTTGAAACTATTGCACGCGATGCTTTCATGATCAGTGTTAATCGTACGTGGTTTAGTCTCTCCTTTCTAACATCTGCTGGAGTGTCTAATGCTTTCGTCTTGTGTAGCTACACTTACCCAACGAATGGTAATGGATCGGGAGAGGACACTGTCTGGTCGACGAAACAAGGAAAATTGCGTCATTCAGTAGTGATTCACTTATTTTCCAAGAACAAGGGCACGAAACTTTCAAGACTAAAAAACAACTCTTTCCGAGCACTAACAACAGAGGTTGTACAAGCATGCCGATTCGCCGTCTCAATATATTCTGAAGAAAAAAAAACGAGGCAGCGGCGACTTGGCAGCACCACAAAAAAGACACGTCTCGTGGCCAATATTTTTGCGTCGACACCTTTTTTTCAACCCCCCACGCAACGCAAACACGTGTTGCGTCTAAAGGAGGAATGACACGATATATAATCAGTAGACTCAAATCATACAAGCCGATATTTAACCGGGCGGCTGACACAAAATATGAACCCCTCCACAAGAACCTGCAGGTTTTCTTGTATTTGTTTTTGATTGCAATGAATGGATCAAGTTTTCTCTACTTGATTTCCTCATCCTCCTCTGATCGAGTGTAGACTCGAGATTGCAAAAATTGTTCCGCTTCCATTTTCCGTTCTGGATGATTCATCATTTCCATAAATTCACGTGTTTGTCGAGCTCGTGTTCGATACGAAGTCGTACAAAACAGCCTAAAACAACAACAGCCAGACAGACAGACAGACAACAAAGAGGGAGTTTGTATACGAAAACCAAGTGATTGTTGTGTTGTTTGTTTTTTTGTATCGTTTGTTACCAAGTGCCAGTTCCAACAAGTCCAAAAGCAAGAATAGCCCCGTCACAGGATTGACGAATCAACCTAGTTGTACGAAAGCGATGTGCACCAATGATTGCACCGACACTGATTCCCCACATAAGACCTGAGCGAAAACATGGCGGATTCTCAAGAATTACGTTTGATGATGTCATTTTGAAAATGACGAATGGGTTTTATGGCTTTTTTTGCGCCGTATTGTTAGACCGTGACTGGAAGAAGCTGCAGAGATTGGTTTCAACATGGTTTTGACCATCTGCTGATATCAATTAAACATTGCATCGTCTTGTTCACACATAAGCTTTATCTCTTCTAAGTCTCAGGTCTAGCTACTTATCCTTCATGGTGCTTAGCCGTGCACATCGTTTGAGCATTTTTGGGTCTTGTTGTTCATTATGACCTCTTGCTAAGTATTTTCTGGTAGCGGATAGCAAAATGCCGATAGCAAAGTTGAAACAAACCTTCACGATGTTGAACCATTACCTTGCTGCGAGGTTGATAAAATTAGGAAGACCTGTAATGATTCTCGAGTCATAGCGCTCATGTATGCTACTGCCATACCTTTTTCGTACTTTAAGCTATCAGACGAACATGATAGTGTCGTTAGAGCTTGTTCCTAGTACCGAATTAACACGGGATCGTGCGATTCGCAGTATTCCTTCATTAACTACCAGCTATGAAGATTTCTTGGCAATATCTGCGTAATAGTTGAAACAGAGTGATGGGTATGCTGTTGTGACACATTCATGTCCACGCTCTTTCGTCACCAATATAGATCACTGATGGGGTCACGTTGGGCCAAGGCTCCTGTGGTCCCATTTTTGAATTCGAACGATTAATGACTGAGTCATCACCAACGACGGAGATGAAGGGAAAGGCGACGTTTAGCTCGCAGCGAGACGCAGTATTCCGTTTTACAGTGACTCCAGCAACGATCTGGCTGGAGCAGCAGACGACCAAGCAGCAATGGTAACATACAAGAAATCGACTATCCTTGGAACCGTTAATAGATCGGATAGTGACTAATTTGTGAAATTCCTAGGCAATGCACGGTGTCATCCGCTAACGACTTTGCTTTGAAGGGTGCCGGTATTCCACA